TATACCATAGCTTCACGCAGTCGCTTTTCTGACCGCGGTCAGAAAATTAAGGTTTAGATACCTAGGTATGTAAACTTTGGAACCCATCCATGGATAATAAGCAAGCCACTAAACTTCCAAAAATAAAACGTCATTTACATCTAGTCCACGGGTACCGGTAATCACTAGGTAATAATTACGACAGGCTAATTTCATACTAGAGTGATCAAAAGATGAAAGCACTTTGACTTTCACCTTATTCCACAGCGAACATCATGGCCACTCTAGCAGAAAGGCAACCTCTCGCTAAGGGCGGGCATGCTCGAATGCCAGACAGGCTTCCTTCTACGTTTATTTCGTCGACGGTACCCTGTGTATCTGAGAATACCGTCATTCTTGCGGCAACCCATCCCACAGTCTCGACCGCATGTCCAAAAGACGATGGGTGGTTCATTTCGGATTTTTATGCCTTCAACTATCTGTTCAAAGGCTTGGGGATGGACCAGACATGGATAACCGCAGCTGATCCAAGAAAATTAGTGGAGAAGTATGGTCCATACCTTCACGGCAACCCGTATGAGGATCGAAAGGTCTGTCTTGATAAAGACATGCTAGACCAACAGCAAATCACCCCAGTCACCCTAGTTCGCTCGAGTGAAATGATAGATCGAGTTCTTTCAGAGGCAAAACGGGCGTCAGAATTAGCGAAACGGCATGAGGCGCCACTTCTTCTACTCTTCTTTTGCCATGGGCTACCGAATCATCACTTATTGTTAGATGATGGAACCAGCCATAAGGGTCTCAGCATAGTCAATCTCAAGGGCGTGCTTGAGCCAGATGTGCGTATGACTCTCGTTAGCACCGCTTGTTACTCCGGGGGATGGATCACCACCCCCGAGCTCAACCACACCGCCATGACAGCTGCAGGCGGAGAAGACAATCTCGCCGACGGAACTTCAAATGCCTGGTGTGTATCCCAGAGCATTGGGCGAAGTTGCGGGTCTGTGTTTGTGAGCACCCTGTTGGAGACGTTGTCTAGTGCGACAAGTCCTCTTCTCGAAGAACCTGGTCTGGACACAAGCCTATCAGACCCACAGCAAAGCCTTCAACCAGATGACCCTAATAGCTTGCAGACTTTGAGCTATAATTCATTTTGCGATTCTGTTTGGAGTACATGCGAAGATCGCATAACACGGCTTTCAAACTTCCAAAACTTCAAGTTTTGTGCACAAAATGATGCCTGGGAATACTCGTGGACAGGGAGAACAGGAATCCCATTGTCTCACTTCAGGGACCGGTGGGATGGACTCAAGTCCTACCCATATCAAGGGCCCAGTGATATCAGGGACCTTCGAAATCCACACCCGAAAAACAAAACATTTTTGGAGCAAGGTCCGAACAAAATTGCATCAGCAAACCAAGTTGTTGATGAAATGACTGGCCATATAGCCCATGGAAGGCTAAAAGGAATGGCAAGAATTTTCCACCAAACCTGTCCCGGTGAATGGGATCGTGGTAAGGACGTGGGCTTTGGAGGTACGCTCCGTGCATTCTACGAGCGTGACGAGTACCAGGAAAGAGCGCCGATGTTTGAAGCGGCGATACGCTTTAGGTGGGAGGCAGCCCTTCTCGCGGACTATATACTCGAGTTGTTTGACCTTCCTGCTCCTAGTAAGGAGATTTGTATCATGTGGAACCGGTTTTTATGGATCAAACATAGCCGGGAGACAATGCCCAACTTGGAGGCGCGTTGGCCGAAAATGTACAACTCCCTTTCTGGTCATTTTAAGACTCCTTGCTTAAGAGAGCAGGGCCCACCTTTCTACCGACCACTGCATTATTTGGTCGCGGCGTTGTTGGAAGCTGATAAACCAGAGGATGAGACAAGTGCTATAATTTCTGGCATTGGGAATTTCATGAGCACAGTTCGGATGTTTCACCACCAACGTCTATTTGAGGACCAAGAAGTTCGTGGTAGAGGCCACGAGTGGCTAAAATCCATCGGTCGACGGGCTCGCAAGTCCCTCTCGCCGCGCAAAAGGACACGCCACTCAACATCCGTCTCTTGCTAAGTTTGCCCGGGCAAGGTTTACGCCCTCCTTTGCTACCCTTGCAGATTGAAAAGAAGGCCCCAGAAGCGAATGAGATGGAAGAACATCACATTATTATTAGTACTATTATTATTTCCTAAGCCTTGGGATTTGTATTTTAGCCTACGGAGATCGATTGCTTTATTATTTTCCTAGCTTTCTTTTGCTTTTTCCAATAGAACGCTAGTTTGTAATGGTGGTGTATAGGACTTTTATGTACTCTCTGTCTGCCTAACTGCTTGTTTATGTCCTATTTATCGCTATAGGCCATGATCTTACAAAGCGCTCAACTGTGGTAGCTTATATAGCTGTTGGATTTAATAGTACTATGATTGCGGAGATTGTAGGTCTTCCGAAGCGTACGGTTAACCGTGTTTACGAAAGAGCTCTTGCGAAAGGCTTTGATTCAAATTTATGATCTTAGAATATTTCGGATGATATGCTTACTGATGCTCCTCGTCCTAGACGGCTAAAAAAAATAGATAGAAAAGTTCGAAAATCGGGTACTTGCGAAAGTACGACTTAATCGCTATACAACATACACACCATTTCCCGCTGTATATAATAGGAGGCAAAACAGCCCCCTCCTAAATTAGATATTCATGAATCAAACAGGACCAAGAGACGTCCTATGTACTCCGTACTCTGAGGTTGCATCCATTGATAGCAATACCAGCTGTAGGGCACCCGCCTGCGCCTGCGAAAATGACAAGGCGGCCCCAGCCATCATCCAATCAGTGCCGATCAATCCCACAGCTGCCCCTGTAGATCCCCCGACTGCCCTGTTTCAGGCAAGACAATGATAGATCTTCGCGCTGGTGCGTAGCGTATGTCATTGCGGTGCTCCAAGCCTGCAAGCTATAAGACTTTGATGGAGCCTGATATGTGCTCACTTTTACTTTTCTGATTTCAATATTAAGATACCCCGTGTTCAAATTTCACTTTTTTGCTTGACTTCTACTATCTCTCAACGTAATTTGTTTTACGCCGTTTCCTTGCCCTTGCATCCAGTCCAAACCTACATATTGTGGTGTGTTCACCGTCTCTTTTAATTACACTTGACTCGGTCGCTGATTTGATTCTTGTCTTAATTCTAGATACCCCATACCCCATTCTCAAGATTTTTCAGCTTCCATCAATTCAAAATGCGCGCTTCTGTCATCATCCTCGGCTTCCTCGCTACTCTCACCGTCGCCCTTCCCGAAGCATACCCTAAGGTCGCACTTGCGTGTCAATCTGTGAGTCCTCTCGATGGCTACATTGTTGGAGAGTGCGGGGAGACAATTTCTAACCATGTTACTAGAACACTATGTCCTGCACAGCTGCTAACTGTGCTGCCGTGGGATGCTGCTGTGAGGGACTTACTTGCAGTTCCAATGGTGTAAGTACTGATGGAGCCTAACCAATATATACCACGCGTGGATTATTTTAATTCAATATGCTAATGAGGATGACAGACTTGCACGCCACTATAAGTTGATTTTTTTCTTGGAGTTACAATATGATAAAAAGATGGGTTGGCCTACCCAATCAACCATGGTGCCTTTTTGAGTTAGCATAAGGATGGAAAATGGACAGGAAATCCTTTTCCTTGAGCCTACGCTCAATGCCTTCACTTGTATTTATCTATTTTGTTGATAGTACATAATTCGGGAATATCACAAATTCGCAATCCTTGCATTGCCAGGCTTCCTCGTCTCCCTAAAAATACAACGCGGCGATCAATATCTTGAGTCTGATGCAGCTATTACAAAGTGTAGTCCCTAGTACCCCGTATAACGTTCCTCTTTCTGCATGGCTCAGCTTGACCTTGAAGAATTGCTGATCACTCGAGAAAATAGCCCAGTCACGCAGGGGCTCTTCGATGAAATATCCAACTCCCTGCAAAAACATCTTATAGACGCAAGACTTCCAACAAAAAAAGAGCACAAGTGACCCGTCTTGGGGCCATTGTTCCGTACCCATATTCTCCATCGACAAATCATGTGAGATATCAATATCCCTTCCAATATCGACAACGATCTCAAAATTCGATCTCGCCAGCCTCTAGGCGATGTTCGAAATTACCCCGGGCCCAGTTGTCATCATCTCGGTTATTTTGTGTCCCATGCTCGTCTCTGTTTCGCCATTCGACCTCCAAAAGATTCACGTTGGAAGTAACTATTAGTACAGTAGCTCCAAGCAGGATGGCGTAAGCGGCGAGAGCAGGCAGCATAAAGTAGAAGGCGAATTTGACACTCCATACGACCAAGATCACGGTTCCAACCAACGGACGCAGAAGGAGAGGATATTCACAGAATCCGTCTCCGAATAATTCATTCGCAAATTCCTCCATATTGATGGATGATCAGAAGAGAGTGTTCGAAATGGGACTTGGGTGATTTGGCTCGGATCTTGTTGATTTGGTTCGAGACGGGAAGTATAGGAGTATGTTGATAACAGATGGGTTTGGAGGGAGAAGAGAAGATGAATGGTAGTCGTAGCAAGAAGTCACGTCGGGTCCCTGGACTTCGTAGTCCATTCAAGATTGGAAAGAACCCTGGTCCGGGGAAAGTCAGATGGCTACCTTTCCTATTTGGGAAGTATGGCTTTCCGCTACCCAACAAACTTGTAAGGTGCATATGTGCATAGATATTACTAGTCCTACTCAAGCTTCTCCAAAACCTCCAAGTACGAAGAATCATCCTCCGAATGCGTCGTCCTCAAAGTAGCCAACCTCTCCTTCCTAGCAACAACCATTTCCCCAAGAAGCTCAAGCTCAATCTCAAGACGCTTCTCCAGGTCATAGGTACCACCGGGACCACTCGCCGTTGTCGGAAGAGGCGCGGTGAATAGATATGCATCTATTTTTCCCTGGTCCTCCTTCTGTTCTTGCTCACGGTTGTTCTGATCACTCTCGAGCTCTTTTCGTTCTCGCTCCCTCTTCTCTTTCTCTCTCTTCGCTCTAATCTCCTTAGAACTAGGAGCCCAGCCAAACACCGCGGCAAGTATAACGAAGAATACCAAGCCGATGGCGAATATTATGGCGGCCGCCACGGCTATTGGGATGACGAAGTAGATCAATATTGTGAAGAATCCCCCGGTGATAGATTTGATCATTAGGAGGGGGCGCATGTAGAAGGGCTCGCATTCGAATGGGAGAGGCATGGCGAGAGATAACGAGTTGATGTGGTTTAGATTCGGATTCGAATTTGGTCTGGGTTCTGGTTTTGGATCTTGTTCTGATAGGAAAGAGGTGGTGGTAATTGTTCTTTGGCGTAATTTTATCTTTGGTGAGTGATCATATGAGGGTTGGTAAAATAAACATTGGTTTGATCTCCTGTCTTATGCTGAGACTTAGTGTTGGGGGTCGTATGCACTGCCCCAGTGTTTCAGGCGCAGGTTGCATGATGTCAGTCGTGGATAACTCATCGTATAAGAACCCCTCCGCGCGCAAATGATGCAGTTGGAGGGGTTAAAAAGATAAGGCAAACTGAAGGACAGCGGTATCGTAAGTTCAAAGTACAAATCTGACACAGCAGACATTTACTAACTACATACTACATACAGAGTGCTTGAATGATTACCGGAATGAAGACTCGTAAGAAGGCATAAATGAGCAAATGTACAACGACTAAAAACAGGAATAAGGAGATCAAAAGGTGCAACCAGGTCAGTAGACAACGTCAAATAAAAGGTGTATCTACCACAGGAGTCAAAATTTAAAATAGGATCCAAGAAGGGAAGAAAGGGCCGATCGGGGTCCGTAGACACACCACAAAGCCAGAGAAAGGTAAAACTCCTAGTCCTCCTGTACAAGTTTTGCATTTGCAGAACTAAACAAAAAAATATTCAAAAACCCATCAAGAGTCATCACGCTTAGAAGACTCCGGAGCAGCCCCAGTGCTGCTCAACGTTGAACTCACCGGGGGTCTTCCAGGGGTCATCGAGGTAGGAGAAGAAGATTGACTTGGAGCCAACGGCCTTGACCATGGACTTGATGGCGGTAGCCTGCTCAGAGACACCGGGGACGGCAACACCGTTGGCGTCACCGGCGTTGGGCCAGCCAGTCTCGAGGTTGATGACGTCCTTTCCACCACAGATCTTGTCGAGGACCTCGAACTCGGTCTTGACGAACTCACCGGCCTGCTCAGCGGTGACGTCGGCGTTGAAGAAGGGGTGGATGTTGGCACCGACGATATCGACGGCGCTGCAAAGTGTGGCAGCACCGTGCGCCTGCCAGACGTTGATGGGCTCGGTGGTGGTGATCAGACCGGAGTAACCGGCAGACTTGAAGCTGGAAGAAGCGGACTGGATGAAGGAGGCCAGGGTAGAGGCATCGACGAAGCCGGACTGGATGGCCTCGTTACCGACGACAATAAGCTTGACCATGTCCCACTCGGCCCACTTGACAATAGCAGAGACCTGCTCCTGGGCGGCGGAGATGCCGGAGCTGGAGATGTAGACACCCATGATGATGTTGAGGCCGAGCTCCTTGCAGGCGTCACCGATGAACTCGAGACCGCTGCAGTCAGTGGAGTAGACACGGATCAGGTTGAAACCCTTGCCCTTGATGACGGTGAGATCGCTGAGAACGGCCGCCTTGGTCTTGCAATCACCGCCAGAGGTGTAGGGAGAGTAAGTCATACCCCACTGACCATCACCGAGAACGGTGGGGATACCGGTGGCCTCGGCGACGGCGGAGGTGGAGGAGGCGACGGAGGAGCTGGAAGCGGAGCTGGAGACAACAACGCTGGAGGCAGAGCTGGAAGCAGAGCTGGAGGCAGAGCTAGAGGCAGAGCTGGTGCTGGTGACAACTGGAGCGGCAGAGGTGGTAGTAGCAGCAACAGTGGTGGGCGCAGCAGCGGCGGTGGTCGAGGCCAGGCTGCTGGTGGCAACGGGGCAGATGTAGGTGTAGTCGGTGCGGGTCACAGTGACGGTGGTCTCATCCTGGGTGTAGGTACCGGGGACAATGGTCTGGGGGGTGGGGTAGACCAGAACGGTGCTGGTGGGCACAGTGGTGGTGGTAGGAGGCACAACGGTGTAGGTACCAGCGGAGGGGCAGATGTAGGTGGTGGTCTCAATGACGCTGGTCACGGTGGTGCCGGAGGGCTTGACAGTGGCGTAGGGGCAGACAACAGTGGTGGCAGTCTTGACAATGGTGGTAACACCACCGTAGGTGTGAGTACCGCTGGGGACCTCAGTGGAGGTAGCACCGCAGACAGTGGTGGTGTCGTGGACGGTGATGGTGGTGGCCGGGATGGTGTAGACACCGGTGGTGGAGAAGGTGCTAACACCGGGAGTGGGCAACTCGACGGCGGGAGTGCTAGCAACGGCGGTGCTGGAGGAAACCGGGGCCGCGGAGGAAGAGGCCGAGACGGTCACGGTCAGAGTGCTGGTGCTGGTAGAGTGCACAGTGCTGGTGAGAGTGCTGGTGGACTCGGGGGCGGGGGTGGAGGTGGAGGTGGAAGTAGAAGAGGGAGGAGCAACAGTCTCGACGGGAACCAGGGTAGCGGAGCCGTAGACGGTGATCACCTTGGTGGTGCAGCCACAGGTCTCCTCGGGCTCAAGACCGGCGGAGGGGGTAACAATGGCGGAAGACCAGACGCTGGCCGAGGCCTCACGGCGCTGGTGGAAGGCGTCATGGCGACGGTGAACACCGTCGGCCATGGCAGAGCCGACCAAAGCGGCGGCGGCGAAAATAGCTCCCTTCATTATGGAGATATAATATCCACGTGAAAGAATGAATGCCCGCTGAACGAGTGAAGCGGTGGTATAGAATCGAAGGAACGTGGGTTGAGAAGGTAAAAGGAGTGTGATCGGGGGCACGCAGTGCCTTTTGTTGGAGAAATCGTTACCGGGGGGAGTAGGGGGGGGGGGAAAGAGAAAAGGAGAAAAAAGACCCAAAAAAGGCCCTTAGTGTGCCTCTGCATCGATACAGGTCCACCGATCGTGAATTCTGTATGAATTTAATTTACCCTAAAATTACCCCTGGACAAGTCTAGATGTGTATTCAGGGACATTCTCGATCTGATTGGTTGTTGATTCGACACCCGAGGGTTGGCTGCTTGTGGTTGGCCCACACGGCTCGGGCAAGAGTGGAGAAATCCATGGTATACGCAGTATTCCGTAATTGGGATACATTTGATACGTTATGTACAGTATCATTTGCAATTCGAGTACTCCGTACGGGGGGAGATATCAGGCATCCTGCAGGTACTCCGTACAAGTCTCTACAGTCTCTTGACTCAGATAATAATGTGTAGGTACCGATATATTATATTCTCGCCCAACCGTCTTTTCAGTTACAATAGGAACCAATACTCTGTACATAGTACTTCCGTATTCCGTATTCGAATCCTATTATTATCAATACACTAACCGCACGGATCGTTGACTGGCTTCTCTCCTATTCCTCTCAGCCTTCGGCCCCAGCGTCGAAAATAGTTATCCTGTCTCACACCAGAATAGTCTTCCCCTTACCGCTGTGAGGGTCGTCTAGCTTCCAGTTTCCCAACTCCTAACCGCATGAAAAGCCACATTGTACCAAAACGAGGCCAAGGTTTCATATATCCTGTCAGGCCATGTAAGGCACCACTACAGCCCCTCTGTGGCTTACTTGGTGGCAAGCCTGCCCCCGTGCAACCCTCGGTTCCCGGTTACTCAGACCAAAGAAATGTCTCCAAACCAAAGATCCAGCGAATGTGTGGAGCAGATTGGCTTAATCCCAATGTCTCAGTATAAAGTCAGATAGAGAAATCCCCGTTCAAAGGCCAAAAGTCCAAAAACCAAAGAAAAACAGGAAATTCTCTTCCCGCGCCATGTGGGGTGAGCTGTCATAGCGTACTTGACCAGTCCCAAAATGGAAAGGTGGCAGCTGGTTTGGGGTCTAATCTGAATTCTGATTGGTTGAATTGCACCCTCTAATTTCCGCCATGCTGATCTTTATTATAAAATTACAATACAGGTATTATCCAATCTTAAGGATTACCTACAATATACGAACCACGCAGTATTGAGACCGAGTTCTGTTTATTGTTCAATACCAATGTCTCGGATTACCACGGAGCCCATATCAACAAACATCACAAGTGCCCCGAATCCCCCACGTAATCTTATATCAAATACGTTGTCCTACTCTATGGAAACAACACATAACCTTCGTTGTTAACTATGCGCTGTTTTCTACCCCCCTGATGATCTCCATCGAGTTAGCGATATACACGCACTCATGAACTGGCCGATCACCCGGCTTAAATTAAAGTCAAAAATCATTAAATGGGGCAAGAAGCTTGAACTATTCAATTAATTAATCTTGCTGAATAGGAAGGACCGCGTGGACGTTGAGCCACCTTCTATTCACAGCATAGCCATTTACCTAGTGTGGCCGTTGCCAGAGCAAAATAGACAAAAATAACACTGTAGCCTGACTTACCCGATACAGCCGACATCCACTGCGCACACTGGCAGACAACATGTACGGAGTACTCCGTACACAAACAAGCAATGAAAGAAGCAACTAAAAAGCGAACAGATCCTCTACTATTCCATGCACCGAGTGCTGATCACAATGAGAACGAAAGTCTGGATCTCATCGACTGACGATCAAAACTCATGGGGTAGATCACGGCGGATATTGGGGGATATCCGATGGTTGTGCGTGTGTGTCTCTTGCGGAGATTACCGCTATGTATTCTTTTATGGGACTACCATAGCTAGCGTCCAACTCCTGAAACTCGTCGTGTCCGCTTTGCACCAGTTGTTTTACACTCACTAGTCTGGTCTGTTGGAAGTCGATAATAACTCCATGGATTAGTTGATTATTGGAGAGAGTTTGGGTAGAATGTGATGTAATTGCGTATTGAGGCCCAGTCTTGCCACGTTCTTGGTTCGCATTCGTGTACTCCGTACGGAGTATACAAAGTAAATTAAATGAAAAACGCCAATACTCCAGCACAAAGGAACTGCCCAACTCAAAAGACAACTCAACAATCCAGACCGCTGAAATTCTCTTGGCCAATCTGACATTTCCAATCAATCAAAGGCCAAGGATCGTAGCGGATCTGGGCTTAGTTGGCATTTAGGTCGAGGCTTGGCAATACTCTTTCTGAGGTTATTCAGGGGCTTCCAGGGGTCGGCGTGTGGTCTTGTGGATTTGGGATCTGGGAAATTAGTCTTATTCGTGCAAAGCCTATTTTGGCGATTTTCTGTCAGCCTTGCTATTGGGGGTTTTTGTTTTGTTTTTTTGTTTCATAAAGATTCAACGGTGTGTGGGTTTGTGTTCCGGGGAAATTTCTGCAGCCGTTTCTTGACCGGTTTTCCCTGCATATGACTCAGGTTGTGTTTTTGATATGTCGAATTTAGGGCTGATTTATAATGGCATTCCACATCTTAGATATTCGGGACAGATCTGTATCACACTGGCCACATGGAAAATGTCATTTGTGGAATGTATGCCTTGATCTACAGGTGCCTCCTCGCTTCACCTTCTTCTCATCAATAATTACAATTCGTTATTTCTAATATGAGTTTCTTTTCAGCCATGGCTAAATGTTGAATTCCAAAATAATTTCAGAAGATCTCAAAGTACAGCAGGCTCTTCTTGTGATCGTAGCAATTTAACAATCAATTCTGAACAAGGTATCTCTTGTTCAGCATGCCCATACAAAGAGTACAGTCAACCATTGTCAGGTTGGGTCGACTAATGTAAGAATATGGTTTCAATTCCTTTTTTCTTTTTACTTGCAACTTGAAAGTAGTTGAATGATGTATGGATATCGTCGACCGGCCTGACAGTATATATATATATCAGAACTCATCAAGAAATCCAAGAACAACTCATAAACTCCGGTCTAATATCCTTGCCCCAGAACAAATGAAACAGGTGGCGAAGACCGATCTCTCTTCAGGCTTGTTCGGCAATATTAAACGCATTTTCTAATCAGTTTCGTATCTCATGGTAGAAGCCGACGAAGGAAATGAAGCCGCATTTCAATTCAAGCCCAACGGCTGGATAATCATCGTGTTTTCTCGATTCTACATTCTGATTCTCAGAGGAATTTCACCCGCATCCATATTAAATATTGCCTACCTCGTCTTTGATGTATACTTCGACTTCTGGAGTACGTGGAACAATCGTGTGTGAGGATATAGATAGACGTTGCGGTACAAGAGGAGGCGACGATGGAAGAATTTCATAAAAAGTGGTTAGATCTGAGGAGCTGATGATGTTGGACTAGTATAGACTAACGGCTTCATAAATCAACCAGGTCAGATGTTCTCAGCCATTGCAGTTATGTGTCTGGGGCCTGGGACAGATGCCTTTTTGTATGTTGTACGTTGGAATGCCGTCTCGTTCTGACAAGCCCCGAGGGGCCATGGATGTATAGCGGAAGAATCGGCGGTGAGATCAGAGAGGATAGACCATTTTTATTGCGATCGAATTGTCACATCTTGGAAGTTGGGAGTGAGTTGTTCTTGATATATTCCGTGCAAGTTTAGAAGTTGAACCAGCTAGATTATACAACATAACCGGCATGTGCTTCCAAATATCTAATAAAGATTATCACACAAGATCAAAATATACTACAACAGCTCTAAGATGGCTTAAGTCTCATTTAATGAAAGCCCAAGTATAACTTTTCGTATTGTTCCTATCTTTTTGCCGGTCGAATCTGCCCATCACCGTCCCACCCGATCATGCCACCACACCGCAAGTACCACCACCACCGACCACCAGTCCTTCAATCCCCCAATCATCTGACCTCGAATAATAATCGGCAATCTCAGCAGGATTAATTCTCCACCTATACCAATCTATACTAACCCCAGAAGCAGAAACGGAGAAATCCGCATAATAGGATCGCACCATATCTCCCAACGTCACGAATCCAACCACCAACCACATCCAGCAGTATTGAAACCCCATCGGATAAAACCAACCCGAGATATACATCATGCTATTCAGATCATGCCCCAGAAACGGCTAATGGCCATGTCCCGAGACCCAGCCTCTCGGAACAACCATGGTTTGGTTCAATGCTGTCAGGCCATACTTGCTATGCGGCTTGACATCTTGTGGGTACGTTGAGGCAGGAGGTGTGTGTATATAAGGATAGGATGTTACACGGTGGAGTTTGTTTTGTTCATCACACAGCGATATCCTCATATAATAACTACTTCGGTTACTTGACTTGACTTGACTTGATACTTGATACTTCCAAGCTACATCAACAACACAATTGCATAACTGCAAAACCAACCAACCAAACCAAAATCAAAATGTCTAACCCATCCAAATCAACCGATAGCGAGCACGCCCGTCTGCAAAATGACTACGGCGCAGACTACTGGGTTCGGAATTCCGCTCAACAGCATCGTGTATGTTTACCACACCCACCATTCACTGTCCACTATAACTAACACCCCCCAAGCGTGCAACAGCTGGACGAGGCCTCTTCGCTGGGTTACAAGATGTGAAGCACTACAACGTTGACCACGGTTGGGCTCGTCGCAAGTCTGAGACTGCGCAGCCTGGTATTCTCGGGTCGCTTTGGAGTCGGTACGTTATATCTATCATCCATTACTTTGTTTTTGTGGGAACCATGCTGACTTTTATCTAGACTTACCGGACTTTGATACAATTACCAGTGCTTGGCCTTTTTAGGTCGGTTACTGGCTTCTCCGGTCCGGATTCGATTGTCAGACTCTGTCTTTTCTTGACACGGGGGCTAAAAGGGGACTGAGATTGAGATTGAGACTGATATGACTAAACGTTTTTCTTTTTGTTGGCGTTGGCGTTTCTGATTTTTGAACTTTGCTGTGATTATACCATATATTTTCTTGATATAGGGGTTTGGTGTGGCAAGATTTGGTTTCTATACAATTGATTTGTCCGGACTTGTTTGATGCTACGATGTTTTTTGTATACATATCATCTGATTTGGATATACGTTTGGTTCTTACTATAATGTGTAACAATTGGAACCTGTTAAATAAGCTTATTATCATCCGAATGATAGAATTCTTGATCTGATTGGTTCTATTCCAGTATACGTGAATCAACTTGGACATTATTATTCAGTTTACTACGTAGATCATTGTAATCCACTTCATATAATAGTGCCAAGCGCTTACTACCCCGAACATAGCGGCGTAGCAAGATGCTACCTAGCTAGGCATCTCCGACCTACGAACCAACCAACCCACAACGAAAACGATCCAGAGGAAAAAGTTATATTCCAAGTAGTATATATACATAAACCGCTAAATAGGTATACCAAACGCCCAAACCTAGCGTATATCCAAGTTTTAGGATAACAAGGCATCGCCCTCAACCTCTCTCTCTCTCTCTCTCTCTCACACACACACACACACACACACACACACACACACACATCACCGACTCAAATTTACTCCCAAGAGTCAATCTTCATGGTACCCTTCTCCTGGAGATTCTTGTGCATGTTGAATGCCTGGAAAAGCAAATGCGGCTCATGGCCCATACCCTTCCGCAGACACTCGAACTCCGCACGATCAAGGTAATCAGTGAGAATAGGGGTGTAATCAGGGTGCGAGCAATTCTTAATAATAACGCGCGCACGCTCACGGGGCGACAAGCCACGAACATCAGCAAGACCCTGCTCGGTAACAACAACATCGAGATCATGCTCGGTCTGATCGATATGCGTAGCGAAAGGCACAATGCAACTCACACCGGTAGGATCAATCTTGCTAGGACGTGCGGAAGGAGTGTGCATGATACTGTACTTCGAGTTGCGGAGGAAATCAGCCGAACCGCCGAGTCCATTCAGCATGCGCGAGCCCATGACACAGGTACTGTTTGCGTGGGCGTAGATGTCGACTTCGACGGGGGTGTTCATTCCGATGCAGCCGAGACGACGGATGATCTCGGGGGAGTTGGAGACTTGTTGGGAGCGGAGGAGGAGCTTACCCGCGTAGCGCTCCCAGTTATCGTAGAAGCGCTTGAATCCGTCTGGGGAGAAGCGGATGGAGGTTGCTGTTGCGAAGTCGAGGTTTCCGCTGTCGAAGAGGTCGAGGAAGGAGTCTTGGAGGACTTCGGTCCAGACTTTGAGGTTCTTGAAGTCGGCGCCGCCCTTGCTGAGGCCGCCGACGACTGCGTTGGCGATGTTGCCGATGCCGGATTGGATGGGGAGGAGGTTGGGTGGGAGGCGGCCGTGCTTGACCTCGTGCTTGAGGAACTCGATCAGGTTCGAGGCGATGGCTTGGGAGCCTTCGTCTTCGGGGGCGTTCGGCAGGGTTTGATCTGGGTAGTTGGATTCAACGATGGCGACGACCTTCTCCGGGTCGATGGGGATGTAGTTGGTTCCGATGCGGTCCTCCGGGGCCATGATGAGGTAGGGCTTGCGGCCCGGGGGAAGGTCGGAGCCGGTGATGTCGTGCAGGCCTTCGAAGGAGGGCATGGAGGTGTTGACTTCGATGATGACCTTTTCAGCCATCTGGATCAGTTCGGGGGAAGCGCCGACGGAGGCACCGGGGATGATGCCTCCGTTTTCGGTGATGGCGGAGGCCTCAATGACTGCCACGTCGATTGTGGGCTTGGGCTTGTTGAGAGTGTACCAGCCCTGATGGAAGCGGGAAGGTTAGCGGGTCAATTTTTTTTTTCTCTCTCCGAAGATGCCGAGACTTACATAGACCAAATCCGAGGGGAACATGCTTAGATGCTTATCGAAGAACTTGATATCGCCGTTGTTGATTCCCTTTGCGATTTCCTTTCCGACTTGGTGAGGGCTGCGGCGCTCAATCATGTTCAAGCGGGCCCAGCGGCTCTCGGTCTCTGCGCCGGAGGAGGCACCGACAAACAGGTTGTACTTCAGCTGTCCCTGGAGGCTGTTCTTCTCGACGTGGTCTGCGAGAGCAGTGGGAACCATCCTGGATTTGAGGTTAACGTACTGCGCTCAACATCTAATGATCTGTGTTACATACTTGGGGTACCCAACACCGGTGAAACCGGACCAGCCGATGTACGTGCCATTGGGGAAGTGGTGAATGAGATCCTCAGCTTTGGCGAGCTTCTTGAGGTAGGATGGGCGCCGCACACGGCTTTTCAATAGGGCCGAAGCAGACATTATAAGGGAAGAGGGGAGAGTGTCAAAAATGTGGGAAAGAACAAGAAGAAAGGGGATCTGGGGGTATAAGTAATTTCTTCAACCCCACGGGCAGAGGTCTCCACAAAGGAATGCGAGGCCGACAGCTCCGGAAGAATGGAAGTGGTGGATTTGGTGGATTTGGTAGGGTTATGGTCTTCACGATCTTCACAATGCTTTATTGTATATTGTATATTGGATATTGTATATTGTTAGTTCATTCTTAAATTCTAAACCTAATTGTAAGGTTCTAATCTAAAATACATCTCTCCCCCATATCCCCAGTAATTCCCCCCCTTCCCCCTCGATGATGCTTATCGCAAAAATAATTCATAATGACGTCAACCGGCCTGGATCTCGGCATTCACTCGGTATTCGGTCATCTCTCGGTCCACGCTAGTCCTCTCCACCGGCATCTCATCTTCCCATCCCTATGCCTTGATCACACAGAGTCGCAGAGTATCTTGTTCAGTCTGATATCATTCCCTGAACATCACCAGAATGAAAATATATCCCAATACATACGCAACATGAAGATAAAAAAAGGAGATACAGAGTAAGATCCGAGGACCCCCGAGTTTCCCCCGACCCCACGTCTCGGGATGGTATCGGTTAAGTAGTCTCGGCCACACGGAGATTTTTATACCAACACACATTGGATAATCCATTTCCACCATTTGATATATCCATATTCATATTGCCGCTAGTGATGCCGATTATGCCGATCGAGTAAGAGACACCGATGATCCGGGATTCCCCTTTTTTTTGCTTACCCCAGAAGTTCGAGTCGATCGCTGCATTAGGAAATTCCTCTAATGGAGTACTCCATGTGTTTTATAGAATGTGATATTCGACAACTCCACTGAGGTTGAACTGATACAGATTGAATTAGGAAATTATGAGTATCTGAAAGCATTCATACAAATCAATTATATTAAGAATAAACAGGCCAATCTCTTCATAGCCATTTCATTTGTGAGAATAAAGTAAGAGATACTTGAAGAAAAAAAAAGAAGATACAAATACAAACTACGGAAACCGTTCAAAAAAAAAAAGAAAAACTATTCATCGCAATTTCCTCATCGTACGCCGTCCCCCTTCCCACAATCAACAATAATGCATGTCAGTCCCCCCGCTTGGGGGGACTGACCCGTCGTAAAAGTTGCACCCCCTACGCCTCGGTAGGCTCGGCATCGGTCATCTCAACATCCGCCCCATCATGCTTCTCCGCCTCCGCATTAGCGGGGGCCGCGGAGCCAGAGCCAGATCCAGACGCAGATCCCTCACGGCCCGGACCAGGACTATCGGAGAGGGTTCCATCAACCCAGGACCGGAAGCGCTGGTTGCTCTCATCCACCTGGTCCTTGCTGAGGCCGCGGGCCCAGGACGGGTTGTTGACGAACTTCTCGACGAAGCGGTCGTGGCGCTTCTCGCGCAGTGTGGCCTTCTCCTTGGCAAGCTCGTCAGCCTGCGCCTTGATGGCGTCGGCGTCGGCGTCTTTCTCGGGGATGGGGGCGTTAGAACGCCAGAACCAGTCGTGGGTGGGTGGCTGGTACAGCATGGTGTAGTTGTTGGCGCAGATGCGGATGGTCAGGCCGTCGTGGTGCTGTAGGCTGCGGTAGTAGCGCTCGTACTCGTCGTCTTCTTCGAGCCTCGGGGGAAGGTTGCGCTTCAGGAGGGGCATGCGCATCTTGGAGAATTGCACGCCTTCGGTTGGGTCGCGCATCGAGTAGGCCGTCACGTAGTAGGACCAGCGCTCTTCTGGGGTGAGTTCGTCGTTGTTAAGGGTTGCGTCTTCGCTGGTCATTACTTGGACGGTGACACGGCGGTCGGTTGGGTACTGGATGATTTGTTAGTGGCCGTCAGGGTCATTTACGGGAATGGGAAAACTTACGAAGGTAATGCGGTAGATATCTCCGTCCTTGACCAGTCGCTCGACTTGTTTACGGTACTGAATCTCCTGGTGGTGGGTAGTCTCTTCCTTCTCCCGTTCCTTGAAGAAAAGATTGACAATGTCGGAGCTGCGGTCGCGAGAGTCACCGGTGAAGATAGACGCCACGAATTTGGAAATGGAGGAGAAGATACGTTCCAGGTTGTAGAGCAGGTATCCGCTCTGCATGTAGAAGCGACGCAAAGTCTCTTCCAGGTGAACCTGATCGATATCGCCCTTGATAACCTCTTCGCACATGCGCACAATCTGTTTGTAAAGGTTGGCCTTGGGATCGACATCATAGAAGAAATCGCCAGGGAATCGGTCGATCAAGCACAAGTCGTGGGCAGCCTTGGGTAGAACACCACGTCGGACTTGTTCGCGAGCTGACTCCTCCTGCTCCTTGATGCGCAGGAGACGCGAGTAGAGGATCTCGAAAGTACGCAAGAAGCAGAAGATGTTCAGATTGCTGTACATGTGGTGTTCCTTCTTCTTGTACTTCTCGTTGAGTGTGTATTCATGCTCAAGGTTGAAGTTGCCCTTTCCGGGGTGCTCCATCCAGCGCAGTTCAGCCACATCAAAGGAGTCCTCGGACTCGGAGACGGTGGAAGAAACTTGAACAACAGGGGGTTCGTCGTGGTTGTTCAGAGCACCGTCCTCCTTGAGGGTCTTCTCAGCCTGGCCACCTCGTTCAAGGGCCTCACGCAGAAGATCCAGCTTCTGCAAGTCCGCCCCCTTGCGGCTTCCGTTCGAGGCATCATCATTGGCATAAGTGTCATCGTCATCATTGATGGCGTTGTAGACTTCGTCCATGTACAAGTTGAAGGTGTAACGATCCAGGCCGAAGAAAGTAGGGATGAAATCCCGGATAAAGTTCATGAGTCGCTGAGGATCAGCACCAAAGCCATTGGTGTTGCGGTCGAAGTACAAGAAGAGCAGGTAGACAGCATCCAGGAGGACCTGAGTATCGTTGAACTGGAACTCAGCCTGGAACTTGGGCGAGGTCCGGCCACTGTTGCGACCAGCCTGCGCATCCTCAAGCTTGGTCTGCAAGTCTTGCTGGATGTTCTTGGCAACAAATAGCTTCTTGTCGGTTTGCTTGGTTGCGATGGCTTGGTGGTCAAGACTGCGCCAGTATGCTCGCTGCATCTGTTCGCGCCAGACCTTGTCCCACTCGCGCTGGCAGGCCTTCCATTCCTCTAGCTTCTGCTTCAAACGGTAAAGAACGATAGGAAGGACGTGGCATGGGCGAAGGAACATGTCTCGGATGACTTTCTCGCCGCGTTGACGGTCGTAAATCTTCTTGATGACACGCTGGTAAATTGCTTCGCTTTGACCACCCAGACCTTGTGGCAATTTGAATGCCATGCGTTCCGCATCACTCATGTAAAGGAATTGCTGGCAAATGGGCTCAATCAACTGGATGGTACGGGTACAAGCTTCGATGTGGTGATCGTAATCGTGGCGATCTTCTTCAATTCGGTGCAAAGCGTCTTCATACTGGTTCTTGCGGTGTGCAACAAAGCCAGAATCTTCCGAAGCCCAGGTGGGATGTGAGGCCCAGTCGTCATTAAGAACACCGTTGCAAAGCGCATCGCGTCCACTACATGGCTTTTGGCGTTCGCGCTTGGGGAGAAGTCGGTAACTCGGTCCCAGAGACCGGCAGTGAGCCAGGTTGACGACTCCTGATTCCGGGTTCGCCTTAGGGTCGATAATCTTATCCTCAGGCTCTTCGGCGCTCATGAAGCGTCTGAACCAGCTCATGAGCTCAGCATTGGACCCGATGTATCCCTCAGCCCTCTTGACCAGAATGTGGCGGTCGAGAAGATCCGTGGTGTACAGGTTGCAAAGCTTCAGGAAGTCGCTGAACACCTGCTTGTTGGCGATGAACTTCTTCACGCGATCAAAGAACGCGATTTCTTCCTGGCTGGGGGTCATGGAGACCGAGGGAGGAAGAGGCTCTGGGAGAGCAGGAATCAAAGTGGGAGACACATTAGCCATATCCACAGAAGGCTTTCCATGGTGATACTTCGGTCTCTTAGTGGCGTTACCGAACTGCGAACCCTGGCCACCTCGGCTTGCCTCAGACAAGCGAGCAGCCTCAGAACCGGCCGGCCCCGAGATAGAGCCAACACCACCTGGGCCACCACGACGCTTCTTGCTTTCCTTGGGGTCCTTCACATTGAACTGGCCCAGGGGAGGCATCTTGACGTCACGGTTAGGAGTCTGGGAGGTGAAACCTGCAGGTTCGCCACGGAGATTGCTAAGAGGTGCTTGCTCTTCGGCTTGGCGCTGCGCAGCTACTTGTTTGGCATGCGCGGCGGATTCCGGCAGGAACTGTTTGAAATCCTCCAAGAGGTCTGGTGCAGTGTTAAACAACTGAGTAACCTGTCCATAGACATCCTGAATAGGCTTTGACTCCCGCTGGTAAGTCTGGAGTATCTCGAGGAACTGCTTGTAGATCTCTGGAGCACTGGAGAAGCGGTTCTTGATCTTGTTCACATAGCTGATGGCGTGGTTGAACTCCACGGGACCACGCTTGTTCAGATCCTGAGCACCCTGAAGCATACCAGTACCGACGCCAGCCAGATTGTTCATTGGCTGGGTGAGACTAGAGTTCGGTCCAGCACCTGAAACCCCCATGAGAGACGCCCTGCTAAGTCCGGCGGACGCTGCGGAGGCAGCGCCTTGCAGCTGTGCCACTCCACGGTGGTCTTGCTGATGAGTCATGGCGGATGCAGCTTGTTGCTCTTGCTGGGTAGGGTAACCATAGTGGTGCTCCTGGGCGGGTCCCGGTCCATCCTGTTGATACATACCCCCCATCATTCTCGAGCCAGGGGAGTAGGATCCAGATGCGGGGCCCTGCTGCTGATCCTGTTGCTGCCCTTGTTGCCAGCCAGGTCGAGACTGGTCACGATAGAAGTCAGACCGGGCATGTGGATCACCGGAGGGGGGTGCGTTGGTAATTGTCTCAAAGGGACGTCCTGCACGTGGCATGCTGAGTGTATTAGTGCCCGACGGGGTTGTGACCCGAATCGCATCAGGGTTGTCTTCGGTACCGCACTCAATGCGGTATCCAGGAGGCAAAAAGGTATTAAATCCTTGAATAAGAGCAGGATGACCATTGAAAAGGGTTGAAACACGTTGAATCACACCAGGGGTATCGATAGCCTGGCTCTTGAAATCCTTCATGATATCCAAGAAACGGTTGTAGACATCTGGCTGGTCAACAAAGCGTACCTTAACCTGATCGAGGTAGCTGAGAGCATCATTTAGAATCGGTTGCTGGCCCTGAGCAAGAGCTGCGACATTTCCTGGAATTTGCTGCCCGGCGGCATTGTATGCCATCATAGGCTGTCCTGGTGGACCACCGGGGTGCTGCATGTACGAGCGAGGTGTGCCTTCGCCGTGCTGCATTTGAGGACCAAACAAGCCAGCAGCAGACTGAGGCCCGCCCTGGTGGCCGTTCTGCGGGTTTCCGCCGAGGGTCGAGAGGAGTCCGCCCGGGCCATGGATGGAGTTGGGGACTTTGTTGGCCACGGGCTGGTGGAGGGGAATCGAGCCAGTGTGGCTCTGGACAGGGTGGTGGGGTTGTTCGCGGCGTTCTAGCTGCCGTTCAATTTGTTCGCGGTGGTCGCGCTCGCGCTCACGCTCACGGTGCGCCATTTCTTCCTGGCGCTGGCGCTCGATGATTTCGCGCTCCCTGGAGTCCCGCTCCCGCTCGCGGTTGAGCTGGGGAGAAGCGTGTTGCATGGCTTGACCGATTCCAGGAAGAGAGTGGCCGCTGTTATGCGACGGGCCTGCTGGGTGCTGGCCGTACGCGGAAGGTTGGTGTGGATTTCCGTGGGTCTGGCTTAATTCTGCCAGTCCAGGAAGAGAATGGCCACCCGACTGACTAGGGTGGTAGGGTCCTGTAATAGAAATATCAGTTAGTTTAGACATTGTTTTTTTATCATTGGATTTCCACATGGAAATCCATAGCTCACAAAGAGGCACTCACCACCTGGAGGGGGAAGCACTGGGCCCGAGGCCTGTGAGGCCTGACCTTGCTGAGAAGGATTTTGACTGTTGAGGCGCAAGAACATCGAGTTAGTCTCTGATTTCAAGGTATCAAGCCGCTTGTACTATCTATGACTGCTCGTACCTGAATGACCCCAGGGGCCGAGGCTGCTGGTTCATTTGATCGATGCCAGGATGCGACGGCGGCCCACCAGAGGAGTGCCAGTTATCGTTTCCAGAGTTCATGATGCGTGCACGAACCCCAGTAGGAGAGAAGTAGGAAGGTAGATTTGACGGATTAGAAGGGTCGAGGAGGGGAGAAAAAGTCAGGATCTGGTAATCGAAGAGCTGGAGCTCGTAGTCTCGTGGGTTGGAATCGACTGGCAACGCTCAGGTTGCACTAAGGTCACAGCATGACCTGAAATCTTGCAGATAAGAAGACAGAAACCGACTCCACGCAGCAAGAAAGAACCGGTAGAGAAGTAGAAGTATGATAGACAAGAAGGAGACTCAGACTGGGGTGATGGAATTGCGCGCGACCGATCGCGGGCTCCTGTGGAGGCTTTCCTCTCCGGAGCTAACCTATTGTAGTTTAGTGAGTGCTTATCGGACATTTGATTATCCGAAGTGTATTCAGAATTCATTCATTACGGTATTATTTGTATCTATTGGCGGGATTCCCGTCAATGGGAGGCGGTACATTGGTCATGTGTTGTATTGTGCGATAGGTCAATTTCAGTCCGCCTTCGTCATCGCCCGCCATTGCCGGCAGAAAAACATGACAGGCATTGAGGGAACAGCGAGACAAATGTGAATAGCATGAGTCATGAATGGATATGGGTGGGTGCAATAGACCTGTAGCTTATTGTACATTGTATAGCCTATCTCCTGTATCAAGCTGCATAATAAGACTAATTCTGAAGGCTGGGGGTGCCTCTCGCTTGTGAAGCCTCGGAAAGGGGCGGAGGGTAAGGGCTGGCTAACAATGGCTAGTTGAGTGGCCTCTTCTTCGGCATCTTTTTCAAGGTCCTTTATTGAAGACTTTTCCCCCCTATCTTCTCAGAGAACGTAACAGACAAATCAATAAGAAAAACGCCTAAACCGTAAAATGATACTGTTCTTCTTGGAACTAAGGAAGGATTTCTAAGATCTCAATACTAGTTAGCTGCCAAATCTATAGTCTCTCAGTAAACTATCGAAAGGGCCTCAAAATAGGCATGACATTCTCTATCATGAGCTGGCCACCATACAACGCCTTTGGCAACCCCACCGCAATAGCAGGAAAAGAGTAAACGGGGACATAGGTAAAGAAAAACTAGGTCTCCAAAACTCAGACATGAGTTCCACAATGAGAGCGGAGATTGGGAATTCGGGGGGAAGGGAAAGTCCTGTGATTATGGAACCTGTGGCTTGCTGCTATCATTATTTTCTGGTTTTCATTCTTCATATCTTGCCTGTTCACCAAGGTCCTCCAGCCACCCGATCCAAACCCCAGATGCGCCTGTTCATGGAAAATGATAATGGCCTTGTGATGGCTCGACGGTACTTGGTGCAATTAAAGAGCGGAGAAGACAAAGAGCTATTATCGAAGTTAGGATTGTTGGGATTTGGACAGAGACAAATAAAAAACTTACATTGTTTGTCGCCGCAATTGCAATGCTGTCTTCGAATGGATGCCAGCTCATGTGCAAGATCTTCTTGTTGAAGTCGATCTGATCCGCATCGGTCTCCTTCTTCATGCGACTGCCAGGGCCGGCAGGGCTACCAGATCGCGAACCGGCCTTCTTTCCGTTACCCTTGCTCATCGGTGTCGGTACACCAACCTTCTTTGCCTTGAATGCCGACTTGTCTGCCTGTAGCACAATCTCCGTATCCTTTTGTTCTTCTGTGGGGTAGATCATGAAGTTGTTGTTGTAGCTTCCGGTCATGACGTTCTCCGCGTCGCCTGAGAAGACCACCTCGAACTTGTCAAAGATGCTATCGTTCTCATACGTATCGCAAAGGCGAGGGCGCAGGTGCTCGTGGATGGGGATGGTCTTGATTGGCTGGCGTTCCATGTTCACATCCCAAATCTTCACTGTCAAGTAGTCCCTGGACACAATGTACCGCCCATCGTTGGAGAATCGTACGTCGGAGATGGAGGAGATAATCTCGGAGAAGAAAGAGCGGGACGAGGCATCCTCTTCTTGTTCGAACTCTGGAATAAAACAATCAGTAATGGCAATGGCACAGTTCCGTGGTTGTACATACGCTTGGCGTGTTCGTCACACAACGCCCGTTGCCGCATATCCGCAAGCTTGATTGTGCCCTTGGAGCTGGCATACATGAACCAGTTACAGCTGACCGGGTGGAACTCGGCCGCAGTGATGACTTCTGTGAGTTCCTCCATATTCGCTGGCTTGATATCCACGATGTTGAAGCTTTGGTCCTGGATGTTGAGGTTCCATAGGTTCACTCGCAGGTCGTCACTGCTGATAAAGGTTTCACCATCGCTGTTAACGGAAATGCTATTTATATGATACGCGTGAGCGTTGGCGTATGTCCTCCGCGGAACAGCGGCAACAACAGTGTCGTGGTGTGTCAGACGAGGCAGCTTGAGCGCAGAGGGGTCCTTGAAGGATACGCGGGGTGCGCGAGCCATACCTCCACCTCCAACCGGGTTCGCGGGAGTGAGTTCATTCGATAAGTTGTTCTCGGCGACCACTTTCAGCGACTTGTCGAAGACCTTCCAAAGCTTTATCGTCTTGTCGTTTGTCGAAAGAAGGAAATGGGATGCATTCTGTCGTCGGCACCATTTTATCTTGTTGATCTTCTCTTCGATCTCTAGCGACTTGAGATAATCGAACTCCGGCTCGTGTGACTGGAACTCTGTGTGAAACTTATACTCGCAGGTTTTTTTCTGTATTGTTTAGTGATTAGCCCCGGGCAAAACAAAAACGAAAAATTGAGTAAAAAAGACCGGAGGGGGTGGGCTACCGTCTCGTTTCGCTCGAACAATACCACCCTTCCTCCCTTGTCACCAGTGGCCAGGTAGTTACCGGTGTGGTCAAATTCAACAGTCGAGATGATGTCCGCTGCAGAGCGCTTGTCAGTCGATGCACTCTGTGGAGATTGACCAGATTCGGCCGAGTAAAGCGAGGGAGGCTGCCAATTACCTTCTGTAATATCTTCTACATCGCCTTTATCGCCGAAGCATCTGAGATCAAATTAGCTGCCATTCAATGACTCTTTGTGGTGACGTTGGGTCGATATCGCCTGGGCACAAGGAAGAGAAAAATGGAAAGCACAGGGCGGGAAACGTCTGAAAGGCGAGATCCGGAGAAACTTACTGTGTGAACTTCCAGGTAGGTGTGCCTGGATCTCTGTCTACCATCTTCACGTTCTAGCTAGCCCTTGAACGCGACAAGGGCAAGGACCAAGATAGGAGGGACGGGAATGGCGGGTTGGCAAATGCCTCCGAAAGCTCTAATGTCGATGCAAAGATTCACTGGGGATGAAGCGACGTAGACGCGATAGCCGACACGAAAGAATTCGGTCGGATGGAAATAACGATTGGAGAAAGCGGAAATGGAGAGAACAGTCGGTCACCGGAGATGGTGTGCGAGGGGTCTGGAGGGCGGATGGCGGTAAGGCGAAAAGAGGGGCAGAGGGGGAAACAGCTTTAACGATCCAAGTTGGAAAGACGAGCTGAAGAATGAAGAGCTGTTGCCGAATGAGATGGGCAACGGTTGATGATAGAACACAGTGAATGTGCTTGTTATGAGTGGACCCGCAGCAGAAGAGCTTGAGAGGGGGTCATAAGAGAAAAGTTTCTATTGAGGGAGGACCATTTGTTAGAATCAACTCCAAAAAAATATAAAAGGGACAAGGGGGATGGGGTTGCGTACTTGGTCCGGAGGCGATGAAGAAAGACAAGGAAAAGAGTTGTGAGGTGAAGTTGCCCAGGTGAGTTGAGGCGGTGGTGGGGAGTTCGTTAGATACGGACAAGTTCTTGGGCACCGTCAATATTAGGGAGTTTCTAGTATTCTCTTTCCTCTTGAATATGAACAAAAAATAATAAAAATCAATTTGATTCCAAATGAGATTGAATATTCTTCAAGAAGATTTCAACGTCGGGCACCTGCAACATGCTGACATCAACACTGCCAGCGACTGTAACATTGCCCGTTGCGCCCTTTGCGCCCCTCTCCGGCCTTGCAACCCGTATACGACTACACCGGGGGGGGGGGGGGGNGGGGGGTGAAAGTTGGAATAGCAATTAAACTATTTGGTTGTTCTCTAGCTACTGACTTAGATCAAGCTGAATCTATCTCTTTCAACTCTGTATTTAATCATCTATATGCCCAAAGCAGTACTATGCGCCTCTGTCGTCATTCTTGAGGCCCAAGCAGGTCTCCGCCAAATTAAGCATTGGTATATATCATATGCTATCTAGAAGAGATTGCTAGAAAGTTGCTAGAAAGGTAATTGAAGATATTCATTCAGATCCAGAGCATCCATATGCTAGTGTTGAGAAATCATTCATATAAATATATAAGTACTATGTTGTAGTTCCGTAAGTATATATTTTGACTATTTGAGCTCTATCATATTTCTAAATAAGCCTAATTTTAAGATTCTATAACTAAAAAACACCGATTTAACCTATTAACTATTATATAATATATCATCTCTCCTATCCCAGCCCATATAGCCCCATATACTTCATCCTAGTCGACCTTCACATGCTTCCCTGCATCATCCGGCCCAGGCATATTAAGCCGAACATCAAGCCGAACACCAAGCCGACAACCTTAGAAGAACTACCCCCAAATCCCAATCCCTATATCTCAACCTCAACCCTTACTCCTTGCATCTCCAACCTCAAATCCCCAATTCCAAACCCAAAAGACCCAAAGCCATGACCAACCAAGAGAACATGCGGGGCAATCCCAACCCCAACATCAGCCAAACCCAAAGCAACACCCCAGCCCCAGCCCCATTACCCTCAACCTCAAACACCCCCTCCAACCAACCCCCCGCGCCCCCCTCGCTAGCAACCCGCATCCAAACCTCCGCAACAGGCCTAGCAAAAAGCGCATTCCGCCCGAGCTCCGACCTCGCCAATACCCTAGCATCAAGCACAAGCAGCAAACCAGCCGGTCCATCCTCCCTCCCAAATACACAAACAAGCAGGGATCTATCCACAAATACCACACCGCATGGAGCCCCCAGTTCCGGGTCTGTGTCTGCGCCTGGAGCGCAAGCCTTCCGCGAATACGATACATATACATCGACAGCGGGTGGATTCGCTCTACCCGCCTTGACAGAAGATGAGTTCCAGGGAAATGTATACGGATATGAGAGAGATACAGATCTGCTAGGCGCAAACACGACCACAAATACAATCACAACAGACACAAACGCGAATGCAAATACAATCCACCCCCACGAAGACCTACAAACCCCCTCCTCAGCCTGGAAAGGCAAAGCCCGCGCCCACGACCCAACACAACACCAATTCGAAACCGTCTGGCAGCGACAATGGCATGACCCACAAAACACGCAGACAACGGCTACCTCAACCACAGACGGTGCAGCCGTCGTGTCTCTTCTATCCGATACGAACTTCGATCCGAACTTCGAGGATCCGACGACTGTACCGGATACCGAGCTTGATTTTGCCGCTGCACCGGCTCCGCTTTCTGCAGCCGAGATGAAAATGCTTGATTCTTTTCGGAGAGGGTTGGGGCTGGATGAGGAGAGAGCGGAGGGGAATGGACGGTTGACGGGTGCGAGTCTTATTCCTGATATTGATGTCTTCTTGAGTCAGGGGCTTGGAGCTGAGGGTGGGATTGGGATTGAGACTGGGGAGAGGAATGCTACGGTTACGGCTACGGGTGCTGGCTCTACTTCTATTTCGCTCCGCGATGCTGCGTTGAGGAATCTTCCCGATGCGAGTAATTGGGCTGGTATTCAGGGGCTTGGAGCTGGGAGTGGGACTGAGAATGCTATAGGTTCTGGTCCCATTCCTACTTCCCTCCGCGATGCTGTTTTGAGGAATCTTCCTGGCGGGGGTGATTGGGTTGGTGCTCAGGAGCCTGATCTTGAAGTCTTTTTGAGTCAGGGGGTTGGAGCTGGGAGTGGCATTGGGGTTGGAACTGGGGAAGGAAATGCTACGGCTACGGTTACGGGTGCTACTCCCACATCTGCTTCTACTTCGCTCCGCGATGCTGTTCTAACGAATCTTCCTGGTGCGGGTGATTGGATCGGTGTCGAGAAGAGATATCATGATGAGGTATGGGGGTATTTGCAGCCTGTGCTTGAGGAGGCGAGAGCGGAGATTGAGGAGAAGGAGGTTGGGGTGGAGGGATTAGGGGTTGGGGAGGATGGGCCTGCTGTGAGGAGGTTGAAGATGATTTTGATGCATATGAAGGGGTGATTGTATGGAGTACTAGTAGGAGGGTTGGGGGTACAGGTTTCACATGCTCTTGTAGTCGGGCTCTTTGGTTTTGTTTCGATATACCATGTACATGTATATGTAAATATTAGCTAGATGTGTACATACGAGAGGTAATATGGTAGTGAATGCTATTGTATAAATTTGACCGAGTAAAGCAGAATTCTTTTTGCCGCCGCTTCTACCTCGATGACTGGCTCGCTGTCTTCTGATTATTGGGCGTACTAGGGCTTTCTACTAGTAGGCATGACTTTCCAAGCCCTAGAACCAAGGAATCAACCAACTCACCACGGCTACGACTACAATTACATCAAATCCAAAACAAATCTTTGATTCCAAAGAATATATTTCAAAATAAGCTATGTATTTATGTTACACAAGAACCAAATTTGACCCAAGCAGGATCTTAGATCCTGAACACTGGAGGAAACAGCAGAAAGAGACGAAACGGGGGTATGAGAGATCACACGCTGGAGGATCATATTTCATCAGGGAGAAGAGGCATAAAGGAGAAGGCTTTTGATATAACCTCTACAGCTCCAAGCTGGGGGTCTCGCCCTTGACACGACCGATCACAGTTTGAGCAGCGTACTTGGGGATGACCTCATCATCGTGGAGCATAGCGAACTCCTCGGTAGCATCACGACCCATGAAGTTGTACAGGGCATTTGCGCCACCGGGGTGCTCATCAACCCAGTTAGTGAGATCGAGGATGACGCCCTTGACCACGACCCAGAGGGACTCCTTGGTGTTGTGCTTGGCGACTTCCTCCATGGAGTACTCGGTCTCTGGGATCGTGAAGGTGGCAGGATCAGGCTTGGAGGCCGGGGCCTCGGCGCTGGGAGCAGGGGCAGCGAGGGGAGCGAGAGCGGGCAGGGTTGCGCCGGTAGCGGCACTGCCCCATTCGACAGAGACCTTGCCGGGGGTGTTGGGGTCGATGTGGAGGGAGATCTGACCGAGACGTTGGGAGGCGGCGGAGGAGCCGGTGGCGAGGAGCTTCTGGAAGAGGTGCTGGGAGGCGGAGTCACCTGCGACACGGCCGTAGACGACACAGCCGAGGAGGGAGGAACCGCCGAGACGGTTGGCGCCGTGGACGCCGCCGGCGAGTTCACCGCAGGCGTAGAGGCCGTTGAAGGGCTTTTGTTCGCCGTTGAGGACCTGGGCGTGCTCGTCGATCTCGATGCCGCCCATGGTGAAGTGGAGGACGGGCTCCATGAGAGCGACGTGGAACTCGTCGTCGAGCTGGAAGGGCATGTTGTGGAAGAAACGCTTGTTCCAGGGGTCCTTCTTCTTTCCGTCGGCGATGAGGTTGTACTCGTCGAAGGTCTTCTTGAGGGCTGCTTCGCCGCAGCCGATTTCGGCAACGAGCTCGGCGCCGGTCATCTTCTTCATCAGGCCGCGGCCGGAGTAGTGGCGGGTGTGGAAGTCAAGGACATTGGAGGCTTTGCTGTTGAGGATGAGACGGATGGGCCACTTGCCCTTCTCCTTTTCTTCCCACATCTTGCCGGAGACGTAGTCGCGGTGGCCGAGCTCGTCGGAGAAGCGCTGGCCGTCGGAGTTGAGGAGGAGACCACCTTCGCCGCGGAGGGCTTCGGCGGCAAGAAACTTGAACTTGGCGCCTGGGTCCTTGGGGTCGACGAGACCGGTAGGGTGGACCTGGACCTTGTCCATGTCGATGCCGTTGGCACCGATGGCCATCAGCATCTTCTGGCCGTCACCGGTAGCGTGGGTGCCGTTGGTGGAGGACAGGCCGAAGGTGTCGGGGCGGTGCTTCTTGAGGAGGGAGGTTTCACTGAAATCAGCAGCGTAACCACCGGTAGCGAGAATGACGACACCGTCGACGGACTTCTCCTCTCCGTTAATGGTGTAGGTAACACCGGTAACATTGTTACCAGACTTGTTGATGGAGGTGACGTTGGCCTTCTTGACGATCTGGACACGACCGGGCTCCTTTTCGGCGAGGTCTTCCAATCGCTGCATCAGGGCGTAGGTGATGGCCATACCGGGGAACTTGGCGTCATGGCCACGGTGTGTGCGGGGGTAAGTGTGTCCTCCGAGACGGGAGACGAGGGTGAGGTCGAGGTTGAAGACATCCTGCAGCCACTCGACAGCGGAGGCGGACTTGTAGGTCAGGACCTTGATCAGGTCGGGACGGGCCTTGTCACGGGCGGACTTAAGGGTATCTTCGTAGAACTGCTTGACGCTGTCCTGGATGCCGAGATCGGTTTGAGTGCGAGTGAGAGCACCGTTGATACCGGAGGTGGCCTTGGTAGAGTTACCACCGAAGAAAGCCTGCTTGTCCAAAACGAGGACGTTGCCACCGTTGAGGTAGATAGTGTGTGCAGCGCTGAGGCCGGAAACTAGAGAGAGTCAGCTGGGGGAATAGAGAGAATGCGGGGAAAGGAATCCTTACGGCCACCACCGACCACAATTACTTGGGGTGCAGTCATTATGTTATGTGTAGAGGCAGAGGTAAATATGGAGAAGAAAAAATTAAAAAAAAGGAAAGGAAAGGATCTTAAAGAAGAGAGTTCGGGGCAGGTCAGAAGCCGACGGTCTATCGGCCGAGGCACGAAAGAATGGAAGACGTGGGGAGATGAAAGATGGGGGTCCCCGCTGGAATACTAATTGGCCACTTCTGGTTTGTCTGTTGTATTACAAGTCTGGGGAAGCTGAGGAGGTATCACATGCGATATAATGTTTAAATACACATGTACATCCTATTAGATTCAACAGTCTAGAATGTTTCATTGTCATTTTCACATGCATCTATGTCATGCCACATTCCAGTCCTTTCACTGAGTTGAGGGGAAGGGAATAGAAAAGACACCGGAAATTAGATCGGCAAGTTCAACGGAATTAGAACATGATACTACATAGCTGTGTTTTCCTGAAACATAGAAACGGAGAAACAGACACTGAATTCCGACTTCCTCGGTCTTCACAGTGAGAGCTGTGAACCTCGGAATAACATTCGCGGTGTCCGAAGTTTCCGAATTGTGCATGGCATGATGTTTGATGAGGAGAAAGTACCATTTTGACATTTGAATCTTTGCTTGAATCCCATGAACATGTTCAAGGTGTATTTTGTACAGATGTATATAATACGGATTTGATATCCAAGTCCATCTTGTCTGAAATATCAAATCGACCAACCCCGTGGACCTTGGAAATGACCGGAAAGAGGCAAAAGCAGTTGCCGGCTGAGGAACATGTGGCCTCTGATTGGTGGAAGGACAAAGTGGATATGACCTAATCCGGGGATGGGAATTGCCTCAGTGGGGCTGATGATCTCATGTGTCACCGTGCATCCACCGGTGTTTTTCCATTCAAATGCCGACTTGGTTCGGTATTTTGTCGACTATCGACTATAAACTTGGAGAGAGTACGGAAACTTTGATCAGATTTGCACCTCACCAACCCTTGTTTTCGTTGAGCTCAACAGCGCACTGGCCTGTGAATCTCCACTGCGGTCGCTCGGGTCAATGCGCACCGAGAAAGTATAAATTCCAAGAAGACAGTCAACCTGGGTTTCTCGAACGAGACGAGTGAACTATAGAAATGAAAATGGACATGCTTGATGGATATGGTGTAGACATGCACTAATATATGGCAGCGTAGGACTTGGGAGCAGGTAGGAAACCTACAATGCAATGCGCAACTAAACAGCCCTACAAAATAAGAACTGAACCAAAACGCTTATCCCAGATCCAACCATATATAATTTTTAATCCATCCAGGTCACACTCTTCGTAACCAAAAACTCATTCAATCCCTCATCAGTATTAAACCGACCCCAACCACTATTCTTCACACCGCCATGAGGAAGAGCCGGCTCATCATGGATCGTCATACTATTAATATGAACCGCCCTGCAAAACAAGTCAGCACAACAGACCCACAAATCCACCGAATCCACCCTAAACCAAAACCAAAAGGGAATCTCGGTCTGGAACACTCGGCAACATACCCGGATTGAATACGCCTAGCCATCGCCAAGCCCCTCCGCAGATCCTCCGTGAAAACTGATGCCGAAAGGCCATACCCACTACCATTCGCGAGACGGATAGCCTCATCCTCGGCGTCGAACGGCATACATGCCGCAACGGACGCGAAAGATTCCTCCTGCCACAGCGCCATGTCTTCCTTCACGCCGCCTAGCACGGCGGGCGCCATGCGCACCCCCGAGTCGGTGGGGATGCTGTCCGCAGACCCGGAGATAAAGTGTGCCCCTGCTGAGATGGCGCTGTTGATGAGGGCTTCGACGCGTGTTTTGGACGCTGTGTTTACAAGTGTTGGGGGGAGGGCTGAGGCTGCGGCGCCGGCTGCGAGGGCCTTTTGTAGGGCCTCTGTGAATGCTGGGAGGATGGAGGCGTGGACGAGGATTCGGTCGGTTGCCATGCAGATCTGGCCGGACTAACTCGGGAAAAAGAAATAAGGTTAGTTATTGACCCCGGAGGTAGACATGGATATAGGTACACGACGCGCGACATGCGCAGTGTATCTCAAACTCACATTTAAAAATGCTCCCGCCAATACTCCCTGCACGGCAGTCTGCAAATCAGCATCATGACACACAATCGAGCTATTCTTTCCGCCAAGCTCCATAAGACAAGGCTTGAGGTTCTGACCGCAGGCGCGCGCAATCTTCCGGCCAACAGCTGTGCTACCGGTGAAATTGATCTTGCGCACGGCTTCGTGCTCGATCATGGCATTGACGACCTCGGGGGCGTCCTGCGGGGCACAGTGAATGATATTCAGACAGCCGGCGGGGAGACCGGCGTCTTCGAAGGCGCGGCCGATGGCCCAGTAGCAGCGGGGGGTTAGTTCGGAAGATTTGAGGACTGTTGTGTTTCCAGCTGCGAGGGCGCAGGCTGCAGAACGGATGCCGAAGACGTAGGGAGCGTTCCTGTGGAAACAACAATTAGCATTGCAATTCATTGAATTTTATACTTCCGACCATGAAAGGTCCATATGTATAAAATAAAGTTCCCGGGAACCATGGATCAAAGCTGGGGATACTCACCAAGGCACAATCCCCAGAATAACACCCATCGCCTCCTTAAAAACAATCGCACTCTGCCCCTCCGTCTCGACAACAGGCACACTGCCGCATATCGATGTGATGCGACTCGCAACCTCGCGCAACATGCGCACTGCAAGCGGGACAACGAACCCCGCAGAGGCGCCGACGTCCGCGCCCATCTCTTGGCGCATGTACTCAGCATTGGTGTCGATACGGGCCTCGAGGATATCAGCGGCTTTGAGGAGAATGTCGCGTCTCACGGTCGGTTTTGTCTGCGACCATGAGGGGAAGGCGGCGTCGGCGGCTTCGACGGCGCGGATTGCATCTTGGGGTGTTGCGGCGGAAGCAGTCCAGATGGTTGTGTTGGTGTAGGGGCTTGTTACTGGGAAGGTGTTTGGGGTTGTTTCTTCATGACCATTTATTATGAGGGGGACTGTAAGTCCGGTGTTGGTTGGGATTGTCATGGTGGAGGGGATAGGTAGGGTAGAAGGTAGAGATAGAGTATGGGGTATAGGATGTGAGGGGAAAATTGAGAACACTATTGAGCTTCAGGATAAATTTTTTGCTTTTTTACTCTTTTGTATTGTATTCTATCTCGGTTCCACCAAGAATTGAACATAATTCGGATTGGATTGGGGACGATCTTTGCCAGGAACCGCCCTGGTTGCCCGTGTTGGTTGCCTCATGGCACTATTCCGCGCTATGCGAGGACTATTTGATTATGCTTTTCAAGTTTTAGCCTTGGAATGTTGCCTAGGTTTTTTTTTTCATTTATGGACCAATGAAGATTCGTATTCCATATACCTATTTTCGGCACTTATACACAAAATCGGCAGTTTCAGGGGATGCCCAGTGATCGACAAAGTTGAGTGATCGACACAGTTAAGTGGACAGCAGTCAACGATTCCTAAGCTTCAATGCGACATACCCATCTTTGCCGATAGCACCAATCAAATCATTATTCAATGTAGCCCAAATCACGGAATGCTCGATCTAGGATCTTATGGATCGTTTCGTCTTTTCGTTGGGTATAATCCATCATCGAATCTCCAGCTATAGCCGCCTGTTCAGCCGCCTCGCGTTTCACTTTGGTATATAGTTCTAGATCCGATGGCGATTTGAGTAACCAGTCACGAAAGATACGATGTCGAGCAGCTTCGGGCGAGTCAGGACCCCACACGTGGAGATTGACGTGGTAGGCTTTGGGCCAATTCTCCACAAAGAACCGGTGCTGGTGCCATCGAGGCTCACGTAAGATGAACCGAAATCCTGCCTCTTCCAGAGGCTTCACGTAGGATGCTTCATCCATGGCATCTTTTATTGTCAGATCAACATCAATAATGTCCTTAGCTGGTAGGCTAGGGACACTGGTTGAGCCGGAATGAGCAACGTCCAAGACCAAGGGCCCAAGGGCTTTCTGAATCCGCTCTTTGACTTCCTCGAACCGTTGCGCCCATTCTGGGTTGGGCTCAACTATGGTAATGGGAGGTTGTACCGTTCGTGAGGCTACCCGCTCTACGAGCTCTGGTTTGTACTCGTAAGGCGCGAGAATCTGCGCAACTGTTGCGGGCATTGTAGAAATGATGGCAGTCTGCTCTAAGCTGACGGTGGAAAAAGGAAGTGGCAGAGAGTGGATACTAGATTCTGGAGCCCCTCTTGGACTCTGGTGTTTGAATTGTTTGCATTGCTATGGAAATCTAGTTGCCTTGGATTGCTAATTCAGTTGTAAGATGAAGCAACGTATTATTGTTGGAGTAAGTTACAGTATTGATACTGATAAGTTTTGGCATTGATTTTCGCGAAACAAGAGTGTAGATGGTGGCACTAGTTTCGAGACGCACTGTACTCCGTACCCCCAGGGCCCACTGCAATTTGGCTTGGAAAAGAGGGGCCTTGAACTGGTTATCTGAATCCCCACTTTGGTATGGTTTGCATAGTGGTATGCAATATACGTACATATATACCCCTCCATACCTATTTCTAAATATGGATGTGTTCGCAGTAGCGTGTTGACTCTTTAAACCCTGCCTAGCAATCTAATAGCGTGGATTTTTGACGCTATTGATTCGGGATCTACATGTCAGCTCTAACCGAGACCCGGGAGAGGAGAGGAACCATGGGTGAGAACCTCGTGGCGTCCATAGGCACGGGTAGCTTTCTAGTCCTTCAGTTGTATATTGACCTCGGATATGTGTAGGATATATGGAGCACGAGGTAGAATATGGATAGTCTCAAGGCAATAGAATAGTTCATATAAACGTAATCCTTGCAAGGTTTTGATCTTTTTAAAGCTTGCATGACTCAAGATCCCAGTTTCAGCTGGGCAGCCGGTATCAGATGGGGATCAGATGGCGATCGTAGGGACGTCCTTCCCAATATAGTTGTTACTAGCCCCCACTTTTGATCCACTGGCCTATTTTGTAAAGAAAGCATTTGTCATTGCAAAACAATGATGAAGCTATACTTTGTATCCCATTGTACAGGTGAACAACACAATTGGCATAAATCTAGACTAGAAAGAGGTATCATATTAGCCTCGCCACAATCTTCAGCAAAACTTGGAATGTGAGTAGATCCCATCGGACCATCCACGTGGCGAGGCAATTCGGCTTATAATTCCGCATAAATCGAGATCCCCATCGGGACAACGATCGGCCGCTAGGGGTTGCGTGTGAGTGGATAAAATAGTGGGATATGGAATTTTGAGCTGGCCAAGGGTTCCCAGCGATCCGGGTTGATCTCGATGTTCGCGTGGTACAAGTGTTATATCAGCCAATGCCCTAGGATTGTGTCTTTTCCATTCATTCCTTTTTTTATCCATACATACCCGTAAGGTAGTCTTTGTCTATTCGGTTGTACCCACCCACACTCCTTTGCAATTAATTTGTCGAGAAGTGCAATGGCGCCAAGCAAGAAGGGATGGCAGATGATTGAGATCATTTCGGTCTTGGTCAGTCTGTGTTTGATCTCCCTGGTGCTGCGAGTCGTTGCTCGCATTCGGAGAAGAGTTGGGTTCGACATCGATGATTATCTGAGCATGATTTCCATGGTGCTCCTCGTTGCTATGTTGGTCGAGTTGATTCTTTGTATGTGATTACCCCGCCCCTGGTCTGGATTGTACTTCGATTCAATACTAATAGCTATCACAGGGTGTGCAATTGGAGGCAATGGATCTCATATCGCTGATCTATCTCCCGAAACCCTCATGAACTACTGGAAAGTATGTACCCAGCAATTGTCCAATATTCAACACACCAACCTAACACCACTCAGATCTTCCTCGCCAACCAATTTACCTACTTCCTACTCTGCCCATGTATCAAGATCTCCATCATCTGCTTCTACCGACGTCTCTTCGCAACACCGATGTTCCAAAAGGTCAGCTTCGGCCTAAACTGCCTAATCGCCGCCTGGGGCACAGGAATCTTCCTAGCCTGCGCAGGACAATGTCGACCCCTGCCAGCATACTGGGACTCCCGCGTCGAAGGATCATGTTTCGACGCACAAAAATTCATCATCGTCAACCAAGCTTTCAACGTACTTATGGACTTCGTCATCCTCGTCCTGCCAATCCCAATGATCTGGAACCTTCAGCGCGCGTGGCAAGACAAGCTCGCGCTGAACGGGGTGTTTGCCCTCGGTGCCTTCGTCTGCTTCGCCAGCATCTACCGCATCGTCGTGCTCTTCTGGATTAGTCCGACAGACCCAACATTCACAGTCTACCAGGCGACTCTGTGGACGCATATTGAGCCTGCTGTTGGTCTGATTTGCTCTAACTTGCCGATCATCCGTGGCCTGTTCCCGGCGCTTAAGTTAAAGAGCTCTCGAAATGGAACGGGTCCTACGTATATCAACACCGATTACACGAACTCGTTGTTCTTGTCGAAGTCTAGCCCCCGCTCGCCGGACCTTGAGTATGTTAAGATGTATAATGCCCAGGTTGAGAGTAAATCGCCGGGTCATCTTGGTGATGACCTTCACCCACGGACTATAAATGTTCAGACGGATATTTCTATCCTTCCGGGAAATGATTCCACTACTAGGTTGAACCACTGAGGTGGCCTGTTGTTGATGTACGCCGTTATGATGAGATGATTATTTTTATTTTCTGTCCTTGAGAAGGGGTGTGGGAGTGGATGAGGGTTATATTCCCTTGGAGGGAATGCCAACATCTCCATTTTCTACAACTTTTTGTCCAATTGTATGTTCATAGGAAGTACGAGTTCCCACGGCATTTCTTGCGCTCGATTACCCTTACTAGATTTATTACTTGCCGTTCTTGATATTGATATATCGACTTCACTGATGACTACACAATGGTTTGCCTGTATGCAACTACGTTTGTTTGGCTTTACTTATCCGCTCATATTATACCTTTCGTGTTTTTAATATTATATATTTGATATCCTGCTCCTGTATTGGTCCTTTCGGGTTGTATATAACTTGATTATTATGTAGACAAATTTTCGCATCTATTCATCAAGTTACGTGAAAACGCCCAGAAGCGTGTCAGTTGATAAATAGGTATATGAAGCTATGGATGTCACTGTCTAATGGCAGAATTTATAATTAAGTGTAGTCGAAGATATGAAGGTGAGAGACAGCAGCAAAGGGAGCTTGGTTTTAATTTCTCAGACTGGCTAAAAGGATATGCAAGAGTAGGCACAAGGCATGAATTCGTAGATATTTCATCAGATGGGCACACAGGCGATGTAGGGCAGGCCGTTCAATGCACCATCTGACTCGTGGCGAATTCCTAGAATCAAGATATTAGCAAGAAAAACAACTTCAGACAGAAAGAAAGCCAGTACATACCGGGAACTGATCAGAGATACTAGTCGCAACCCGCTCCACATCCTCCGCAAGATCCTGCACACCAAGATCCCACTGCCTCAGCTTCGTCCCATTAGACGCACCCGCCGAGGATCCACCAAGAGTCTCAGCATCAAACGAAATAACCCCATCAATCTGATCAATACGGCCACGCAGCCGTCCCTGCTCAACCATGCGCGCTGCATAAGCCTCCGCTTTCTCACCAGCAGAGATATCACCCGAAGACTGCAACCCCAGGATCGAACCCAGGTCATCAACGTGGATATTCTCATACAGCTTACTCGCCGCCACGAGATTGTGCTCGATAACCGCTTTGTCGAGAACGGTCGTACCATCCGCTGTAACAGCAAGCTGGTGCGGCGCCAGTTTCTTCGCGAACGCAGCCACTTCATCCGCCGTCAGGAGCCTGTCTAGGAACATCTTCTCCAGGATACCGAATTCCTCAACGGAGGGCGTGCGGTCGTCTTTGTACAGACGGGCGAGGGAGCGGGAGCGCTGCGGACCAGCAGGCGCAAGGACAGCACACCGGATCGCCGCGGATAGCGCCGTCAGACGGTCTCCTTCGTCGACGCCTGGCGCGAGACTCACGTCGAAGTATTCCTGGGCGGCGTCGAGGAAACGGCGACGGGCATCGAAAATGCGGGCCTGAGAGAGCTTGAAGTAGAGCTTTGCATCGTGGTCTTCTATTTTCGAGGGGAGGTTCTTGATGCGGTTGAGGAAGGCTTCGGCGTTGGTGGTGTCATCGTCTTCAAGGTAGTAGCGCACGATGCGGATCCAGAGGCGGGCTTTGGCGGCGTCGGAGACTAGACGCTGCGAGCTGTCGATGTGGATGCCTTGTAGCGCGCGAGCGGCGGCTGTGTATTCCTCCTGGGATTCGTAGGCGTCTGCGAGGATCTCGCGGATCTGGGAGTCTTGTTCTTCGACTGAGGCGGAGCGCGTGTGGAGGAGGGTGATGGCGTGCTGGCCGACTTTTATTTTTGTTTCCGGGTTGAGGGATTGGAGGACTGTGATGAAGGCGTCAAGGAGGGGGCGGGCGGCGACGATGCTCACTTCTTCGCTGAGGATTGAGTCGAGGTAGTAGACTAGATCTTGGGCGAGTTCGTGGCCGGTCGAGGTTGTTACCATCTCATTGAGGATGTCGGTGTATTGCTGTAGCTTTGTTGGTTGGTGCGGGTTTGTTTCGATGCCCGCTAGGGCGTTGGTCATCTTTTGAGAGGCCATGCTGGTGGTTGAGTGAAGGAGAGGTGGTAAAGAGAGTTGTTGCTAGACGCGGAGTGGTGGTGGGGACAGCCGAGCTACTCTTATCGATAAGAGCTGGGCTCGATGTATATGGGCAGAGACAGAACAATAGAGCTCGTTTTATCTGGTCATAACGTAGGTAGAATAGGACTTAGAAATCTTATAGCGGTGAGTATATAGAGCTTGAGATGGACTGTCCTCGGGGCTTGCGCCTTGCGATCGAGGTGGTTTGCTATTAGCGTCTTTACTTCTCAACCGCTTATATAGCTCTGCAGTTCTCCTACACCAAAATAGATCTTGCTCAACATCTTACCCAATGCATTGATTTAGACAATTATTTTTTTCACTTAGGTGAGATGGCAGGAGACCTTTGGACAATGGAACCTCAGCCCGTCGGCAATTTCATATGTCTCTTACGGATCCCTACTGATCCAGGTCGACCAAGAAGGATGTCATGTATTCTACCAGCTCCAGATGAATTTTTGGTCGAATAAACTGACTCCAGGAAACCTGGAGTTATTTGACCGTCTTATCACATTTGGTTCGGTCATAGATGTCACGCCACTGCCTGGGGAATCAAAACAGGTTGGTTCGACAGCTTTATTCGCAGCAGGGAGTTCATCATTAGCTAGTAGTCTCTCCCTTATGTGTTGTGACTAGAAGTAGAAGATAAATTAGCTGCAAAGTATAGAATATAGGCAATCGAAAACGTGTAAAATGTGCAAAATGTCTTTTCAATATATGGTGAAAGTAATTGAAGCAACTCGAAGTATAAGGTGGATGTAGATAACACTGTCATACAATCAACCAACTTGTACTTGTCAACAACCATCTTCGTGTCAATACACGCCTACAAATCGCGTTCTAAGAACTCTAACTCTCAGAACCTATCAAGCTGATCATTGCTCTGATCCCTCAACATGGCAGAATTCGAAGAAGTTTTGAAGGGCTTCAATGGCATTCTCGACTTGAGACAGGCCTATGCCTGGAATGCGGATTCCGTGAGTAGACTGATATCCATGTGCAGGATAATTGCTTATCTCTATTCTAGATAATGAAGTTTCTCCGCCACGTCGTCACGTATGGATATCTGTATGATATCCAAGACCACCAAATTCCAGCTCTTAGAGCCATGGTGGCTCGAATTGAAATGCTGCGGTAGGGGATGACTCGTATCATATGCTTGTCACGCATTCTGACTGATTTTTGTATTCGCATAGCCCTCCGCAAGGTAGCATGTTTGCCTCGCCCGGCCTAGAGCCAGATCTCTCAATGGGAAATGTGTTCAACCCCGGCTGGGACCCAACGATCCCGAAAAGGATAAAAGTTGCCTCAAGATGATTTTATGCATGATGGAGTCCCCTTTCGAGGACTCTGTGATATATTAGGCTTGCTTTTATCATCGATGGGGAATGCGCCAACGGGTGCAAACTCGCGCACTTTCTACCTCCCGCTCGTGGCCATGTATGGACGGTGGTGTAAAGTGCTCGGGGATCATCTGCCGTGTCCTACAATGTTCAATTGCACATGGATAGCTGAAGGAGAAGACCGAGGTCGCTTTTTCTTGGGAGCATCCCTTGGACGGTACAAGGAAGCGAACGCCTCATGGACCCAAACAGTCAAGGAAGCGAGGTTTTCTTTGATCAATGATGCGGATATGGCATTGAAGGGGTACACCATGGTAGATTGCCCTGCCTCCGGTAAAGGGATTTGGTTCGGAAACTGCGTCGAGGTATATCCTCTACTACATAGGTTGAAGTGAGTCTACCCCTGGGATCCTTACGGTACTAAAGCTAACAAGATAGGGGTAATACCAATCCGGGTGCTGTGTATGGAATAGCTGTGCATAGGAAAGGTGTCCTCCACAGCAATTATGAAGATGGTGTCTCGGGATGGGCTTGGAAAGCTGTACGAAGGCTGTGTGCCAATTGTGAAGAGCTCGTACGGATGTGGGGTGGATTGCCAGCTAACTTCGAGCCATTTGCTGATGTGGGTGGCAGCCACTCCACTGTTGACTACTAGTTTTATACTCAATTGAGTGCAAGGGTTACATGATAATCTTTTTGCCTATAATATCGTGCAAGAAATATCTAAAAAAAGACATCTGAAAAGGCGTCTGAAACGAACAACAGAAAGAGATACCGGAGTGGTCTCTTACATATAACCTCCCCAATATTATCTTGAACCAGGTATGTCAGGTTGTCAAAGCCCTATATCGTCAAGGACAGAGGCCACATACGCGGCTGAATATTCTTGTTAATGACCAACGCCGAAGATCAGAAGAGGGAAAAAGAGGTCTCCTGTGTATGCCGCGAAGACCTTGTTGATCGATCACACTCGAAATCTTGTGGATACCTTAGCAGACTATTGTCTCAACATTATTGCTCATTTAGTGCCACAAGTAGAATTTGTCCCCAGATTGGAAAATTGTTGTCCAGCCTTCTACATCTTCCATTATCAGCTTTCCTAATTCGAGGCCATATCATCGCGCAACAGTCTGATGTCAAGCCCCTCCCAGTCTCTATATATTCGGGGGAGTTGGGATTCGTGGTCGAACCCGAGGGAACCTTATGGTTAACTGGTTAGTCATATTACTGTATGCGAATAGCAATGTGTGATACACTACTCACGGTTGGCGAAGGCATGTTATTAGCAGCATGATAGTTGTCAAGTATGATGATTGTTATGACGCTGGTAGCTGATAGAAACGAAGGTTACTAGAAGGTGACTTGAGAAGGTTCCAGGGTTTCGCTCAGTTGAATGCCCATGTGGATAAGTACCACCTAGAAAGTTAGTTATGCCTCCTATCCGGGATCGGATTATAGTTGAGTGTATGAATTAAAAATGTGTAGGTGAAGAGTCGATAAGCACATCGTCATACATACAAAGGGAGCTGGCTCTCACCGCCTACCACATCGGGCTGAGGGAATAGCTCCAGACTTGGGTGGCGCGGACCTGATCACTCAAACACGCTTTTCACCGCATTCACCACTTCCTCTCCCGATAAATTCAGTGCCGCATCGACAGTCGCATTTGCTACATCATTGCCTACTCTGAATTTTGATCGTCCTCGAGCTATCACCCACCCAGTATGGCGCAGGTCAAGCAAGACCCGGATCGCCCGTACTTCAAGCAAGACCCCGACAGCAAGGATATTGTCCTTGGAGACATAGATGAAGAAGACCTATATGAAGATGCTGGAGACCTAGACTTTACGCAAGCAGGTCAGAACGTGTGGCTATCCCGTCTGCCTCGGGCGCTGTGGGAGCACTGGGCCCACCTGGACGATGATGAAGAGATTGAGGTTGGTACTATGAGAGTGGAAGGGACACCGAACGATATCAAGAGGGTAAGTGGAAAGACATGCGCATGCAGTGCTGGAAGATTCTGACATCCGTTCGTTTCTCAGGTCAGTTTGCGCCTACATGATCGCCCAGATAATCGAGAAATTCCCAAGGACTACACACTTCAGCGTCAAACGGTCGACCCATCAGGCACTGGATCACACCTTACACACAATACATACCTTTTTACCGAGAAGGATATCCCCGGCGTCGAGAATCGCATGGCTACATTTGGCGAAACGCGCTCGGTTCTGTACGAAGCCCAGAAACGTGAAGCGAAGCGGCGAGAACAGGGGAAAAGATGGGAGCCTTATGTGCGAAAGACGATACCAAGTATGTTTCATTGCAGTCATGGCAATGTGTATTTGCTGACAAGTCTTAGAACACACTGCCCTCGCCGGCGCGGTCAGTGAGGAATTCAATTGCCTGCCCGTGGAGAATGAAGAATTCCGACGGATCTCGGAGAAGCGAGCGCTGGAAGCTCTGAAACCTCGAAAGGAAACTGTCTTTATTGATAAGATTCCTGGGAAGATCATCCAGGCGCGTCATGCTCTTCCCACCGAGAGGGGACAATTTGTGGTATGTGTTTGCATTTCTGTTTCTTTTTGAAGCCTAGATTACTTACTTCGTTTGCAGCAAGCCACACGACCTTCGAAAGGAAAAGCGCAAGAAAACAAGTCTACCCGCATGCCGCAAAACGAACTTCTGGATCTTATCTTCCAGTGCTTCCGCGAATTCAAATATTGGCCCTTTAAGACACTCAAGGCCCGATTGGCACAGCCAGAGGCATATCTCAAGCAGACTTTGGAGATGGTTGCACACCTTGTCAAGGCTGGTGATTTCGCTATGACTTGGGAACTGAAGCCCGAGGCAACCCACAGCCAGTACTCGAATGCGATGGACAATGCAAAGGCAGAGTTGCCACCAGGAGTGGACGATTTCGAGTCCGAGGATGATCCAGCTTCTGGCATGGATCAGGACGACGTTAAATTTGAGGACGTTTAAACAAATACAGACAACTAACGGCTTCGATATGTTGCATAAGCAGGGTCCTGGCGTTAACTTAAGGCTTCCAAGGATAGGCCGGGAGTCCGGGTTCGATTCGGAAAATAGTCATAAAATGGAATGAACAAATGGATTACATACAAGGTTGGACTTGGTTCTAAGCGACAGTCTCTTCGATTGGTATATTTGAAGCTCATATCTCTGTAGGATTCGCGGTGACCACTTTTTGACCATTTTCTAGGCCTACTTGCAAGCTGGCTTCACCGAGATCGTATACATTACTTGTTGGGTATTGGGTTAAGCATGTCGAGCCAGTCATCTGTGAGCCCAATATTGTCGGTCTGGAAGTGCCTTTTATCGATTGGCTTTGGTGTAAGCTTCAGATCGTCTGATAGAGCAGTGTGCCCACCTATTGTGAACTATAGTGGCAGCGTGCCCGCTTCCATGGGGTCGATTTTCAACAAGAATTTATTTTAACACATTGCTAGATTGTTGCTAGCGTAGAATACGAGCACAATATAACAATATTGTGAGTCTAGTAGACAATAAATCTCCCTCCACTTAATCCTGAAATTATGTACTTCTAGGCGAGGTACGAAGTATTTCGTTGGTGATTGTTCAAGGGCGTGGAGCTACTCTCTAGTGATGCTAAATTTAGGTGCTAATACTGAAGTGAGTTTTTGTTTGGTCTCAGGTAACTGCACAGGCCTCGAAGAGGCATATCTCTGTCTCAGCTTACTCCGTACTCTTTATCTTTAGCCTGATGGCTGGTGACGTCCTCATCCACCTGAGCACAGACCTCTTCGCCACTTTATATGTGACGCCTAAGGCATCGAGTGTATGCAAACACTACAAACCAACTTCTCGGATCACAAATGGGCGCGTCTTTGCTGCTTCCGCATCACCGCCTCAGTACTTCTTCTGAAATACCCCCCAGCCTTTGATCTTAATCTGAAAATCACTCAGATATCTATATCTGTCATCTACTTACCCTAGCTAGCTCCAGATAGTCACCATGAGCGAAAACGACGATCTCCTGGCCAAGATCGGCCAGCTTGCAGGTGCGCTCAATACTAGCTCACTGTCGACACAAAGCTAACCTGAAAAGGCCAAATAAATCGCCACAAGACGCAAGAAACTCAGCCGGCTAACCATCAGTCTCAATACGTGTCTCGCCATACCCCTTCTCACCCAGGATGGGCCCCATACTACCGGGGACGCGGCCGAGGACGTCGAGGAGCAGCTGCTCCGCACCGGCACCGTACGCTTGTTTTGAACACCGCGGGTGCTGGCTCAAATACTAGCGCCAATTCATCACCCGCACCGATAAGTGCGAACGACAGCGCAGTGGTTCCGACACCATCTTCGACTGGCAATGGTTGGGTTGTAAAGCACGATCGCCACATGCAGCTGATCAACCCGGCCGTCTACGATCGGAAAACACAGGACAGAACAAAGGATATGGAACGAACGCGCAAGCTTAGAGAACAGAAAAAAACCGAATATGAAAAAGCGAAAGTACTTCGATATGCGCAGGGCCCGGGTGCTGGTGCAATGGTTTCTACCCCTGCAAACCCTGCATCTGGCCACCAGATTCTTGTCAATGATGTTGCTTTCAGGGTTGCAAATGGTGGAAGCAAACTGATTCGCATTTCGAGTGCGTGTTCCCGTCGCTATTCCCCTCGAATTGGCTTACCCTTCATAGATGACCCCAGTACTGCCAACAATACCCCCAAGCGCGTCACAGTCGCCGATGTGTCCTTTGTGCGAAGCAAAAACGGAAACCTGCACCGTCTCGGTGCCGTGGCCATGAAGAAGTAGGTTTTGATTTCAAAGGTGGCTACCTTTATACTAACCTTGCTTTAGGAATCACACTGTTAAGAAACGCAATGAGCTTTGCAAAAGATTTACAACAACCGGTATTTTGTTTTCCGACGGGCCATACTGCCATGTTCCACACTGTCAGCATGCCCAGAAACTAATTCGTCTGTTTTTTCAGGCACATGCTACAAAGGCCCGAGCTGCCAATTCGTTCACGACCCAAGTAAGGTCGCTATGTGCAAGGATTTCCTCCAGACAGGCCAATGTGCCGCAGGTAGTAGCTGTGATCTATCCCATGAGCCCTCGCCCCACCGCTCCCCTACCTGTATGCACTTCCTTAGGGGACGCTGTGCCAACCCGGAATGTCGCTACGCCCACGTCCGCGTGACACCCGGTGCCCCCGTCTGCCGCGCCTTTGCAACACTAGGTTATTGCGAGAAGGGCGAGGCGTGCGAAGAGAAGCACGTCCACGAGTGCCCGGACTATGCAAATACCGGCGCCTGCCACAAGAAGCGTTGCCAGCTGCCGCACGTCGACCGCGCGGGCCAGATCCGCAAGGCTGCTGCGGCTGCTGCTAGTAAGGCTGATTTGGGTGAGGATGACTCTGACCCGTCTAGCGAGGAAGAGAACTATGACGCTATTGATTCGGACGACGTTGACTCGGATGCGTTCGATGACACACCTGAAGAACTGATCGAAGGTGTCGATAGCGGCGAGATGTCGCAGCAGCAAGACTTTATCCGCTTCTAAATCCTAAATCCTGCCATTTGTAGTCGATTGGATAGTTGCCTTTCTTGATTTTCGTTTGCTTTGCCCATACCCCGGAAACATGTCGATAGCATTCAGTTGAAAAGGAATTGAAAAAAAAAAATTTGAACTTGAATATCTTACTTGAAGTTTCTCCTTGCATGTGTACTCAGTTCCTTAAAATTGTACGTTGATTGATCACATTTGCACATGTCGACATGGGGTTGAGTATACTTCGACAACTAACACATGCCGAGCCATGTGATACTGATAGAAATAACTGCAGGGTCCATGTCCTGCTGACTGGTGACATGAAGTATGAAGTTGTGTGACCATAGAGGTATTGATAAGCCTCACTATTGCGTGATGTTTGAAAGCTAAATGAACTCGTGTTGTAGAGAGCACAATATTGAAATCTGCACTCCAGGATATCCCTCCGAGACCTCCAAGGATGACCCCGAGCCCGTAGAACTTGCTTGCGCCACAGAGGTAATATTAGAAGCAGGCTGAGCAAGATATAGCTGGGGCCTAGAAGTTTGTCTTTGTTTATTTGTTAATCCTAGTGCATACATATGGTATTTTGACTGTGTGCTTGGTACATATATTATTGCCTTGATAGATGCGGAGGGGTACAAAATATGATATAGGCAGCAACGATACGAAATTGGGTCTCAAATATCAAAACTGGGAGCATGGAGTAGAGCCATAGATAATAGTCGAGTTCAAGTTTAAAACATTTACAAATATGAAGCATCGTGATCAACGCCACTGCTTTTATTGGGCAAGTCGAGAGAGTGACCACCAAATGAAGTCAAGCATCTCCTTGTCTAAATAGCCAACATTCTAGGTTCAGCTAGAATGGATAGTACATAAGTCCTTAGAAATCAAGTGATCTATTGTTGGTGGACTATAATCCTGGGCTTTCAACAAGCCTACAAGTATGTGTGTCACCAACAGTGGGAAGTTTTGGCGGCTAAGTCAAGCCACACATATCTACCCTTGTCTATCAATGCTATCTTGTGTTAGTCTTGGCTAGCTTTATTGAATCATGAGATGAATCATTGTACTACGTCGAAGTTTTCTGTTGGGCTTTAGTGCAGGACAGATAGTCTACTCAAACCAAGACTAGGAACGTCATCGAACAAAAGAATGCAAATCCCTCAGACGAGAATAGTAGCAGAGAGAGACAGTCTTTCGGACGAGAGCAGCAGTAGAAAGAGATAGTGACTCAGTCTGCCTGAGATACTGAATAATATCCTCATTGTCCTAATATTGCGATCATCGTAGGTTGTTGGCACACCTGTTCGAAACTGATTCCTCCGACGTGTTGGCTGGCCATAACCGCAGCAGGCGACAGAAACTCCCAAATCCTCTCATCCATAGCTCGCCCTGCTTCAGAATGAGTCATTGAATCGGTGAAGGAGGGTCCCCGGCGCAGAGTTCAAGTGTCCTTTCCCCGACGGGTCCAAGAAAAGAGAGATTCCCCGATAGGCAGGCTACAGTCATGAAAAACGTCAACGACTCCCCGATCCGGCATGTGGAGCATAACAGGAGCCCAGTAGTGAGTATCTAGTGGCTCAATCGCACCCAATCCTAGGCACTGGGTTGCCCCCATATGATGTGCCCAATGTACCCGGTGCACGGCATATCAGGTAGGTACAGGTTCAAAGTGAGGCTTTGAGATCATATGCGGCTTAGCTTGCACCGGGGATATGTTTTAGAGACCCTTGGGCACATACAGCGTACAGTGTATTGAAGTTGTATGGAATTGTGCAAGAAGTGGGCCATCGGCTACATAAATATTAGAATGAAAGTGGAGCGGTGGACCTGCCATGGCCTTCTAGCTCGTTCAAAGAAGGTAGATCAACAGTTTCATTCTGAGTCATATGGCAAAACAGTGGTTTCAGCTTCACCGCATGAAGGGCGGAAATTTAAGTCTTACATTGTGGGAAGGTATGAGGTGTTGAATAACTATATCGGTCTGTACAAAGCAAATATCATGATACTAGCCCTGGCTTCTCGGATGATTGTACTATAGAAGTCTCATTGGCGAGCAGAAATAAAAGTGCTATCGGGTACCTTGCACTGGAAAGAATTGCCTGTCTATGACTAATGTAGTAATAAACCCGTGAACGGGGTGAACGATGGCAGACTGGATCTCCATTGGACAGACTCGGCTTTTTCACCGCCAGATCTTATCCGGGCTAACTTGCCCACCCGCGGACTTGCCGCCCAGGTGACAGGCCTATCATTATCACAGGCTCCGTGCTGTGTACTATGTATAGACTGCGAACAGACTCAGCGGTTGCCGCCGAGGGGTGTGTGCCCCGGGGAATTGTCGAGACGAACTGGCAGGGACAAGAACCAGCTCTGCGCGTTGGGCGGCAAGGCTCAGTATAGGGCTTATTGAACGATGGGGGAAGTGGGAAAAAAAAAAGAGAAAAATTACAGCTGAATGATAGCCCAAGTTTAATCCTGGTATAATTCAGAGATCCTGGTATATTGAGGTAATAATGGTGGTAGATTAGGAGTTCACCCCGCAGCACAGCGACAAGCCGGAAGGCACCCGTCAAATACGATGGCATCATGTCCCCTGCACTCCGCATAGTCGATCATGGATTAAATGTGGTCTGTGAGCCTGTGAGAGTTGGAAAGATGTGCTGCAGCCATATGGGAGCTGCATAAGGAGCTGCAAGTAGATCACGGCAAGATTCAACAAGATCAGGCGGGTGGATGTTCGACCCAAGCTCTCGTTCCAGGCAGAGCCTTACCCTCCAGGGTACTTCCGCATAGGGATTTTGATTTTGGAGGGGTGAGGTCGTCATCTGAATAGGACGAGTGATCAGTGCATGGCATCCGTGCTTTGCTTTTTTTTTTACTTCTTTTTTCATCCATGGTCGGCCCAACAGTGGATCAACGGGCCGGGCCCGTCCCAAAGATTCATTCTATAGAAAAAAAGGATCCAAGACCATACGGAGGAAGGGAATAATAACGAACCCCAAAAATAAGGAAGAAGACAAGGAGAAAAAGCAAAACATAACCGCCATGAATGGCAGCCCAAAGGGATCGTCACACTGACTCGGGAATGATTGGCTGTTAGCGGCGGATAGAAAGGAGGATGACATTTAGACTGGACATCTGACCATTCACGGGTGATGAGTTTAGTACAGAAAAGGTACAGAAAAATACTAAAAAACACTTACTTTAAGTAGACATGCAGGTCAAGTGTTATGTAGCAATTAGTATTCTACCTAAGCGCCGTGAATAAGGTATAGCACAGACCATATACTCCCCACGACAGGGATTGTCTCAAGCCGGCGGAACGAGGATCGATCGATAGGCTATCGTTTATCGATAAGCACAGCGTCTGATTTCCCCCACTTGAGAATTTTTGGTGATGGCTTCGGGTTTACGGAGTGCGTTATACAGGCGAGAAAAGAGGTAATCCTGTATAGAACGTGTGTACACATACTTCGTACTAATGTTGCATAGCTAGTTATTACTCCGTATCTGTAAAGGAGTGAATAAATGCCAGCATTACCATCGAGACTGGATAAAAAAAAAACCTAAAACACAGAAAAATCTTCTAATAAAATAGAAAATAAAATAAAACCCAAATAGAAAATTAAGGCCGAAGGACCAAAATACCAACCAAAATAATCAAACATCAACAGATGCAGGTCTGCCCAAGCAAAACAATGCAGCCAATAACGGAGATGCTGTCTCGGGGGCCACACCTGCACTCCCGCGCAGACCGCTGGATGAGTACTGGGTACTTGATCGACAGGCTATTCTCCATCACCCACATCGGTACTCGGTACCTGTGGGTACAATGTCAACCGCACGAGCACTGCATCTGCTCATACATAGCCTGCTTCCCCCCCGGAACTAGATCACAGCATATTTCCCCCTCTTCACAATTATATCATCAACTTCATATTCATTTCTACAATTCTACCTTCTATTTTCCCTCGTTGGAGATTTTACCTCTATACCAATTTCTCTATATATCTTCCTCTTCCCCCGCCCCACCCCTCTCTTTTACACACACACACACACACACACCGCCTCTTCATGATGGCACAATATTTCCAGTCTGAATTCTACCAACAATCACCATCAACATTAGACGTGGCACCGGAAGACGACGAGATGAGCGTGTTGGACGACAAGATCTTGGACCCAAATTCCGAAGACCATCCCGACAACCGCCGCGCCTCCTACGACGCCCCAGATGCCTACTCACATCGGGATTCCGTCTGGTCCAACTACTCAAATACCAGCTCCAGCCAGTCGCAGTCAAATTCGCATTCGCAGATTGGACACGCCATGCTGAACTCAACGGGTGCCCCATTCATGCCCGTCGATGGCCCGCAATCGGTTTCCTACCCGCAGGCATCCTGGCCCATGCCGCGCACGGATTCAGGGTCATGTACCCCGACCGTGGGCTATGATCAGTATGCTACCAATGGAGACCAGAGTGCCATCACTCCCTTCTCTGGTGGTGCGGTTGGACCTGTCGGCGCTATGCCCATGAATCCCATGTCGTACCGTGGAGGTATGGCATTTGCGACTCCGGGTAGTGTCGCCATGTCACCGCAATCAAGCCAGGGCTGGATGCCCGCGCCGATGGACCTCGCTGAGGCAGAGTTGCACTCGAGGAAGAGCCCAAACTACCGTATTGCGTTACCGCTGCGACGGGGGGATGGAATTCGGAAGAGAAATTCCCGAATTGAAATCTCCCCCGAACTGAGTTTGGCCAATATCGATGAGGCTATCCGGGAGTGCACGGATGAGGAGAAGAAAAAGGAACTCAAGGCAAACAAGCGCCTGCTGCGGAATCGGGATGCAGCGTAAGTCGAGATTTATATGTTGAGTTGGATTAAATGCTAACCATATTGCAATAGGTTGCAATCTCGTCAACGCAAGAAGAAGGAAGCCGAGGGTAATATAGAAAAGCTTAAGCAAAAGGACGAGATTATCGCCCAACAAGCTGCAAAGCTCGCACAATTGGAAGAGAACAACCAGAACATGCAAAGAGCAATGAAGACTCTCGAGTACGAGAATCACCAGTTGACTGCCTACAACAGGCAGTTGACTGAGCACATCCAACGCCAGGACATGGAGAAAGATGAGACCACTCTCAGACACACGCGGGAGACCGCCAATCTGCTGAAGAGAAACAGCATGCAGGAGGAGATCATCAAACAGCTGGAGCGCGGTGTCAAACCCGCTCAAGAAAACCTGTCTGGCGACTTCACCGGCTTCGAGAACCCCACCATGGAAAACCCCTCATGGGACGATTTCTCAATGGTCACTGGACCCCCCTTGCAACCGGAATATGTTCAAGCTCCCCGTCCTCAGGTCAGCCAGCAGGTTAAGGTCCCGGAGAAATCCAGTAACGGATCAGACCTGCCGATCAGTTGGAACGCATTCTACATGTTCCTGCTCGTTGGCGCCTTCTTCGCCTCGAAGAGTACCTCCCTACCGGGTCGCTCGCTACCCCAACTCTCCGAAGAGTACCGGGCCGAGTCAGCCAACGTGCTGAAAGCCGTGCTAGCCTCGTCCCCTGGTCACGAGCTGACCCACCCCCACTCCATTAATCACGCGACGGCAACCGGACCTGCGCCGGCAACCATCAGCGGTATGGAGATGGCGCAGATGAGCTCTGTCCAGCCCGTGCCCTCGAACCTTGACCAGATGCATAACACGCTCGTCATGCCGACAGAGGAGCAGGAGCGTGAACAGGTGTTCTCAATGAACGCCGACCAGTATAACTCCCTGACATCGTTCGAGGATAATAGCGGCGACTTCAAGCCACAGCAGCCATCGACGCTGCAGCAGGCGTTTGCTGCGATGCGGGATACCGCAGCGCAGCAGAGTCGTATGCACTCCGCTTTGTCTTCCGATGTGTATTCTAGATCATTGATGTGGGACCGAGTGCCTGAAAAGGTTGTTCGGGACTTCCGCCGTATGGTGCAGGGTCATGGTTACGATACTCCTGTCAAGGAGGAAGGTATTTTCCACCCTTGAGGTTTTCCTTTTGGGATTAGTGTTGCGATTTTTGAGACCACAGTACTTTCTTGTGATTCTTTTTTTTCCTACCTTTCTTGCATTTCTTGCAATGTCCTGATTCGGACTTTTGCTTGATTTGCCCCATTCTTTCTACCTTTCTTGCATTTCTCGCGACATCCCACTTGGGGTCGTAGGTTGATTTGCCCTTTTTTCTTCTTCTTTTTCTTCGTGAAAAATACGGGCTAGCAATGGCCATTGAAATACTAGCGTGCAACGATAGATCACGCAACACTTTTTTATTCTTCTCTTGTTTGTGTATGTTTTTCGATGTCTTTTTGTGGGTGCGGTCTCAGAGTCAGGTTCACTCGGGCACAGGGGGCTTTGTTCAGCGATGTGATGATTTTAGCGATTGGCTTCGGAGCGTGTTTTTGTTTCTTGTTTTGACCAATGGGAGAGGGACTATATTATACGAACGACAGGGTGGAAACCTGAATTATGTGTTTATGTATACAGACCTGGGATTCTCTCTGCAAGCCGGGATGAGATTCTGGGCATGGGATACGAGAAACGAAACGAGTTATGAAGAAACCTTGCATGTGGCGATTGCATTCAACTGTGCTTATTATGACTTGTTTTATGATGTATGTTTTATTTTACTATTTAGCGATCTGAGGTGGGAAAGTGTCAAGCATCGGGGATGGGCATAGGGTGGGATGGTCTCGTGCTTTCGGGCTGGATGAACTTGCTTTTTCATGTTTTAAATGTCTTCTTTTGGTTCCTCAGCTCTTAGTTTCTGGAAATCCTAGTCTAGACTCGAGACATAACTCGCAAGGTTGTTTTAGCCTGCGTGATTTTGTGCTGAACCCACCCATGGCCGGCTGCAACGCCAACGAATCTGATGAAGAGATGACAATGTGATGTCTCACCACACGACATAAAGCAATTTTTTTTTTGCAATGTACTCCGTACGGAGTAATTGATATCGTTTAATCCATTATTGGCTCGGCTTAAGCCGACTTAGAACATCCTTCCCGCGTTTGGCGACTGCAGTATCTCTCCGGATCGGAGACATTAGATTAAGATACAACTGTTATATTGATATTATACACTCTCCATACCTCTAAATCCTGATGGAATGACCTCTGAGTTTAAGCCACTGCGCAGCAACTGCCCTTTTAAGTAAAACCCCCTCGATAAAAAACCACGATGCCAGGGTTCGACTCCACGCGTAATCTCAGTTCAAGGACCTTGGGGGAAAATCATGGCAATAACACCCAATCACCACCACGAGATTTGGCCCACTAGACAAGACGTGCGTCCAATGCTTACATCGTCCCAAGCTTTGACAAGAAATTATTCGAGCCTTGGTTTTGTAAAAACGTGTGTAGGGCTGATGGAGGGCTGATGGTTACTCCCGTCTGGGCATTTGTTATCCGCAAGGGGCATGGAAACCCTAAGTTCTCAGCACGATACCAGCACCCATGCAGATCAAGTACTTTGAACACCAATTAGACACTGTGATGATATTAAAAAACCCCAGGATAACTTGAATAACCTGGCAAATACAGCCGGCGACCGAAAATACAAGCTAACCATCAGGCTAACATAACCGGGGACTGAAACCCCCCAAGGTCCTCACCACAACGGAGGACCCGAAGAAGCGCATGATTTTTTTCTCTGATATAAAACGGTCAGACAATTCCTCCATCTCAGCAGGTCAAGATCGTCGTGATTATTTCTATCTCCTTCAAGTCTTTTGAGCCTTTACCACGGCTTCTCCCTTCCAACCTTAGGGCACGATCTACCAACATCATCCGTCAAAATGTCTTTCGATCCTCACAATGTCGACCTGGACACAGCCGATCCAACTGACATTGTTTGCTACATCAATGCCGGCGGCAACGAATACAACGGTAAACTAGGCGCGCGCATCTCGGCCATCTTCGTTATCATGATCGTCTCTTCAGCAGCGACCTTCTTCCCCGTTCTAGCACAACGCGCACCACGCCTGCGCATCCCAATTTATGTCTACCTCTTTGCGAAGTACTTCGGTGCCGGCGTCATTATCGCAACAGCCTTCATCCACCTTCTCGACCCCGCATATGGCGAAATCGGTCCCAACACCTGTGTCGGAATGACCGGTCACTGGGCAGACTACTCATGGTGCCCGGCAATTGTCTTGGCCTCACTGATGGGAGTTTTCCTCATGGACTTCGGCGCCGAGCGCTGGGTCGAACTCAAGTACGGTATCTGTCGCGAAGACCCAGAGCCCATGATGGCGACTGGAGGTGAAGCGCGACGTGTCGACTCGCGTGTTTCGGCACGCCACACAGACGACAAGCAAGTCAAGGAGATTGAGTCGCAGACTAGCGAGCTGGCTATCGAGCGCTCCGTTAAGCAGCAGCTTGCTGCGCTGCTGATTTTGGAGTTCGGTGTTATCTTCCACTCCGTCATCATTGGTTTGAACCTTGGTGTTGCCGGTGATGAGTTTGTTACTCTTTACCCTGTTCTGGTCTTCCACCAGTCCTTCGAGGGACTTGGTATCGGAGCCCGCATGTCCAGTATCCCATTCAAGAAGGGCAGCTGGTTGCCTTGGTTCTTGTGTTCTGCTTATGGTCTCACGACCCCCATTTCCATTGCCATCGGTCTTGGTCTGCGCACGACTTACAACCCTGGGTCTTTCACTGCCAATGTTGTCTCCGGTGTGCTAGATTCCATCTCCGCTGGAATCTTGGTATACACTGGTCTCGTTGAGCTGCTTGCTCGGGATTTCTTGTTTGACCCTCACCGCACTCAGGATAACAAGCGCCTGGCTTTCATGGTGGTGACTATGTTGCTTGGTGCTGGTATCATGGCCCTGCTTGGAAAGTGGGCTTGAACTAAAATTGAGTTGGAGATCTAAAGATGGTGTGTGTCTTTGGTGAAAGATGAGTGAATTGTAAGATGGGATATAGATTGGTTATAATTGGCAGTTTAATTCAGTTTCGAGACAAATGATACCCAAGGTGGGCTGGTTTTGTGATGAGTTCTGTTTTCTTCTTTTCCACGAGTAGGATGAGCAATTAATTATGCTAATATTTATGGTATTGTTCAAATATTACCGATAGCTTAACTAAACTAGACTACTTACTTGCCCCTAATTTAAGCTCTTTATAGCTAGATTAAAGCTAGATCTTACCTTATCAATTGAAGATCCTAATACTTAATAGGAATTAACCCCTAATTCTAATAAGGAGGGGGGGTACCTTTTTACAGCGTATAGAAGATAGCGAGATTAACCTACTATTTGTAGGTAGGTATTTATTATACTACCAGAAGTAAGGAAGAAAGTTTATTCACTCTTTTTACTAAAGGTTATCTCTTACTTCAACTTCACTTTAGAATTAATCAATGAGACATAATGACTATCACTACCTACTGAACAGAATCACTAAGTATTTGTTAATATTATCACCAGGTGTTTCACCTCTATCTCATTTCACCTAGTCCTTTCGGTTCGCCTAGTAACCGCTGTAAGAAACTCATAATACCGACTCCCTGCAAGTTTTCTCAGTGTATATACTATCTGTGTATTTTGAATCCCCGTCAGCAGGCTAAGCTGAATCGCTTTGAGCTCTCTTTATCTTCGATAAACGCACACATGTAGTTACTCAGCATCAGAAATTGCAAGTACAGTGAGAACTGCAAACAGATACCCTTGTAGATTTGGACACACATGCATATATTAGGTCAATTGACAGACAGCCTAGCTTAGCCATTGATAGATGTTATGTCACCTTACATACACTCAGCTAACATAAATACGTACTTTCAGCAACCAATAAGTAATTTTAAAGTACCGCAAATCTTAGGTACCAAATAGGTTGGGTTGACATCTGGCAATGTATCTAGCCTGGCCCACTCCCAGACTCCTTCCCGTCCTTCACTCACCTCTTACTATCTCTTCCTGCGACAAAACTGCTACAGCAAATCAATCCTTGTCGCTGCATTTCTACCAAGAAAAACGCCCCTCTTCGTGGATTTGATAATCACGATGAATCAATCAACTCATATAATAGATCCAGACGGCGAAGTCACCATAACCTTGCGCAGTGCAAACTCTCCTTTTGCAGAAGCGATCGATGGTACGGTATCAGTACCTGGCATAGAGACCCTTCCAGAATCCAGTTCAAAGAGCCTGAAGATAAAGCGCAAAGGAAAAAAAAATAAAAAATTCATGAAAGTCCCTTTAATCCCAGAAGCACTGCTTGAACCAGTAGTGGCCGAAGAGCCTGCAGCCGAAGAGCCTGCAGCCAAACCGCTTGACGAGAGTTGCTTCTACATTCAGGTCTCCGCAAAGCACTTGATATTTGCGTCCTCGGTGTTCAAAAGGATACTCACCGGTGGTTGGAAGGAAAGCATTACTTATCTGCAAAAAGGCTCAGTCGAAGTTACCGCAGAGAGCTGGGATATCGAAGCGCTCTTGATTCTACTTCGTGCTATTCATGGTAAATACTACGAGATACCGCGAAAGCTGACCCTTGAGATGCTCGCCAAAGTTGCTGTCATAGCAGATTACTATGAATGCAATGAAGCTCTGTACATCATGAAAGACATCTGGATCAACAACCTGGAGGAAAACATTCCCGCAACATATTCTCGGGATTTGGTTTTGTGGTTGTGGGTGTCCTGGTTTTTCCAGCTCCCTTCCCAATTCGAAGCAACAACATCGACCGTCATGTCATTGAGTGAGAATGTGATTCATGCTTGGGGGCTTCCAATCTCTGACAAGGTCATCGGTAAGGCTAAGCAAATTCTTAAGCTGATTAGCATCTAATGTGCTCCCAGGATTGATGAACAAGCGAAGAGAGGAAGCCATCAACAACTTGGTTATCCTCCTTCATCAAACACGCGAAGCCTTCATTAGCCGCAGTCGAGGCTGTAACTTCGAATGCAGCTCAATGATGTATGGAGCTCTTACGATACAAATGCAGTCAAGTGATCTTCTTTCGCCGAAGCCTGAAGCTCCTTTTCCAAATTTGAACTACAAATATCTCACGCAGAATGTGTTGTCGTTCACATCACCCCGATGGTCTGTGCCCCCCATAGAGCATTTTAGAGGTTATGCAACGACTTACACCCACGAATGTTCCAACTCTTCCTTCACATCCCTGTTCGCGGACTTGAAGGATTATATTGGAGGTTTGGAATTGAACAGCATTGATTCCTTCTAGATAAAGCTAAGGCTAGGTCTCAAATTCAAGAAGTTGTTGAAGCGTGGAAACCGTGGGGAAAATATAGTTCTTTCATCGTAGGCAGTAATGTCAATGTTCTCCCAAACCAGTCCATTTATCATAACAAGAATAGTTGACCACCTTTACAACGTTGTGATTTATTTTTAATTGGTCTTTCTAGATGTGTGTGAAGGTGGTTTAAACAATATACTTTGTGCCAGCGACCTTTCTATGTAGGTTCAACCAGGCATGATCTAACTAGGATAACATCTACTGAAAAAAAGGGTCGAATCGCAAAACTATTTCGTTTCATGAATAGAATAACATTGTAATTAGCTACCTCACATCACCACCACAACAGCAAGTTGGCCAGCAAATGTATCAAGAATCGGCTGTTGACTATGACTTTTGCCATACAAGCGAACCACGTATGTACTCGCCCTACAGTAGAAACACGTGAGTTTGAACGAAGAAACAAAGGATTATTGACATCTATGGGAATTTTGAGATAAGGCTCACATCAACGATATACGCATCAGCAGTATTCAGCTCGAGATTGTTGCCATTCAATGTAACCAGGCGGCGCTTCTCCGTTCCAAGCCAGCTGGGAAAAGAGGAAACCTTCAAGTCATGCTTGACTGTAATTCCTCCGTTTGCTTCCTCTAGATCATAAGGGCCACAATATGCTAGATAATGCGACATCGCCTGAGACTGCTCCTCCTGCGTACCTTTAATTCTGTCCTTGTCGGAGAAAGCAGTGGCTCCTGGTCGCATGAGGTGCGCAGACATAAAACCGTCTGCGCTGTACATCAGAAACCCCTGGGCATTTGGGCCCATAGGATAGGTAATGTGACCGGTGTCGATATGGGTAGCTTTGTATTCAACTAGGCTCCAAGTGCCGACGAGGCTCTGACGAGTTTCTATGATAGAAGACATCGCGGATATTGGGATATTTGCTGTTTGTTTAAAAATGATGGAAATGCAACTATCATCTGATGATACTACGATAAATATATCGAGGTTGGGACATGCAGGCCGGTTTTATACCAGCTCCGGAGACATATAACTAGAATATCCTGCACAGGGAAATTTTTGGGTTGTCTGTGGGAATGCAAACCCCCGAATTCTGATCGTAGGTTGTACAGTATTTCCTATCATAGAAAGTCGGACATATAATACTACTGCTGTGTAACAAGTCGATAGTAAGTAACACCGGTTCGTCATATTGGGCACAATTGATGTAGAGCGGTGCTGAGGCTCTGTAGATCACTTTTGTTTTTCGGGCATTCTATGTTCTATGTATGATACTAGACGCCTGTGTTCTCCATCACGGCCAATCCTTTCCCTTTTATCTTGATTCCCGCAAGTACTCTTAGACCTCAGGATCAACTTGGACAAGGAGCCACACACACCCAAGTCTTTGAACGCCATGAATTACTGTATTCGGTCGGATGCATCTTGGGACGTGGCTTTTGGAACTTCAAATACATTAGGACCCATTATTAATCCTTGAAAGTTGCTCAAAGTTAGATTGTTTATCCTCGAAGTATTGTCCACAAGGGCATGGTGTCTTACGGAAGCGCTCGCTCTGCATAAGCTTGAAACTCATAGATTGCTACCTACAACCTAATAATAAATAAGGCCAGTCTTAAGTAGTTAGCTACGGCGTTAACATGTTTCGTCTTGATGGCAGGTGTTTCAGAGCGGGGTGGATTGGGGCTGGCGCTTAACCATCGAACACCCCTTCTGCTCTATAAATACGATGAATTCTTTTCTTAACAGACCTACTATTACTCGGGGTTTTATTATTCAAAGCTTTACTATTTCCTAGAAATTATCAGTCCAATCACCGCATATCCAACAAGGATTTTACCAGACATGGAACGTACAATGCATTCAAGGGCTTCTCAGCCACTCAGAATCCTCTCGCTCGGTTGGTTTCCTTATTTCCTCTGAGTAAATTGAGAAAGTTACTGATACTGCTTAGACGGTGGTGGAATTCGGGGCATCTCGAGCCTAATGATTCTACAGAGAATCATGGAAGGGATCCGCGATGCTCATCAGCTCAACTATGTCCCACGCCCGTGTGATCATTTCGACTTGATTGGGGGTACAAGCACTGGGGGGTACGTCCATCTGTCCTAAATACCTGGATATATTTTTTAACGTAATACAAGTATCATCGCTATTATGCTAGGTCGGCTCGGAATGACCGTGGATGAATGCATTCGAGCGTACCGAAAGGTTGCAGAACGTGCTTTTACTCCGAAAGCACATGCCATTATCCCAGCGCGCCCCGATGGAGCTTTCTCTGCCCGTGCACTGGAGGAGGCTATCAAGCAGACTGTTACAGAGTTCTGCACAAATAGAGAATGTGTGAGCCGTCGGCGCAATAGTCCCTCTGGAACTCGATGCGAACACTCTGATCTCCCCTTCCGCGATCATTCGTGCACGAAAACGTAAATTGCTCTTTGCTGCAGAAATCAGGTCAGTACTGACACATCATAGGGTTGTTTTTGCTGTCATGAAGGCCGATGTCAACGCGGAACCTACGCTTTTCCGGACATACAACAATTCAAATGCATTGGATGGTTGCGCTATTTGGGAGATTGCCCGCGCCACGTCAGCTGCGAGTACGTTCTTCAAGTCAATTAAAGTTGGTCGAGACAAGATCGAGTACATTGATGCAGGATTCGGCTACAACAACCCATGCGACAGGCTTATTGCAGAAGCTAAGGAGGTGTTCCCTGGCCGGAGTGATCTACAGATTCTGAGTATCGGAACCGGACTTGGAAACGCGGTCTGTATAAAGAATAGTCGCATGTCAATTATTGAGGCACTGAAGAAAATGACTACATCCTCCAATAGGGTAGCCGCCAGCTTGGATGATCGATATGGCGACAATGGCCAGTATTTTCGATTCAATGTGGAACGTGGTCTCGAGGATATTAAGTTATCAGATTGGGAACAGACTAGCAAGATTTCCGAACACACTAGGGATTATCTGCGCGAGAATTCCAAGGGAATTGAGAAATTTGTGAAGACATTTGGGGCAAGGGGTGAGCAGGATGGGCGGGGTTATGATCGGGTTATGAATATTCCCTTGGTAAGCCCTGTTTAACTCTAGACAAGCACAAATATTACGAAAGGATTTCCTTTATTGCAAATGATACCATCGCTAGACGTAAGATTTGACCGGAATAGTATGTCCGATAATAACGCCTTGAAACCGTGGGAGCTAGTGCAATGTTGTGTAAAGAAGGTAGGCAGACTTATGGGGGTTGTGAGACTATCTGAGTAAAGAGTGGATATCTCAACTGCCATAAGTTCAAGTTTCAGAGCAGATCAATTACCTTGTGAAGTTAACTTTTGAGAGAGGCGCGTTTCCATTCTGATTCAGGCATGGTCGAACGATGCGTGGGTTTGAAAACACCACTGAGCAAGTGATACGCTAATATTCTGAAGACCCTTGGAGGGAGAAGTTTAAGGGAATTTTTGATCCATTTGATGGGAAAAGTCATTAGATTGTCGAAGTGAAGGTCGGAAACATACTTCTATTTGGATTATACTTTGGTAGAGGACCAGGCTCGGATGCGACCTCCCCAGTACCAAAAGCAAACAGGAACTGGAATCAGACAGACACTCACAGCACCCAGAATTGTTGTCGCATAGGGGACACCAAGCTTCTCAAACATCTGGGTGGCAAAAAGAGGAAAGACAGCCCCAAATACGCTGCGCATTGACCCGTTGATTCCCATTGCACTGTTCGCCATTGATGTATAACAATCCACAATATAAATAAAACCTTGAATGAAGAGCAAGTACATACCACACCCCATGAAAAGGCCTGCACAGAGAGGACTTGGCCATGGGACGTTTGGTTGTGCTGTCCAAGCAAACCAGAATATCCCAATAGGGATGAGCACTCCGCCAAGTATCATTGGTGGTAGCCGGGCTTCTGGAATGAAAGTTCCATCGGAAGTATAGCAGTGGTGTCTGAAGTAGGCCTGGTTATAAATTATAATCCCCAAAGTGCCAATGAAAACCCCAGTGATTATCCCAAGAAGAGGCAGAGTGTCGACACTGGTATTCCAACCACGGATCTCTCCGAAGTAATAGGGATAAGCCTGATAGAAGAGGAAAAGAACTCCGTAGAGAAACGAGTGATAAATGGTCAAAAGGGCCAGGATAGGCTGAGTAGCGAAGAGCCCTATCAATTGCGAACAGAAGAATCAGCATTGAGAAAGGGCGCAGGGGATATTGGTCAAGACTCACAGAAAGGCCGCAGGAGATATACCCGTGCAAATTCATGAATTCCGGAGGTTTCCTTTTCCAGTGCTGAGCGGATGGCAGGGTTTTTATATTTTTTGCGCAATAATTGGGCTTCCTTTCGAAGAATGGCGGGGGGATAGGTCTCTGGAAAGACAAAGGCTGCTATAGCGCAAACTCCCAACCCACAAATTAACATTACCCAGATAGTCCAGCGCCAACTCAGTGACGATCCGACGATAGCACTCCCAACTATCGGTCCAAATGTCGGGCCAGAGAAGAACAAGCAAATCACGATAGGCATGGCGATACTGCGGTGGGCCAACGTAAAACAGTCGCTTGTGATGCCTCCCATAACAGCCACTGGAGATACCCCAAAAAACCCAGCAAACAAACGACCAATGACAATAGTTTGTATATTTGTGCCAAGCGCAGGCATAAGTTCCAGAAGGGAGCATATTGCGACGCCACCAATCAAAGGCCATTTGCGGCCGAACTTTTCTGAAAGTGGGCCGAATGTGAGAAACCCGAAGATGTATCCCTTTAGAGACGTCAAATAAGAACCAGCCACACAAAAGTTAAGTTGAAAGTCTGACACTTACCCCCATAAACAAGGTAGTGCAAAGAATCGCTACTTCATGGTTGGCCCCAAATTGCTCAGCGACTCTTTTCTGCGCAGGGCCCATGATGCTGCTGCTGATTGTTCCAATGAGATTGAACACGGATAAAATCACGACTACAAGAATTTTCTTGGCCAGTGGCCAGTTTTGGGGGATTCGAGGGTCATTGGGATGTTCAAAATCAATGAGCAAATCACATCCCTGTGGTTTCTCTTTCTCAACCTCAACTTCTATGGGATCAGACCCCATCTTCTGTCAAGTTTGGGTGTGGGATGATCCTGATAGAAGGAACGGAATTTTTCACGGCGCCAGTTGATCGAGTGGTGAGGATCACACGGATTCATAAAGCTAGACACATATCATCCGGCCTGTAGAGTAATGGATCATATAAAAAGAGCTTTTCGGTTCAGAAAACCGGGATCTTTCATATTCCCGGGCATCAAACCGATTGGTTTGTCATCTCATTCACTTGCTATTTTTTTCTCGATGAATGTGGAGACACCGAATGTTGAACATCGAGTGTTGAAATACTTTTGTGGGTCCTCTATAGTCATTGTACTGAATGTTCTAGTTAAGGAATGGTCCAGCCTTCCTTATCTGAACCTAAGATCCTCGAATCTTTCATAGGAGCATCTGATAAAAGCATAAGAGGCTCGGAATAGCATTGCAGAATAGGAAAATAGATACGAAGTGGGAACCAATATTTGTGCGTTTCTAACGTCCAAAGACCAAGGCCGGGTCAAATCCCGTGGGATCCTCTATATAGGGCTTGGCACTAGAAAATTTACTTCACACCGACCAATCAAATCCGGAAGGTCATTCTACAGCTTTTTTCTAGAGATAAAGATCTCGGGAACTATTTCAAACGGCGTTTGCTTGCTAGAGTCGCCTCATACTACGCTAAATATACATCACTCACACAGTTTGACTACGTAGTAGGTTTTTAGTCTTCCTCTCCCTTGTCAAAATATAGCAGTACAGAGTACGTTTAAATGTCTACAATGCCAACCAAAATGCATATTGGTGTGGGTCTGGCATGACTAAGAGACCCATTTCGAACCATTTTGCACAGTTATATATCCACATCCTGTCTAGCTATCTAATTGCAACTGGCCTGCAGCAGCTTCTTAGGTAGCACGCTGATCATATTTCTCCCCAAGTCCCTTCAAAACAACCTTCACCAAACCTCCCAATGTCCCTGCTCTGTTGATTTCCACTGTAGGAATCTCCAAGCCCAATGACCTCCGTAGCCAATTTCTAACCTCTATCGCCATGAGGGAGTCCACTGGCATGCCCGCTAATGCCTCAGTATCGTCTGCAGAATCTGGTCCTTCCTCCTGCGTCTGCCCTGTAAGATTATGGCTGATGAACTTGCCGAGTTCCTTCATCAAGGCGACCTCAGTCTCTTTTTTGCCCGTCAGCGAGGGGTCCGCTTGTATCTGAGCAAGGAGGGCCTTCAGCGCATTTGCATGAGATGACGAGTCCCCGCCAATGCCATCACTAGTAGACTCAAGGTTGGGATAAATCGAAAATCGAGCGTCCCGTCCACCAAGGAATATTTCCTTGGGTAGATCGGCGCGACGCCTCGTGTGCGCGAGTCCCATTGCCATTGCTCCAGTCGCATTAGAACCACTGACCGGCGATATGTTGATCGCTGCGGCGAGTGCGTCAATCACTTCCCCTTCATGGAGCACATGCAGCCCGATCGATTGTATTCTCTGGAGGAACCGTGAGTTGCGACTTGCAGCACCTACATCTCCAACCACTCCGAGGTGCAAGATAGAAGAAGGGAGTCCCTGCTGCCGTCGATACCGAGTAAATGCTTCCAAAAACGTAGTTGCTGCTGCATAATTGGCCTGGCCAGTGTTACCACATACGCCAGCAATTGAGCCAAACACGACAAAGAAATCGAGTGAGTGTTTCAATGTGGCATGATGCAGGTTCCAGGTTCCGGCAACTTTCGGCGCCAAGGCGGCTTCCCACTCCTCGTGGCTCATCTGCAAGAAGAGCCGATCCTAATATGAAAATCATTAGACGCTGTGTTTGGCAGGGCGTTTGGGCGAGAAAGGGGGAGAAATTCTTACATTCAAGTCAACTGCCATCTGGAGGATACCAGCAAGGGGCCGCGTGCATGTGGCAACAGCCTCCTTTACATTATTGAGATTCGTCACATTGCCTGGGACACAAATGACTTGGCAACCCTGCGTCTCAAGTTCCTGAATAAATGCTTGATCCTCCTCAGATTTTCCAGCTGACCGCGAGAGGAAAATAAGCTCTCGCGCATTCTGCTCAACCATCCATGTTGACACAGATCGCCCAATACCACCAAGCCCACCAATCAGCAGATAAGCGGCATCAGATCGGAATGTCGGGAATGTTTTCACAACAGGAGGAGGCAAACTCTCCACGGAGGTTGGCATACGCACCAAAATCTTACCTAGGTGAGTGCCGGCTTGCATGTACCGGAATGCACTGACGATATCGATTGCATCAAAGACTTTGACAGGTTTGATAGGCCCGATTTTCCCTTGACGATACCAATCAGAAAATGTTGCCAGGGTGCTGCGATGTGTTAGTTATTTTTTTGCCTTCGCACGTCCATCTGTGACGAACCTTTTGAGAATTTTTGGAGTCTCCTTGCAAACCTGTGCGAGGTCAACACCGAAAAATGCTCGGTTGGCTTCGAAGAGGCTCATATTCAGCATGCCATGACTTATGAAGTCACGTTTTCCCAATTCAACCATCCGACCGAACTTCGCAACGCATTCCCACGACGCGTGTAATAAGTTACCGGACAATGAATTGAGCACTACATCAACTCCCCTTCCAGCGGTGGCACGCATAAGGTCCGGTTGGAAGGACGTGTTGCGAGAGTTGAATATTCGTTCTCGAGGTAAACCAAAATGTTCCATCAAATGGGCTACCTTTTTTTCGTTGCCGACAGTAGCATATATCTATATTGACTAATGGTTAGCTTTAAATAACCATACTCATTACGGGAAGGTTGGCTGACCTCGGTACCAACGGCCTGGCATACTTGAAGAGCAGCTAGTCCAACCCCGCCACATGCAGAGTGAATGAGCACCGACTGGTATCGTGTTAGCTACCACCCATAACCAAGGAACACAATAGTGACTCACCTGGCCCTTCTTCAAAGCGCCAATTTCAAGCAGTGAATAGAGAACAGTGACGTAGGCTGTTAGCATAGTGGCAGCATCTGCCATCGACAACCCCTGTGGCAGCTTTATACAAGCTTCATGGGGTACTACAACGTTTGAGGCCAGGACCCCAGAATGCATCAAGACTACACGGTCGCCCACTGTGATATCCGTCACATCGGCTCCAACTCGAAGCACAATACCACTACCTTCGAGCCCGAGATCCTCTTTATTCCCGAAAAAGCCCATTGCAACCATCATATCCTAGGGTAAATTTATCAGCAAAATATGCAAGGTTGGTGTGGAGCGAAAGAAACCCACTTTGAAGTTCAATCCTACGTAGTCCATCTCAACTTCAACATGTTCCTCATTCAACTCATAGGATGCCTCTTTCTCTGCCCAGTGTAGGGTATCTAACAGTCCATATGTCGTGAGAGCTAACTTTCGAGACGAATCCGAACGAGGTGGGCTTGCGAGCTGCTCGACGAGAGGTGTCCAGTGGTACCGGCCGACCTTAATCTCGCCTTCGTGCAATGCAAACTCATACTCTGGATCAGGAAGGGACTGGGCGCGAGATCTTTGTATCTTCTCACACACCTGTACAACGGCCTTTGCGCTAGCCGTGTCCCAGGCGGGAACCTCCAGAATTGAAATATCAAGCAACAGCTCTGCCCGTAAAGTGCGGGCGAGCCCATGGATGAAGCCAAAAATTGGATCAGAGCAGGTGTGGGAAGTTGACTGCGTGACCCACAGGATTTGGCATTCTTGCGCTTGCTCTATGTAGCGTTGGAATACCTCGTAGTCATCCTTCGGCAGGGAACCTATTGGGGCTCCTTGAAGATCCAGCAGAGACACGACGAATTTTCCTTGGGGTGGAGTTTCGTGCAGGGTGGTCCAGTTAGTGATATAGCCTTTGTCACGGACCTGCAACTCGACATCACTCGCCCACTCGCACGGGGTAGAATTACTTTTTAGCAGCCAGATATCGTTAGGAATGGTGATCTCGTCCACCGGTCGTGACAACATGCTGGCAGATACATGATAGGGCGGCTTGTGATCATAAGCTATCACATCAGCTCCAGTGAAACCTGCAGCTCGTAGCTCCCGATCCCATCGCTCGGGTGAAATATATGGTTGGTCTGATCGGCCGTCATCCTCCCCCAACCACCAGCCGGGAAATACACCCTATAAAATCTATAAGCAAGACAGATAGTGGGGCTAAAAAAAAGCCGGGACCTACCATAGTGAAATTCGCAGTTAATATTTCTGCATTCTAGTTAGCTAAGTGGTCCAATCTTGAGAGGGGTTGACATACCCGGGCAGATCTCATGGAGTAAGAAGCGGCCGGTGGGCTTCAGGAGAAGATGCACATAACATAGTGCGGGGTGAAGACTAGGGGTAGCGTGGAGAACCTGGTGGAGAAGACGAGTTAAACTATGTTAAAGACAAACATTCTAGTCAAACACTCACATTGGAAGCGATGATCAAGTCAAAGCTATGAGCATCAAACCCTTGCTCGAGAGGATCTAGGGTGATATCAAGAACTTTGTATTCCATGCCCTGCTCATGGCCAAATCTCTCCGTTGCCGCAGCCATAAATCCCGACGATATATCAGTAAAAACATATTGACTATACATTCGCTCCCCACTGGGGGATTTCAGAAGCTCTAGAGCCATGGCAGTTGCAGAGCCGGTACCTGCACCAATCTCAAGTATTCGTAGTCCGGGATTGGAATGGCAGAGTAGCGGTAGGAAGGGCTTCCAATCAGCATACTGTGTGTGTGCACCGTGGAACTTGTGCAGCAAGTTGTCCTTCACGAGGACCTCCAGTGGGTTACTTTCTCCAGATGTGAATGCTATGCAGTTATCGAAGACGACCTGGGTGCAATCCACAAGTGGAGCATCAAAGGTAAACTTGGTCTCCGCTAACACCTTCCGTATCATTTCCTGTCTGTCTGAAGAACTTAGCAATGCCCACTGAGGTGACTCTGGGTAGATGGATTGCCGTCCACTTGTTTTGATATTGAAAGCTGCGTCTATGATGAATTTCTTCCATTTTGCGGAATGTGGTGATGCTGGTTCAACATCTTCAATTTTGTCCGCCGTCTCTAGAACAAAAAGTACGGATATCTGGCCCAAGGCTTTGATATTCATGGCCTGCGCTGTGTAATCAAGTGGTGTAGACAGAAGTGCTGATAAAGGCAGGAAATCAATGCCCGATTTCCACTCAAGGTGGGCTAATGAGCCTGCGACCCCAGTTCCGGAATCTATATTGTCATTTTCCAAGGCGAAAAGGTAAGCACCTTGAATGGAGAGTACTACCTTGTCGCCAAGCATTGCAATGGCATCGCCCAGTTGGCCATCTCTTGTACCGCGCTTGGTACGGGCGCTTGCTGACATAGGCGGACCCCCTGATCCAACAAACAAGGAATCTATCATAGCTGGAACATAAATTGTTGTGAGATGCCGCAGCAATCCTTGAGAACAGGCCACACCCATAAGTTGGAGACATTGATCAATCGCCGTGGGATGCAGCGAATACCTGCTCCCAGGCAGCCCGCGGTTACCCAAAACAGTCGCAGTTGCCCGTGGCCCGGTGGGATCAGCTGTGATTTTCTCCAGGCCCTGGAATTGACTACCGTAATCTATACCGCTCCTTTGAAGAACACGGTACACGCCTTCAGATGGGACGGATCGCTTATAGGAAGAGATTGGGAATGACTCTGGAGGATGATCGGACCCTGCTCTTACTTGACCCTGGCAATGCATCGTCCACCGTTCCCCGTCATGCGCCATGATTTTGAAACCGTACCAGCCGGACGGAACCCTGTCAGCCACTTCGACTGGACTAAGGCTCGTTACCATCTCGATCTGGTCTCCCTCATGGAATAGAAGTGGCGTTATAAATGTCATATTACGCACCGAATAACTGTCGTTGTCTGGATGCAGCTGCTGAACTGCCTCGCCTACCATAGCGACAAATCCAGCACCAGGGAATGTAACGGCTCCTTGGATTAAATGATCCAAAAGCCAGGACACATTGTCCAACGTGACTAGATTGCGCCAAGACGGCTCATGATCGGTGGTATCGACAACCCGCGAACCGAGGACTTCATGATGAGGAAACGCGCGCTGCCTCCACTCCCTGCTCAGTCGACTCTCACTCCAGTAAGGGCGGTCGTGTTGCCAAGGATAAGGTGGAAGATCAGTCAACGTATTGCCCAGCTCGGTTATGCTTGACAGATTGACTCCCAGACCAGTCGCATGTGCCTGTCCCGCTGTGCATAGTAGCTGGGTTTGGACATCCTCTTCATATCTGAATAGGGTGGGGATATAGACTGGTGATCTCGCTGACAGAATCCGGAAGATTTGTCGCAGAGGGGCGGCGAGGGCTGAGTGCGGTCCAACTTCTAGGAAGACCGGGGTTCCGCTAGTGGGTAGACTCTGAATAGCCTCTGTAAAAAGTACCGGTGATTCCAAATTCTGTCGCCAGTATGATGCATCTAGTTTGCGAGGGTCGGTTATTGTGTCGCCAGTCACACTGGAACAGAAGGGAAGCATTGCCTCCTCATATTCAATATGGTGAGAGATACAATGTTCATATTCAGAGCCAATCTGTTTCATGTGGTCTGCAAATAATGTAAGCGCATGAGTACTAGATCAGGGCTCAGGAGGCAATTTACCAGAGTGATAAGCAATTTTAACTGTGAGCCGCCGGCACAGTGTATCTGAATTTGCCGCCTTAATGTTTTTGATCGCACGGTCAATCGAGTCTTTATCTCCTGATAGGGTGACACTATGCGGACTATTGTGGCAGGCAACAACCACTCCAGGTGTTAAGTACGGTACCACTTCGTCCGGAGTGAGGCCAACAGCCACCATAGCACCTGAGCCTTCTAGCGGCTTTGCGACTTTGCCTCGATAGTATGCTATGATTATAGCAGTTCTCATCGAAATGGCTCGCGCAGCATACGCAGCCACGATCTCTCCACTGGAATGACCCACAACTGTGGATGGCTCGATTCCCCAGCCCCGAAGAATGTTCACCAGGCCAATTTGAAGCGCAATGCAGAGAGGCTGAGAGAACTCGGCTTCGTGGATGCGAGAGATAGAACTCTCTTGCCTTAGTTCATCTAGTAGGTAAGTTAGTCAAAGGGTTCTCGTAACTCTAGGGGTAGGGCCCTCGATCTTACCATATAATAGCCAATTTGGGCCATCAGGCAGTTGCTGGAGTGCCTCATCCATTATTTTGATATCCTCCTTGAATATTGGGAAGCTAGACAGAAGCCTTAGCCCCATTCCTGGCCATTGAGCACCCTGACCTGTGAACACAAAGGTGACACTCGGGGAACTTGTATTGAAGATCGTAAATGCCGTATCGTCTATTGTGGCTTTAGTTGGATGTACCACGGCAAAAGCCCGGTGGGGAAGATGCGATCTTCGCGCAGCCAAAGTGTATGAAAGATCATGTATGCGGCTGGGGTGATTCTTTACATAGTCGACAATCTGGGCAATGCGCTTGCGAAGAGTTTCTACAGTGTGTGCAGATATGACCAAAAGTTGTGGGTCAGAAATTCCAAGCGATGCATTCTGAGACTTTGGAGAGATTGTAGACGCGGACTCCAGAATAGCGTGGGCATTGGATCCCCCGATACCAAAAGAATTGACGCTGATCCTTTGGGGTCTGCCAGCAGGCCACAGAGTCGGTTCTAGGGGGACATGGAGATTTGCGTCTTGGAATGGAATTTGGGGATTTGGTGTTTTGAAATGGATATTTGGTGCGATGGTCTTGTTTTCAAGTGACAAAATGGATTTGATAATGCTGGTGATGCCTGAGGCACCCTCTGAGTGACCGACATTTGGTTTGACCTGTGAAATGTCTAACATAAGTAATTACCTTCGATATTGACAACTTTGCGAATAATCACACTAACCGCGGTGATATATGTTACTTCTCCTTGAGTCATTTTTGCAACAACTGATGCTTCGATGACATCGCCAACGGCTGTTCCAGTCCCATGGCATTCAAAGACAGGTGTTTCGTGGATTGCATCAATGCCCGCAATCTGATACGCGTGCCGGATCAACCTCTCTTGGGATATAGGACATGGTTGGGAAAAGTTAGGTGTCTTGCCGTCGTGGTTGGTCACTGTGGAGCGGATGACGGCACGGATAGCGTCATTATCACGAAGCGCGTCCCGCAATGGTTTGAGATATATGCAGTTGATCCCTTCACCACGACCGTAGCCGTCTGCGTCAGCATCAAAGGTATGAGAGATACCACTTGGTGATAAGACCATGTTTTTGGTCATAGCATCCGTCATGGTTGGGCCCCATATAAGGCTTGTCCCGCCCACTAGAGCTGTTGAGCACTCTCCAGACCTAAGTGCTTGACTGGCCTCGTTCAGGCAAACTAAGGATGAAGAGCAAGCTGTTTGAATAGTCATGCTGCCATGGGTCAGAACTTTTGAACATAAAAACAGCGTGCCGCACTCACCTCGGGCCCAGGAGATCAAACCGATACGACACTTGGTTTGCTAGCGCGAAACTACCGGTGGCGATGGGATATATTTGATTCAGATGCTGGGGATCTTTATGCGATATCTCTAGCCAATCCTCCCCAAAAACGCCCACAAAACAACCGATTTTCTCACCGCGCCACTTGGTCTCCCCCGAGTTTTCCAGGCACTCCCAAACCACCTCCAGCAAGAGCCGTTGCTGGGGGTCCAGGCGTGCTGCCTCGTGGGGAGGAACAGAAAAGAACGAGGCGTCGAAACAGGCTGGATCTTCTTGCAAAAAGAACCCTTTTTTCATTTCCCTCAGATCACCACAATCAGGGCTGCTAGATGCCTCTCTCGAACAGCGCGAGGGAGGCGCTTCACAAAAGCCATCTCGTTTATTCACGAGCATGTCCCAAAACTCATCTCCACATCGAACACCGCCTGGTAGCCGCATTGCCATACCAATGATGGCAATTGGCTCCCCAAAATCATCCTCGTGGTTTCTGCATGATGATTGTCCTTGTCCAGTTGTAGAGTTCATTTTGGTCGAATGATGGATAGTTTGAGACTGGATCAAGATTGCTGCAGAGCAGACAAAACAAAGGTTGAACTAGGCTTTGGGCTCCGATTCACAATGTATGGCCTTTTGACCATGGACGAAATTTCGAGTAAATTGGCATTTGGGCCAAATCTACACACAATATGTACCTACATATCCTGGTTCTGTAAGATACAAGAAAGGCATTTCCTCCGAAATCCTCCGCTACCGGAAGAGTGGCATGTACCTGAGTGGTTTCCCGGTGATATTTGCGGACACTGCAAAGAAAGAAATGCGCATATAGTTCCAGCTCGCCCTCGAATAGCATTAAATTCTCAATTTTGTTCAACACTACTCAAACTAAAACACGCATATGTGTGACTGCAACACAACTAGTCACCGAGCTGCCATCTGTATATCATATGAGGTGGCAAAAGTTTATTCTTGCCATATTGAAGTAAGTATATCGAAGGCTATGAATTAAATAAACCAACCAGCTGGCTAATTTGAGGTGATTTTCTTGGTGGAGATTTTTACCTTGCGTCATAAAGCAAAGCTCAGCGTGATTATAGAATATATCAACATATCAGGTGGTGATTTATTATCACCAAGATCTGGTACTACAAAGGCTAGAACAATCAGAAGGAAAGGTCGGCGAAAAGAGCTCCACAACCCTCCGGATGTCCAACCCAATCTCCTACTAAAGGTGTTCAACGCAACCCACCTTCATCTAGCTATTGTGACTCTTATGTGGAAAAAAAAGGTACTTCAGTTTAGAGATATTCTGAGCCATGAACCAGTACAACCCAATTTCCATTGAGGGGTAATGCGTTAGGCCGATTAGGCTGTTTCATTCCGTCATTCGGAATCAAGACGCCATGATAGTTTTGACTATCTTCCTGTGCCGATATTGCCGAAAATGGCTGCGAGAAACAAGGTCCAGGTCCAAAAGCAAGAGAATAATATATTACCACTAGACGATAGACTATGGCTTACAAACTTTATTACAGACTGTAGGTGATAAGTGGGTGTAGGTCTTGTCCATTAAAACCTTTATCAAGCCATCTGATTGTCCCAGGAAAGCTCGTTAGTACAAAAACACCTTATATGTTGTAAGGATCACAAGTTCCAACCAGGAGCAGGAAATAACTTTTGATCAACATGGACAGCGAATGGTTTCGAGGACAAGTGGTCTTCCTCACCGGAGCAACTGGAAATCTTGGCGGTTGCCTTTTATACAAGCTAACGATTCAGCTTCCAACTGCCAAAATATTCGTGCTAGTGCGGGGGTCCGTCCAAAAGGCAATCAAAGCATGGGAGCAGTCGATGCCAGAGCAATTGGAGGAGATTATAGCCACTTGCAAAGTCCAATTCTTCCTCGGTGACGTGACCCAGCCGAACCTCGGTCTCTTACCCGACAACCTATCGCGCCTACAAAATGAGGCCACGGTAGTAATCAACGCTGCTGGAGACATTGCTTTATCTCGAGATCTCGCAGAGACTATACCAATCAATTGCACTGCTCATCTGACACTGGCTGCTCTACTAGACAGTTTCACTCAGTTGCAGCGCTTCCTTCACATATCAACTACATATGTCTCTAGCTTCCTCCCCGACGGCGTGGTCAAGGAACAAGTCTATCCTCTATACGAAGACCCAGTGGAGGAACTAGGGAGGATTCTCGTCACAGGAAAATCATCTTATACGAAACAATTCGCGGCTCCCTATGCGTTGGCTAAACACCTCGCTGAATGTTTGCTTCTGAGTGGCGGCCACAAATTCCCCATCCTCATTGTGCGACCCTGCCTCATATCACCAGCTATTGCGGAGCCCTACTCACTCTACGGCAGCGATGGTGCCATACCCGTACATTCCTTTCTCCAGATACTCCTAGGAGATTCCGAATATGGGCCTCTGAAGCTCGAGCAGACACTACCTTCACATGCAGCCTGTAATGAGATCCCAGTTGACCTCGTGGCACGCACTTGTCTTGCTCATGTTGCTGAAGGAACGACAGGTGTGGTCCACGCCAGCGCCGACCTGTACGTTTCCTGGTCAATTGGAGAATTGCTCGAGCGGATGCGCCGTCACGCTCCAGAGGGAGCAGTCGACCAGGTACGAAAGGCCGGGATTGAACACGGAGAAGTCACGGCTCCTGAATTTTACACCATGATCCAACAGTTTGCACGGGACTGGAAAATTGAATGCATGCGATCTGCTCACCTGAAGCAGGTAGTGGGTCCATTGGGGCTTGGGCTCGGAGATCATGACCCAGAGATATTCTTTAAGCTTCGTATCGAGCGATTGGCGAAGACTCTTTTGGAAAGGCTGGAAAGTGCGATTGTGGCAAGCAACAAGGTATATCCGAATATCTCTTAAAAAGTAATGACTATGTTTTGGTGGTAGGCGTCCACCAGTCTGTTCAATGGTTGTTCTTGATGTATTAGAATCCAACGCTTTCGTGGAATTTCTCAGCACAACCCATAGTATTGAGTATCGAAGGCTCCTTCGCAGAGTTGCGCTGAGCCGAGATTCTTTTCCAAAAGAGGAAACCACGTGTAAGCGCCATAGGATTTCTACTGGGTAGGAATTATGAGAATATTTATTCTTCACATTCTACCACAAATCTATTCAGCGTATTATTAGTATCCTCCATCTTGGAATAGGGTTAGTTCTCCGACCGAAGTGGTGCCCAACGAGCGAACCAACGTTCTAACAAAGCAGCTAGCCAGAACGTATGCCACCGGTTCATAACTCTCCTCTGAGATAACACCTCACCGCCTCGTTCATCGCCGCCTTCTTGAAGCATAAACTACTTCGTAATTAATCTCAGTCTGTATATTAATGTCACCATCTATTTTATTTTCTATAAGAATGGTAAGCTGGGTTAAAGGCCTTATGATGTCTTTGAGCTGGTCTTTTAGCTGGTCTTTTTAGATGTATGTAAAGGAGTTAAAAAAAGGATACATTATAAGCAACTTTTCTATATATAGTCAGGGGCACTTCGACCTTACGACTAACGATTGATCTTAAACCCTATAAAGATACGATCATCTCTCTTCTAAACCGGTGGATCTTCTAATTCAATGTACAATACTTTACTTTTGATATTCTTCAATTTATTCATAAAGTATACTCTTATAACGTATAAATCATATACTCTTAGAGAGTATATACATGGTAGGTAGGTTAATACAATTGGAGAGGTAAAAAAACTGCATACTACACTTTGAACATGGTACTTCTAGGTTAGAAAGTGAGAGTGGAGCTAAGTTACTGCCTGGTAATATTAACCAATGTCGGAGTTATGAACCGGTGGCATACTTAGTCACCCGTAAACGTGGCCTAGAATTATCACGCCGTAATCCTTACAGGTATTTGAAATGGGAACCTGGGTCTGCATCCCTCTAATTCCAAGATAAGACCCGCCTTGGTCCATCGGCGAACGAGGATCCAGAGTGACAGCTGCGCCACAAAAAAACATTCTCAGCTGTGATAATCAACAAATCAGCCGAGCCAAAACGCAAAAGCAAACACATCGGGATTTGAATAGACCAAAATAGCACTAAATGGAGTGTGCTGGCTATCCTGACTGGAAATTCTGCAAATAGGGAAAACTAGCCGATGCAAACCCGTCGTTCGGAATGGCCGTAGTGTGGAGACCATGTGGCTAGACCAAATGTGCTCCTCCACGTGCTCTATGGTGTATACTATTGTAATATTCCTCAGCCTGGTCTGGTCGATATTGTATTTCGAAATGCGATGCATCGTGTTGAATGCCCTCCGATAAAGAAAGGTGGAGCCGAGCCAAGGTCAGGAATAAGATAGCGAGCTAAAGTGTCGTAATATTTGATCTGTATGAGAGTGAGAATGGATCCGACAGAGAAAATAAATAGCTTTTGATGACCGCTGCTTTCGGTCGTTGCTTCTCATCTATACTGCTGTAATCATCGACCTGAAAGATGATCTCAAAAGTGCTGCCACCATGCCTTCATCCAACACTCCTACAGGTGTATCTTGCATGGGTGGACGGCTGGCTCTTCGTTTCGAATGGTCATGACACAGCGCCGAAGCAGCTCATCAGCCTGGGCGAACTGGCTTCTCTTTTCGACGAAGAAAATATATCTCGGTTGATGGATCATACCTGTTTGATGCAAGTCATCCACTCGCTAAAACAACACCTCAAGGATGGGACAGTCACATTGGGGGGACGAACACCCCCTGCATGTGAAGAGACGAACCTGCTTTCCGAACGATATAATCCCCAAGTCGAGTGTACATGCGAGGACACCCAGCCCACCATGCAGCAACAGAATAATTGTCATTCCGGGCAGCACAGATGTCATGCCATCCAAAGCATGAAAGAAGTCATGGAAACAGTCATCGAGCGAAAAGACGAATGGCACAGCATTGGTCTCTTCACGCCAACGAAACTCAGACTCGCAGTTGACGAGCTAGTGAACTCAAACACCGACATTCAGCAGCCCCCCACTACATGCCAAGGAACAGAATCATCTTCCATTCCAAGAATTCAAGCACCAGACCGTCGCCCAAACCCATCCGTTGACAGCAACCCCCGAATCGGAAATCAACTCTACCCGACCGCTGAACAACTCAAAATCTGTGCAGATGCAAAGTACTTCGGAGTTATAGCCTGCGGTGGAAGTCTCTGTGATGAAGGTCTGGCTCGGGCTGTGGCGGACTCATGCAACGACATCCTAATCGGCGATTATTGCGAAGCCGCAGATGCAGAGGGGCTCAAGCTTCTTCAGCAAGTGGGCGCCGCAGCTATGTCATTTCTAAGACTCTGCAATATGGCCGGTCGGGCCACGGACTGGCAATTCGATAATTTGTCTGCATACATCGTGCAATGTCGGGTCCTCGGCTACTATCGTGACCATGCCCGCTCTCGTCTACCAGACGGAATCTATGGAAGTCGTATGACAGGACTCGGTGTGCATCGACACATCGACGTTGCGGCTTTTCATGGGGTGATGACTGCGTCGCTTGGAACGGGTCAGGAGGTGACTGAGGAACAATACTCGCGGATCGTGGAGGCGACGGTTTATATCAACGATTTTGTTGATCTTCGTGGCGATACTATGCGCAAGCAGCGTGAGAATGTTATACTTCGTGGAATCCGAGGGAATTTGTGCACCTACCTTGACGAGATGATTGGGAAGTGTTTGGATTCAGCGGCTGATGTGATTGAGTCGAGCGAACTGGGAGCACTGGTTGTCATGGGGTATTGCAACTGGGCTATCATGTCGGCCCATCACAAAGTCTATGAGTTGCTCAAGGGGATCCGACGTGTTCAAAAACAATCTGCGTGTGAATATTTGTCAGTGTCCCAGACTATGCGATATGAACGGCTACTCGAAGCACTGAGACCCTACGGTACTCTTGGAAATGACGGGCCGCGCGTGTCGAAGAAGAGGATTGAGATGGATAAGACTTATGGTCTCTGCCAAGGATCTCCAGAGAGACATATCGCATGGCTTGCCGATGCTACTCGGAGCTTGTTAGAGCCGACAACGCTGAGGCAGATTGTAGATGTGGTCCATTTTGAGTGGAGTGGTGATGTGGGTGCTGTTGATTATTGTCCCTAATCATTATATATAACTTCTTAAATGTTCCAATACTGAATACCGCGTTTTGGCATGCAGAGAGTTTGTATAAGTTGGCTATTTAACCTGCCTGTTTAAGTTTTCATACGGACTTGGATACATAGAAATTGTTGAACATAAGATAATGAAGCTCTCTCCTAAATACAAGAAACTTTAAAAAAACAAAAATGAGGCTCTGAGCCTCGAAGCGCCACTGGTGGCTGTAGTTGAGGTAGCCTCAGAGGTAGAACGAGCCGGCACGGGGGTTGTCGTCACTGCAGTTGGTGTTGAGGTCGTAGAAACCGCCGCCTTGTTGTTGATTGAGCTAGTTGAAGATGAAATGTCAACGATACCGCTCGTTGTGGAACTTGCGCTCGTGCTAACGGAGCTTGCATCGCTTCCACCATCACCGCATTGAACCACAGTTTCCCAACCACCGGCATATGTCTCCTCCCAGTATGATGATTGGTTTCCAAGAGCAAAGTAGTTAAAGGAATAGGCCGAGCCAGGTTGGTTGTGTGCGTTTTGGAAAAACTTGACAGCACACTCGTCGCTACATGGGAAGTCGGTTTTGGCCCAATCGTCGCTCGCGGGATAGGTCAAGAAGCAGTAATCAGACCTACGAAAATATAAGCACAGGCACCCTGAGCAAACCTCTATTTACGGAACTTACCCGCTCTTGGCACAAGATTTGACGTAGTTGTACTGGAAAACCTCGCCCACAGTGGCAACGGGAGCCTGATAGACATATTTATTCCCGCTGGCAATGCCAGCTAGGTCGCCATCCTTGTTGCATGCAGCCTTGACGTTCTTGACATACTGGGTCAATGAATCACTGCATGTCATGGTGCACATAGCCTGCAAGTCCGAGGCTTGCGGATCGAAGTCAGGATCCATAGAGCCCACGATCTTGAGGAGGGTTTCATCGCAGTTGATACTGGCGCTGTAGGCGTCCTTGCAAGTTTGTGACGTCGTGTTTGCTAGGTCCTTGGTTGTATAGGCCCAACTAGGACCAGAAGTATTGAGATTGAAGGTAGCAGTTGCCTGGCCCAAAGCAGCGGACAACGCGACGAAGCGAAAGATTGTGGTGGAGGCCATTTTGCTGAGAATATGAAACGAGCGACAAGAAGAGTTGAATTAAATTACTCCAAATACCAAGAAATGACAGACAAAAGAAAATTAATACCCAGAATTATTTAGGGTTGACTGCCAAGTTTTGGGGAAGCATTAAGTAGCCACAGAGAAGGCCCCCAAATTTTCAGGGGTAGTTCCGACTTGAGCCGCAAGGCCCACATGAAAAACTCGAAGGCCATAGATGGGGCTAGATTATTATGGAAGTCTGATTTGATTCCTACGAACGGCAATAAATTGCACATAAAGGGTCGATGCTTTTCTATCATACGAGTCTGAGAGCCAGTGTAATGACTGCTGCAGGATGAGTGGTGGCCTGGAAGTCTGAAGACCGTTCAGTCGCCGCTAACTAGTTATTTGCTAGCTATTTACTCCGTACTCGGCTCTTGAAACATCACACTTACATGGTTACTGATGGACCACTAAGAGTTAAGCATGCCTAGGGGCGCTCGAAAGCAAAATATCACAGGTTGCAGTTTGTTGAGGTAGCTTACTCAGCCATCCGCACCACCTGGGCACCTGGGCAACTGCACTTGTTGAACAAACGAGAATGCTCCGTTCAGGCTCAGTGTCCTCATTATTATGATTTTTTGAGAAAAGTGGAGAGAAAGACGGAAAGGCAGTATTCAATCACTCATGGTGGCTATCGCCATTCATACTAGACTATCCAGCCCATAAAAATCGAACATCCAACATGGAGGAACCGGTCCCGCCATTACGAACTGAATCAAGAATGCCGGACACCTTCAACAGCGCCACGCCGCTTATCGAAGAGGAGGCCTTCTTATCGCCGGGAACATTCTCCAGCGCAGATGACTACGCCGCCAACCCCAGATTCCTTGAATTACAAGAAGAACTCCGCTGCGTACTCTTTTCCGCGGTAGCCAGTCTCGAGCCAGCAACCTACACAACCCCAGCTCCTCTAGAACCAATACAAGGACCGCAGCCCCGACCCCCACGCCAAAGCCTAGACTTCACCCGGGTCCTCTCAATCCCCAAAATCAGGCTAATCTTCTACCTAAAAAATTGGATCACGGAATGTGCGCCCTATCTCGATAAATTCGACGAGGCACGCCATTTCGGCGTCCACATCCCAATCCTAGCACAAGGCTCACCAGCCCTGTTCTACGCAATCCTCGCCTTCTCCGCACGGCAGACAGAGCGCAAAGCCTGCCTGGACAAAGCCTACGACAGTCTCGAGCTGTACCAAGAGTCCATCCGCCTCCTGGCACCATTACTCCAAGCAAAAGACCCCAATGTCCTCGTGACGGTATGCATCCTCGCCGTAATGGAACTAATGTCCGTCAGCCCACGCGACTGGCGAAGACACGTGGAAGGCTGCGCCGCGCTCTTCGACTCGTTCAACGTGAACGGGCTCTCGGGTGGACATCTACAAGCCGTGTTCTGGTGCTATGCGCGCATGGAGCTGTGCGGCGCGATAATCTCCAACGGTGTGGAGAGTACAGTCCTCCCGCTGGAGAAATGGGTCCCCGCTATGCCGCAGGCTTCTTCGAAGGAGGCGCAGGAGGATATCATCCGCGATTCTTTCTGTGAGAAGGGCCGTGCGTCCGCTGATATGCATGCCAATTGGGCGGTTTATCTGTGCGCGAAGGCATGTGACCTCTCTTGTCGTCGAACGCGGTTCTTGGAGTTGGGTGAGGTGTCTGATGATGCGCGCCCATTTTCAGAACAGTGGAGTCGGCTTTGGGAAGAGCTGCAGTACTGGCTTGAGCAGCGCCCGCCTGCTATGCTGCCTATCAAGACTACGGGGATGGGCAGTGGGCAGATCTTTCCGGAGATTCTGTTTGCACATTGGGCTGCTATTTCTGGGAATCAGTTGTATCATGCTGCATCTATTATGATGTTGGATATGAGGCCCGTTGAGAGGGGGCCGCCTCCTTCCAAGCCACATTTTTCGTCTATTTGGCATGCCCGCAGGGTTTGTGGGATTTCCTTGACGAATCCTCATAGTGGGAATTTGATCAATGCTATTCAGCCACTCTACATTGCGGGGAAGTTACTCAGCCATCATAGTGAGCATGTTGAGGTAGCGAAGCTGTTCAAGATTATTGAGCGCACGACTGGATGGGGTGCTTTGTGGCGACTGAAGGATCTTGAGAGAGCTTGGGGGTATGAACCGGGGGAGATCTCCGGTGTGATTTGAGATTCTGGCCTCAGATGATACAGTTTCAATTCTGTTGCGGTTCAGTACCTTGCATTTGCTCCGACGTGATTGTGACCCCAGGAAGTTTGAACCCCGATTCAACGACCGGCAAGCAACATGCAAAAATAAAGGTCACACAAACGATGAAAGTGGTGTTATCCATTGCAACCACGCGATACATCGACCCCAGGCCCCTCTCGGGGTTCACGCCACTTCAAAGTACTTGCAACACAAGACAAGATCTGTCGTACAAACCCCAATCGACCAGTTCTACTTCGAATCTCTTCAAGTCCCAATCAAACCCTAGAACATCAGCTCCGGTCGCCTCTAATGTGTTCAAATGAACATATCCACCCATGATCACCAGCTCCTTTGCGAGTGATGGCGCGGCCAGCTGTTGGCTGTATGTGGGTTCTCATCCAAGAAGCTGGTATTTCTAAAAACAACACGTTCCTCTCTTGGGCATCGTGGGGCATGGACCTTTTCTCTTTGAAAGACTGGCTGGAGAAATAAAGATTATTTGGCGGCGTTCTCCCCGATGATGAGAATGTCTGCTTGCTTCTCCACGAGTTCCGGGTTAACTCGAAAAAGGCGATCGATAGGAGCTGCTACCAAGACACGGAATCTCCTCTATCCGTGCCTAAAGTGTTTCCGCTACTTTTCACAGAGAACGGTCCTCTCTCGGGGTATAACCGCTATACACTGGCCGACGTATAGTAATTATCCCGGATGGCAAGCTCCTCATCGACCTTTGCAAACCTCCTGGTCAGTGGGTAGGAATCGAGAAGCTGCACTTAGGAAAGAGGCAGCGAGAATCAGGATAGTTATTCCTGTCAATAAGTCTAAACAAGAAGCCAGAGCTTTCTTGATATGGCTTAGGGGAGATTAGCCTCGTTTTTTTACAAATCCCCGGATATCTACCAATACTGTTTCTTTCGAATGATTTCTTACTCGGGGCTAGATCGGATCTTCCGATCTCACTTCTAGTCTTTTCTTTGTATCTTGTCTTACAACAAGATTGCGTTATTACACATTATCGCGGTGACGTATGTATGTTACTATCTCACCAGCAGACAAGCCTAAAATTTCCACCACGCTAATTAGGGTCACCAGGTACGGCAAGAATCCTGCCGTACACCAATCATTGTTCATGATGGCGTAATGTTTATCCCGGATGTGGGGTAGCAACGAACCGATGTGGACCAATGCATTGCAGGGCCAAGGAGGAAATTTGTGTAGTCCACACCGTTATATCAACTTAAATCAACGGTCCGAAACATCTTCAAGTATCTATAATACTTTACGGATATTCGAACTTCTATCTCAACCCCAGACTCCCCAAATGTGTTTTGACGTCAATATCTCAACCTCACTAAGCGATGACAGTGGCTCTGTTTCCCCCAAAAGGAACGGGTCACACCTCCACACCCAGATTTTAATGAGACCGATTTATAGCCTAAGCCGGGCTAGCCCGCTCAGGGCCCGAAGGACGAAATAGGAAACCGATTCAACCCGAGATGTCCACTTCTTTCCCGTCTCCACTGTCGATGCCGTTCTTGGAGATTGGAGGCTACGTACCGCCCAAAAGGGTTTAGCGAGTCAGTTCCTCCACCATTTTGCCTCCACAAAAAATAACAAAATTTGGGGTTCCGGGGTTGTTGGCCCACGAGACAAGAAACTGGAGAAGCTCAATTTGTCCAGATGAGGCCTTTTTTTTTTCTTTTCACGTGGTGCCACTCGGGCTATGACAGAATTAAATCAAACTGTTCAATTCAATGCAAAAATGGGCGTATATATTGAGCCCCTCTTTCCCCCATGTTTTCAATTCCCCAGATTTTATCTCATAGTGCTACTTTGGAATTCCCCCTGATCCAATATCACCCAACATGACAATCCGATCATCCACTGAAGTGGAATCCATCCCGCGAGTCCAACTCGCGAAGAAATCCATGTGGCAGTCTATCTTCGACAACCCCAAAGTGCTAGCCATTGCCTTCTTCGCCTCGTAGGACATCCCTTCACATTGACATCCCCAAACTCAACACTAACAACCCCTAGATTCGGTGGCTTCGAATATGGCTACCAACAAGGTGTCCTCGGTCAATCCCTGGTCATGACCCGCTTCACAGAGAACTTCCCAACAGTAGTAGCATCCTCCACCGCAACAGGCTGGCTGACCTCCGTCCTCCAATTGGGCGGTATCGTCGGCTCCCTGGCAGCCGGTATCCTGGGCGAAGTCTACTCGCGCAAATACACAATGTTCTTCGCCTGCTGCTGGGTCATCCTCGGAAGCTACCTGTACATCGGCGCGACTGCCGGCAACCCGTCCCTACTGTACGCGGGCCGATTCTTCACCGGCCTTGGCGTCGGCTTGTTCAGTGGTGTGGGGCCTCTCTACAACGCTGAACTGGCAGCACCTGAAATGCGTGGTCTGCTTGTTTCGTTCTACCAGTTTGCTACTATCCTCGGAATCATGATTTCGTTCTGGGTTGGCTATGGTAGTAACAACATCGGCGGTACGGGAGCTACTCAGTCTGATCTTGCTTGGCGTCTGCCTTCTATTATTCAGGGTATTCCTGCTGTTGCGCTTGCTTGTGGTATTTGGTTTATGCCTTTCTCACCCCGCTGGCTGGTTAAGCAGGGTCGCGACCAGGAGGCGCAGGACACTATCGCTTGGATGCGGAAGCTCACTGTTGACCATGAGCTTGTGCAGATGGAGTACCTTGAGATTAAGGCTGAGGCTGTGTTTGAGGAGCGGGCGTTTGCTAAGGCTTCGCCTAAGCTTGCCGACAAGGAGAAGAAGAGTGTTTTCATGAACCAGATCGCGCAATACACCAACTGCTTCCGCTCGATGGATAACTTCAAGCGTGTTTGCATTGCCTGGTTGGTTATGTTCTTCCAGCAATGGAGTGGTGTCGATGCTAGTAAGTTGACTTGTCTGGGGGATATTGGGAATGTTTGGCTAACTATTATCCACTAGTTATCTACTACGCCTCCAATGTCTTCCTTAGTCTCGGACTGACTGGCGGTACCATTGCGCTCCTGGCAACCGGTGTGACTGGTGTCGTCTTCCTTATCAGCACCATCCCAGGAATGTTAGTCATCGATAGATTCGGCCGCAAGCCCATGCTTCTGGGTGGATCGATCGTTATGCTTGTCAGCATGGTTATCGTCGGTGTGATTGTGGCCAAGTTCCAACACGACTGGCCCCACCATGTGGCAGCCGGCTGGACCGCAGTTGGTGAGTACCGAACACATATTTCCAACCCACAATTAAAATCGCTAACTTGACCGTTCTAGCTTTGATCTGGCTGTATATTGCAGGCTTCGGCGCCACCTGGGGCCCCGTCTCATGGACCCTCATTTCCGAGATCTTCCCACTTTCCATTCGCGCAAAGGGTGCCTCCATCGGCGCCTTCAGCAACTGGATCAACAACTTCGCTATTGCGTTCTTTGTTCCCCCTATGCTCAAAAGCTGGGAATGGGGTACTTACATATTCTTCGCTGCTTTCCTTGCCTGCGGCATCGTCTGGGTTTGGATCTTCCTGCCTGAAACCAAGGGCGCGTCTCTGGAAGATATGGATCGTGTTTTCAACAGTAATGCCGGCGAGCAGGATGCTGAGCTTCTCCGTGAAGCGCAGCGCGATGTTGGTCTGACTTCTTTCCTTGAGCGTATGTCAGGCAATGGCGGTGATCTTGAGAAAAATGAGAGGTCACAGTATATTGAGAAGGTTTGAGTGGGTTCTATAAAAATGGGCCTTGGCTCAATATCGCATCTAGTCTATAATTTATTCAATGTTTATGAAGTCATTTCATTTATGTGCATATCTGTGAAATTTTTGGCTTGATTGTTTGATGTATAAAGACCCTGGGCATAGTTCCAGCCATTCAGCAAGTCGGCACCTTCCCCGTTTAGAACCTTCCACAAGCAAACAAACTGCATATAAAACTCTGCCCCTCCCTCCTCCTCTTCCCCCTTTCCTTTTCTTCTTCTCTCCTACTCCATTCCATTCTTACTATCCTTCCTCTTCCCCCACTTGTCCTCTTCTCTTCTCTTTGCTTGGCCCACAATGATCATCTCAATGGAATGACGGAAACGCACAATAAACTCAATAAACGGGTGCCCTGGAACTTGCTGCGTCACAAATCCGTGGAGAACCTCTATTGGTTTGTCTTGGTTGGGAGGGAAGAGCGTGAACCCTATATCTCCCTGTGTGGGTGATTAGCCCAAATTCTTACCTTGACAATTACCAGCGTGTTCCCGTGTGCAAGACGCCATCTCAAAGCTCGAGTGGAATCTATCCGTCCTCAAATCCTTTTCTCATCACCACTTTCAAATAACTCGAGTGTGACTTGCGGATTCCAAACATACCGCACATCTCGAAATACAGAGATAATCGTGGAGGTTTCTAGCGCGTGACATGAACTTTTACAACGTATTGGAGGCTGGGGCACCTTTCAGATCACTAGGCTGCGAAAGGCACAGTTGCCAGCAAGCCAATAGAGCAACAAAGGCGACAATTCAACCAACCCTGAATCCATCACGAATATGCCATCTGCCGTGGATGACAGACCCCCACGACTTATTGGAGCCTGTAACGTCCTTTGCTTCGATACTACCAATCAGGAAATGGGTGCTTCGCACATGATTTCAACAAGCTACTAAGGAGAATTTCCACTTTTAAAAATACCCATGACCAATTTTCTTGTCATCCACAACAAGAACCTTCCACCATACCACACGCGCCTCATTCTTCTTTTCCTATCTTTCAAAATGATTTTTCTTTGGTGACCGACGTAGGGAATTCGGTCGTAAGCTTGCTTTGCAGCATGCAGATCGTAGACCTCGTGTCCACTCTCTGTCCATTTTCCTGTTGTTGGCATGGTGGAAAATCCACACTACGCTACCAGCGAACTTTTTATGTCCCGGGATTGGCCTACACGTGCCAACCGTGCACTATAGGAGAAAGAAATATCTACACATCCCTAGCGGCAACGATATCGAGCTTCGCTTTTGAACCTACTACTCATTGCCGAATGCCTGCCAAGTTTACAGCCCAAGCCCGTTCTAGCCTACTCCACTATATCTGAGGGAACACTTTCCCTTCTTCCCACGCTGATTTCTTTTTCGGGGCTGTGGAGTAGCGCAGAAGCGCAGCAGTGCGGTACAGACCCTGCTGCGAGGTCTCAAGTACGAGCCAAACCCAAGTAATGTACCTGTGACTTGACTGCGGCCAATGGCCAAGTCAGGTCTTGTATGCGCTCAAAATACATGCATCGTTGGACTCTAAAGCTTAGAGTGAAATCGCTGTTTTCTTCTCGTCAGACAACCTCGTTGAGGTCATCAAACCTACATCGGCCTATTATTTCGTGGTCACGAAATCGGGGATGAAGATCCAATCGAGGCGGAGTTCGGGCTGTGAAACGTCCTGTTTGCACCGGAATGAATATATGAAAGAAGGCACATGGGAGCTCCATGAGAAACTCGAAGCCAAGGTCGATTATCGTCCACCCATGAAAACTCAAAATAATCCAACGGAGAACACCGAGTACACACCGTGATGTTGAATTTTAATATTCCATTCATTACAAATCTCGGAAGGAGCTTCAATACAGGAAAGACTTTCCGGCTCGTCATGGAATGGTCTGAATTCTGAACCAGACAGCAATCAGACGAGATTTCCGGATGTTGGAAATGTGCTCGGATGTACAGGAAGGCAGCAAATGGCAGCTTCAAGACACCCGCTTCTTAGTGCGTCAAGGCGTGACCTTGGGTGCATGTACGGTTTCATCAGCGCCTACGACGAAACAATTTTCCTCAAAGCAGTGCTGGTGTGGGAGGGGAACATCTGGAATAGTCAGACCTCACCAACTACCAAATTTGGGACATGCAATAGGGCAAAGCGATCTCGAAAACAATGGATCCCCTCACCATGAGGATGAACGGGGAGTTCAATATGCAATGTTTTGTCTGGGTCACAGATTCTCAGTTTTTATTTTAGGTAGTAATAGAGATATCTTATTTATTTCCCCCGCCTTCTAACTAAGAACTTCTCAGATCTATACGATATCTGATATAAAAACTTTCAATGACCAACCCGTCGCAATGGCCAACCGTAGGATCTTCGGCTCGCCCCACCCAAATTCTCGGCCACCTCCGGTAGTCGAGCACATATCGGGAATGCGGAGCCTCCAATTCTTCTTTCTGCAACATCTGGGGTAATGCAGAATACCACGTCTCGACATGCCCCGAAACCCCACACCGGCAGCTAAGCAGCGTGTTCGGACCGGTTGCCTGACGTGTCGGAAAAGAAGGAGAAAATGTACGCGTCACGTGGTTTTCTCTTTTTTTGCGATCAGAACTGACAGTTTAATGTTGTAGGTGATGAGCAGAAACCGACCTGTGCCAACTGTGAGGCGAAAGGCTTCGCTTGTAAATATAGCTCTGATTTGGCGTTTGTGTCGCAGCGCGAGGGGGTTGTTTCCGGTGCGTCGAGACGGGCGTATAGCAGTATCACAGTGAGTATTCCGTGATGGATTTGAGTTTCAAGCCCAGTTGACGATGTTAGATGGATGCGATGCTAATTTTTATTAGTTTGTCGATGGGTCGCCCCTTGCAGCTGCAACAAAGGAAAAGTCAAAGGCCCCACAGAAGCCTACAGATGATTCCCAGAGCGATGGTTTTTCTTTAGACGAATTACACTCTTCAGCTGGTGGCCCAGATGGCCCAGACAACCTTGAGGAAGCCCGCCATCCGTTTAGATTCCAAGCCACGTTGTTATCGGCGGCGCCTAATGTCGACTTTTCTGAACCTCCAATCCCGTTTGTCGGAGAACGAGGAGAACGAAGTGCGCCGGGTACTCGATATATGAACAGTGCTCCATACTTCGGGTACCGATCCAGCACCAGTAATCAAGCAGTAGAATCACGAGGAGCCCTTACAAGTGGTAGCCGTGAGACTGACCTGCTTCGACATTTCCGGTACCACGTCGGGCCTTGGATCGATACCGGAGACCCTGAGCTCCCATTCGGACTCCAAGTTCTTCTGCTCTCGCGAACAAATAGAGCTCTGCAAGCTGCAGTACTTGGATTGTCTGCCGGTCAACGACTTCTCGTGGCATCTCCAAATAGCATGGACCTGGAAAGCAGCCAGCAGTTCCGAAAGGAAGCGGAAGACAGTCTTGCGCTTGAGTATGATTTGACTAGATATGCTGGTCATACCCTCTTGATGCTTCAGGATGCTCTGCCTGCTGGACCGCAGCAGTGGAGAAGTCTTCTGATTGACAAAATAGAGCATATAAGTGACTTTGCGTCCCGAGCAGTGGGAGAAGAGCTTGGGGACGCTTTGTTGTGGCTTTACTTCCGACTTGGTAAGGCAACCTATAATGAGTCATACAAATCAGACGATAGACTAACAAGTGCCCCTTGCAGACCTCGCCGGCTCAATATCCTCTTCAAAGCCACCGCTTATGCCCTTTCGATCATTATTACGGCGGGATGGCACATTACTACATCACCCACAGTCCACGCGGCCTCAGACCGTCAATTCCGAATACAAGCACATATTGTGTCTTCTGGGACACTGCTTAGCTCTAATACACGGCGATCGGCAAATACCCACCCCCCATACAGTTGCATCACCAGAGCTGGCAGCATTCCCATCTTTACGACAATCACACTCCCTATCACAATGGACATTCCTCTGGTCAGACTGTCAGAAATGGTACAACGAGCGGCCAGTAAATGTTCAGCAGATCGTGGACATCCGCGGCGGCGAAGCCGACCAAATTGACCCTGACCATGACTCCTCATTCCCAATCCTCATCTACACGACCCCAATGGCGCTGGTCGCCAACGCTGTCTACCACATGATCTCCCTCTTATTGTTGACCCATAAGCCGCGACTTTTGAAGTCACTGCCTGGGCCAAGGTCTGTCACCTCGCATATCTGGCATGCGCAGTCGATCGCTGGCATCGCAGCAAGCAATGACTCCCCCGAGCAATGGGATCCGATATTGGTTGCGAGTCTTCTCACTATTGCCAAGGAGATGACGCACGAATCCCAGCAAGCAGTTTTACTTAAACGATTTTCCAGGATTACAGCCACAACGGGCATCAACCTGGACCGAGAGACCGAGGCGCTTCAAGCGGGATGGAACCTGGCGCGATATGAGGAATTCGACGATGAACCTGATGCTATGATTTCATAATTATACCCAAAACGCTGTTTCAAATACCCTTTTTTTTATCAATGGTACCCATATTTACATTCCTTCATTTGATTCCTTTATTCCATATCGTACGCAAAGGGGATACTCTGCATAGCACCCCGTCTCTGCACACACAGAGCAGCAGCAGCATTCGCCTTCGAAACCGCCCCCTCAACCTCATCATCGAACGCCGCCAGGCTTCGTCCGGTGGCCAAGAAACGCGCTACTGCACTCGCGAAATATCCAACAAATGTATCCCCGGCCGCAGTAGTATCAACAACCTTGGCAACCTTAACACCGGCAACAATACCAGCGCGACCCGTCTTCGTCGAGTAGTATACCCCCTTCGCGCCCAGCGTGATAAGAACAATCTCCACACCCGCACGCTCATGGAACTGCGGCGCCAACTCCTCGGGCCGTAAATCATCACTCTCAACAACATCTCCAATAGGAAGACCCTCAATCGACCGCGCCATCTGCACAACCTCGGTCTCATTCATAATCAGCACAGCGGTGCCACGTAGAGCGGAAAGCGGAATCCCCTCTGGGAAGACAGGCGCGGGATTGAACACCACTTTCGCGCGGTCCTCGGCGGAAACGTCATTGAAATACTCCAGCAAGCCTAGCGTCGTGGTGCGCGGGATCTCGCCCTGCAACACAATGATATCGGGACTCGATGGGTAACTCTTTAGCGCAGCGAGGATATTTCCAACATCGCTAAGAAGTCCAGCATGGTTCGCGCCTGGAACAACGAGAATCCTGTTCTCGCCGCCGATAGCTTCTTCCACGATAATGCTCGCCGACCCCGTCTGCGCGACGGTCGATTGCTCAATGGATGTTGTGTCGACGCCGGATTTCTCGAGTGCCGGTTGGAGGAGGGTCGTGTAGTATGGGTCTTCGGCGCCGACCGCACCGATCATGTTCACGGAGACATCTTGGGTTGTTTGCGATGTGAAGGATGAGCGACCGCAGGCGACAGCTTGGTTCCCGCCTTTGCCGCCTGCTGAGACGGTAAGGGAGGTTGCTGTGAGGGTTTCGCCGGGTCCAGGGCAGCGCGGGGTTGCTGTTACGAAGTCGATGTTTAGAGAGCCGATTATGGTGATTTGGGGTTTTTTCGGGGATGGTGGGGTTGAGGTTGGGGAGGTCATTTTGTTGGGTTGTGGTGCGTTTGGTGTTTGGTATTCGGAATTTTCAGGAGCTTTGAGGTGCGCTTTGTGGGTAAAATTGAATTGGAGGACGTAGGGGCCTTAATTATTTCAATATACGTCGCGCCGCGTGACCTTTCCTATCTTTTGCTCGGTCGGGATCGCGACTTTCGGCATGTCATAGCCCCATCTCCCCACGTCCCGAGGCCTACTTGGGTTGCCTGATGTGGGAGTTGTAGGCTATGGTCATCCCAAATAGGCTAGGTCAGCCAAGGTTCCTATGGCTTCGCTTAATGTGGATTAGCGCAGGAACGGCACTGGGTAGGGTTCTCCTCTTTCTTATTTTATGCTACTCCGTACTTCTTGTATGGATCCAGAGTACCTAGACGAGGTATGACTATTCTTAATGTTGATTAATTATCTAGCAGACGCTTCCCCCTCTATCTACACGTCAGACCTCTCATATATCCTCAAACTCCTAGGAGGCACGTCAAGAATCAAATAGCTCCCGGGAATTAAAATATTTACTTGTAGAACATGTATACCATTTATCATATTCAGAGCCTTCGGTCCCTCAAAGCGAATCAGAGCCTACCACGCACTTCGAAATGTTCATAGGCAACTCGCAATTTTGCCGAATATGCTACTTGTAGCGATAGCCAACCGTTAAGCCAATGAATGACGGTAATTTACAACAACAAATTCAATTGATTTGAGCAGCAATGATCTAGAATGAGACATCCCCTCTCATAGCCCACTGATAGCTTTATATTTGCTACATCCGAGCTCATTCTCTCACGCATCGACTGTTTCAAGGCGTTCCATATCAGCGGGTACGTAGCTACATATGTTTAGATACTGCGGCGATGGCATATAAAGCTGGCGAGGTACCGCTGTGGAGTTTTTTTTAGCACTAACACTGATCCGAATCATTCTCTGCATTTGCTCACTAACTAAATGTCTACTCCAATACTGCCCTAAGTACGGCAGGTTTCAGACGCCATCGCGCCAACCGACCAGGCAGAAAATTAGTAATAAATTAAATTAATAATACATACCTATAGCCTAGGGTAGAAAGGTGTTAATACCTTCTAAAATAGGTACCAAATATAATACTATTCATACCTCTATAAATTCTAGAATTCCCTTATTTCTTGTTATATCCTTTAAATTAAAGAATTAGAAGTAGCTCTACATCTCTAAGATTAGCTTGGAAAATACTAGTTTAAAGTCAGCTAGAGGTTTAACTAAACTTAGTATATACTTTCAAATTTCCTAAGCTTGGAGGCGCCTTTAAATAGTATAATTAACGGTTTAAATACTATAGATAGTTTATAGAAAGGTATATATAGTATAGTCTCTTATATAAAGTATGATTTTTTTAGCACCTTTATGTACATCTAAAAAGACCATCAAAAAGACCATCAAAAAGACCATCAAAAAGACCATCATAAGGCCGCAAACACAGCCGACTATCTATACCATACATTACTGTACACAAGATTTCTGTCAAATTATATAGGTTGGCGCGATGGCGTCTAAAACCTGCCGTACCTGAGGCCCATTTTTTGTCAGAGAATCCGTCTGCGCCAGATAGAATCTGCAGCTGTAGTCCGATAAAGTCGGCCAACAGTGGTATGAATCCGCCTTCCGTACCCAGACGCATGCATGAGATGACTCTAGAACTGGCTCTCCGTCGGTTATTATACAATAAGGCCAGTGTCAGATATTCTCAGCCTGCAGGAGACGCCTCACGGGATTAGACAGGATTAGACAACACTGATGAGACTGAAACGGAGGCAGTGGGTTGCACATGTGTCGGGGACCTTAGAGGATGCCCCTACTCAGCTTTAGCGAGCTATACTACAATATTCAGCAAGGTTAATCCCCGGATTGGTCAGACGTTAACCGCCAAGGTTATTAACAGTTCGCAGCTTTGACTGACTGAGCCTTTGGTTCGGAAAATCAGCCATATAGACAAAATCTGATCAAAATTAATTTTATTGTCAGGTCTTTAATGACAATTCATCTTCGGATTTTGAGATAAGAAGGATGTGGATGCCCTAATTTCGGTTCACGCCATCTCTGGTCTTATCCACATCATCCTTCTATTACCATCTCTTGGTCTCTTACCCTTCCCCATCGGTCCGTCTTACCAGTTGGGTCCAATATACGCACTGGTTCCAGGGCTGTCAAAATCGATGATAATTGTAATGTTTCCACCGCAGGCGCTTCCACCCGTGACGCAATATGATTGGCGCAATCTGCATTGACAACATATTGAATATGCAGGTGTGCCTAGTGAGGCGCTAGCAATCCACCACCCATCGGTCATTGGTTTCAAGGCAAAGATGCCCATTTCAACTCCGCCTCTTGCTCAGCCTCATGGCCATGTTCATGCCTCAGAAAATAGTTTGGACATTTGTGCTTACATCTTTTTCCATTCCTTTTCAATTTCCTGGCGAGCCTTTTCCTAGCCAAATTACAAACAAACTATCGAAATGGCAGATCCCCTTACCGTGGTAGGGGCTGTCGCATCGACGATTCAACTGATTGAGTTCACGGCCAAAGTTTTCGACCGTCTCAATAACTACATCCGCCATATCGATGAAGTACCCGAAACCCTCCGCCAGATCAAGCTCCATCTACCCCTTTTTATAGAAACACTGCAGAGAGTTCAAACCTTTATCGACTTTGGTTACTTCAATCCAAGGACTTCATCTGTTCTGAAGGACTTTGTCGAAGAAAGTTTTTCACAAATGGTCTTGCTTGATGATCTTCTTCTTAAAATCATACCCGATAAAGGTGACTCAGTGATAAAGAAAGGTCGAAAAGCAATCTTCAGCTTGAAAGAGGAGAGCAGTCTGAAGAAGATATTCGAAAACATTTCAGGATATATTGAGAAGTTGCTGCTTTTTCAAAGCTCGGTTACTTCTGGTCACGCAATGATACACACTCAATCATTGTTGAAAATGCATCAAAGTCATACAGCTTATGGCTCATTGGTCCCTGGTTCTCCAATACCAACGGATGCCCGAGCGATGGGTTATACGAGCGAACCCGTTATGAAGTTGGACGGTGATGCTCGGTTAAAATCCATCTCAAACTACTCTAAGCGGGGCAAAGACCGACGAATATCATACTTTTTATCTCTGTCACGATTCGGTCTCCTTTGGGCTCTCCAGGTGGACCTCAACATTTCATGGGGCAACAAAGCAGTTTCCATTCTTCCCGGTCTTCATTTCCAGCAACTAGTCAAAAACACTTCCCCGGGTTTAGAGATTTTCATGAGGTGCATGATGCAGAAAATGGATACCGAATCAGCATCCCAAGCCCTGATTGGATTGTTTCGCAGGGGTGTTGTATCTCCCCATGACGTTTTCCCGGACGGAGCAACTTGGCTGGAAGTGAGTCCCATCCCATCAACACCAAGCAATTATTGACGAGAGCACAGACAATCTTAAAAATACAACCATCACAATGTGTCTATTTATTTGATGTGGAAAGGGCAATTCTAATGCTTAGAGTCCTTTGCCAATGCGGGGCACGAATGGGGACACAGATACCGTAAGTTCGATATGACGATTATGTAGATCAGTGAGGAGTTTAATCGAGCTAATTTGCTCATACACCTAGGCTGCTGCTAATTGCTGCTAGCTGGAACAGTTGGGGGTATCATCTTCGCATTCTCAGAGAGCTCATAGCTATGGGCTATGACTGCTCGACAGACTCTTCATTGAACAGTTCAGCGTACACGGAACTCAGTCTTGGAAATGCCGATGTGGACCCTTTTCTACTCCAGTTCCTTGCAGAATGTTCAAAAAATGCTTATGGTAAGGTATTTTCCTCAGCCAAGCGCGAATTCCGAGCTCACAGATTTGGTCATCAGGTGTTTGTGGTCAGACAACTCTTATGGATACTATTTTATGTGGGTCTTTAGATGAGATTGAAAGACTTGTCCAAGACCCTCGATCCCTTCGAGGAACGAATCTTCTGAGACAAAACCCCGTGCATGTAGCCGTCTTGCGCCCCAATGCGCTCGCAATAATAGTTCGAGTTTTTGGAGATCTTGATATGCCAGACCTGGCTGGTAAAACTCCACTGGAATATGCTGCGGCATATGGGTCTACAGAATCAATATTGATTCTCCTGAAATCTGGCGCACGCCCAGTACGTGGTCAGCAAATTCCATTTTTGCGAACGGCATGCCACATGGGGCAGTGGGAACTGTTATCGGAGGCTGTTGCCTTCTTTCGCAACAAAAAAACTTTCTCAGAGAGCTTTGTCCAACATCAGCTCAAAGATCTAATGCTTGAGACCATGCACACGGGGGACTGGAACTCTAATATTATCCACATCTTCCTCGGGTTAGGTGTGGATCCTCGTATTGTTTCACGAGATGGGGATACACTACTGTATTTTGCTGATAGCGCAGCAAACGTAGATGCGTTGTTTCCAACAGCTTCTGAGTATATCAATGACACAAATAACGATGGCTGGACAGCTCTGATGACATCAATTGGGAATCGCCCACTCGAGGTATCTAAAGCGATTGTCCATAGGGGGTGTAACATCAACCACCAGGATACTATGGGACTTTCAGCCTTGCATATAGCATCCGAGTTGATAACACGATCGGTGAAAAGTGTGCCTAATAAGCCAGATTACGAGTCTATTCGGTCGATATCCACGATTTTTGCCGTTATCGCAATGCTGATAGCCGAGGATGCTGATCCTTTCTCTCGTGATAAATGCCGCTGCGCGTGTTCAGATGGAGGCTGCTCGCCAATCACCCTGATGTTGGACCGAATACCTTCCATACATAAGTCACATTATCTTGAACCATCGGGTTATCTTTGGGTTCTCGAATGGCTCTTGACTTTAAGCGATCTCCGTGGGGAAGCAATTGCACGGAAGGCTTTACTTGATTTGATCCGATTCAAGGAGTTCCAAAAAGCGGAACTCACACATGTTTGCATTTCCGATCATGAGCCTAACTTCGGAGACTACTTCGATGGTGATGAAATCGACGAGATTATGGATGAAGAGAAGGAATTAATATGGCAACTAGAGGAGACAATGGAAAAATGGAAGCAAAAGATTGATTACCTTCCGATCGAAGAAGCGTGGCTCGACATGCTGAATGAGTTCTGTCCTGTCAATTACAAGCCTCCCATGGTTGGACCTTGGTGGTCATCATTTGTGGGAACAAATTATGACAAATCAGAGCAAGCTGCCTTGCCCAGTTTCATAATCAGCGCACCAAATCCGACTGGTTCATCATTCTATGTCGATAAGATCTCCGACGTGTATAGGAGTCATGAATTTTTTCCCGTTGATCCTTCAATTGCCGCCTCACCCCGGGCATACATCGCGTGGGTCGAGTCTATATACAGATATGGAGCATCGGACGACTACCCCATTGAAATCAACTATGAATGGTACGAGAAGAGGAAATATTGGGCCAACCGACAGTTTGAAGTTCTAAGAGACTGTGGAATTTTTGAAATTCCCCAGTAGCCGGTCCTGCGAAACCAAATCCCGGGTTGACACACTATTTACTGTCGGCGATCCAAGTGCGAAGCCCGCATGCGTGCAGAACCTTCTTTCCGGCTCGATAGTGGTAATTACCCTGCCTCCCCCCCTAGTCAACTGGTCAGAATTTATGCTTGTCTCCCCCTCTATTTCTTTGTCAATAAGATGAGAGATCATTTCTATACATTTTATTCTTATTTTCGTTGTCCTTGTTTTCATTGTTCTACTGGAAGTGCAGCATCATGAATCATACATTTTTGAAGCAGGTGTCATAGGCACTTCCGATGCTAGCTTATCTTCGAATTTATCTTCAGCCTCTGTTTTAAACCCGCTACTTGGGTCAAAGACTCTAGGTGCCGTAGAGGAATTAGTATCAGAGGCGTTATCCGAAAGAAATCTTGCAAGTGGTCTAGGCTATCATCGCTCGTATCGTCGGGTAGGATAGAATAATAAGATATTACAGTAAGAGGATAGAGCTACGATCGAGAGATGGAGGAGAGACGAAGGTAAGTCAGACAACAAGGAGACGGTAGAAACTGATTCTTCGAGGCGGCCATGTCTGGCCTCCCATTCACCGTCTCTTTCTTATTTGTATTTATATAACCTAGGAAGATTCAAACGGATCCTTGGGATACAACTTCAACGTATATAGCCGTTAGATACAGTAAGCCCCGCTTGCAACGAGTCAATTAAAATACAGGTTTATATTCGTTATATCTAGGTTTTCGCTACATTTAGGTCGCGAGTATAAAATATATATTTCCTGTTTATGTACAAATTCATACTCCAAAAACGCTCCTAATATCACCCTGTTTCCTCTCCCATAACTTTCTCTTCTCTACAAACCTTTTATGTCGATTCAGCGCGCTGGTTAACTACTTTCGTAGAGCTATATTGTAGGATGTTATGATCGATTGGTGAGGTATTTTGATTGGTTCAAAGGTCACATGACTAACCAATAACGCATGTTAATTGATTAAAAATGGTTAAAACCCAGGTGATAAAACCTCGATATAACTAGTTTTGTATGGGAGGAATAGTGAATTAACGAAGGAATTAATTGATACACCAGTTTTGGTTCGTTAAAATCAGGTATTCGTGGAAAATAGCCTAATACGAAACCATACGATCCCTTCTAAATCACACTTATATCCCCCTTATTTAGGTGAATATATCCTTCCGCTTAATAAATTATTGGTAACTTTTGGTCACCTCGTTATTAAGAAAATGCAAAATTAAGAAGATCCAACCAAAAAATCGGATTAGAAAAAGACTTAGACAATTGATTTCCAGTCAATCGCGTTGAACCACTCCGCCAAACTGCCCTTGTTGATATCTTTGTCAACTGGGTTAGTATTATAAGCGAGTGATTGTCCAGGTGACAAATCGGTGATGAAGTAGCACTTCTTGGGTACCGAGGCATGGATGTCTAGCCAAATTGCCTTTTGTGAATATTACAATTGTCATTCACAATTAGGTTAATTTGATAATTCAAGCAAACACTACTTTCAACAATACATGACGGTGGTTTTAAAAAAGCAAATAGTTAAGCTAACATATATTCAACTAGCTCCCGCTCAATAACTCCCCGACCGGTAACCCAATACTCCGATAATGCAAAAGCAAACCCCTTAGTTCATCTTGACCTGGAACAGATACCGCTGTCGGATCTGCGCAACATCATACACAATGTACTCATTGTAGTACAGACCACTTTGAGGAATCTGGTCCATGCCAATATTCACATTAGGCATTGTCACACCCTGCAAAGCCGGGCTCAAACATCCAGCATCCTTCCACCCACCAGGAATGTATGATCCCTTGCCGAGCGTCGCAATCTTGCCCTCATTGTGCGCTACCGCGCCAGCGTTGTAGTCGCTATGTTCAAGCTCCAGCATGGGCGCACCGAGTTCCGCATCGCAGAGAAGAAGCAATCCCATCCCCCGACTGTTGTGGTGACAACAGTAGTTTGCGGATTTGCTCGATGTATCGGCTAGATACACACCCTTGCCGAACATGTATCCATTGACGGGTGCTTCGGGCGGTGCGATGCGAAGACCTTGGCTGAGAATACCACCAAAGTTTGTACTGCGGGATCCGTGCCAGAGGAGGCGGCGGTCGCTGTTTGGGATGTTCGCGAAGGGGGAGGCGTTGAAACGGTTGTTTTCACCTTGCCGCTCAATGCGGAAGATGTTGACTACCTTGTAGCTCATGTCGTGTGTCTCGCCGCGGGAGTTCTGGAGGTAGTTCTCGAGTTCGATGAACTCGCTTGATTTGTGATCCACTAGGAGGGGTTAGTTTGGTAGATATTGCGGGTTTGGGAATCGGTACTCACGTTCGGTCATCTCCTGCATACCTAGACTCTGGAACTGGCGATCTAGGGGATGAGTGTCATCGTCTTCCTTGGACGATACCATGATTTCATTCGCAACGTCCATATCAGTCAGTGCCTCAAGCAAATCGATTTCCTTCTTGATCTGTGCGTTTGTGTTCAAGGTTGGGGGCCGATGGCGGCCAAAGACGTGGGGAATCAAGGTGAAATATCGATTGCTCAACGTCTCTATGGCATCGGCATATGGTTCGCCATGTTTTGCTTGTGCCAAGCTAGGTGTAATCATAAGCTCGGATATCTCTTTCAGGACCAAAAACCCGCTTTTCAAAGTCCTGTCGCTCAGCTTCCCCAGGGGCAGTTTGTGGGCATCGTAGGACATTGCGGCCAATGTGTCGAGAACGTTTTGTTTGTTGAAGATGAAAGACATGAGGTTTTGAAGCCCTTTAGATAAAGCGCTATTGGCCATTGGCGTGTCGTCTTCTTCCTTAATAGTTTTCTCTTTTTTCACGGGCTGGTCCTCTTCATCGTCCTCTTCATAGTTGCGCTCAAGAAAAGTGTACTTTCCGTGCTTAGGAGTATTGAGCCGATTCGCCCATCTGAGGCCGGACTTGTCTTTGAATTTCTTCTCATAATGCTGCAGCGCGTCTGCCAAATCACCGGTCCCGAGACAGGCTGACTGCCCATGCTCCCCAACTCGACCCCAGCGCGTCCAGGCAAAGTACTTTGAGTTTGCACCGACTAACAACTGGACACGATAGAATTTGTTGGCATTGTTGGCTGCCACAGTCTGGCTCAGGGTGGCATCATATATGAGGCCTTTACTGTCAATGTAGACTTTGGGGTCTATGTTGAAGCGGGTTAGTTTGTCTCCCACATGAGTTCTCGTATTGTAGACGTACCCTTGAGTTTACCCAGTTGCTCAAAGCCCTCGTCAATTGGGATATTAATCGCCTTGGTTGTTGTCTTTTGGGTGTCCTTTTTCTTTTTGTTGGAACCATTCTTAACAGGATCTTCATCCGCGCCTCGTTTCTTGGTTGCAGGTTTCTTATCCTCGGAGGATTTAGCTTTGCCATTTGCACCATTCTTCTTGGTGTCCACTGTCGTTTTGTCGGCGTCATTTTCAACAGAAACCGCAGCCACACCTCGCTTCCTTAAGGTACGCTTGTTATCTGTAGGAACAGATGCGCTAGCGTATGCAGTCTTCTGTGTATCGTCGTCTGCCTGGTCAGCCTGATCAGCCTGCCCGAAGGAATACTTCGACTCTGGCAACGGCTTCTGGGCCTGGTCTGATTCAAGCAGCCACGAAAGTGGGACAATGTGACAATTGGCGACCTGAGAAGCTTGTTTGTCTAGTCGATTGATCAGTAAAAGGCTCCCAAAGTTGTACAGTGAAACCTCGGAAATTTGAAATAACCCCACTCCTTGCCATCAGACACCATCTAGACCTATCAATTTTCAAAATGTTGAGGGGCCAAAACATCTCAAATATGGTCATTTTCATTCCCAACGCCGTCTTCCACCGTTGCGAGCGTTGAGGTGATGAATAATGACCATTGAGACAGTGCACAAGGGTTTCAAAGTTCCGAGATTTCTTGGCTTTTGGTACACTCACATTTGGTAGTCTGCTTCTCCACATCCTTCTCAGTGGTCACCAGATGAGTACAATCGTCCGTGACCGAGGTACTGAATGTCGCTCCATTCTTTTCAATCAGCGCTTTTAGGTCCGCTATGAGTGATAAAATTGTAAGCATCCGAATTGTGGTGAAGATGAGCTAAATAAAGCCCGCCTTGCGAATAAGGGGCTCATACCTTGTTTGAGATTGGGAAAGGTCCCGCCCACGGCGATGACGAGTGTTTTGAAACTTTGAATCGCCATAATTTTGCTTGATTGCAATAAAAGGACTGGGTATCAAGAGTAGAAAATAGGATCGGAGAATGAAGAGGTTGATGGGGGGTGAGTCAAGTACGAGATTGAGGTGTACAAGGTAAGAGGAAGAGCAACAGCAACCCAAGTGGGAGCAAACAAAAAGGGAAATAGCGTAAGATGTGATGGAAAAGTAGAAGAAGCAATGAACAGGAAGAAGCAGTCGCCTTTAAATAAAAACGAGAGGAGAGAGGTTGTTACCCAGTCAAGCGTTGTGGCCTGAGGGATCTGGCAGAAATGAGGCTGCTGCCTGGGTTAGCGCCAGGCAACACAAGGCAGCACACCCTTTTTTGTGGAGATGAAGGCGAGTTGGTTGATCTATCCAAGCTTGATCCTGGCCAGTTGCAACTATAGGGGTAATTGTAACATATATGTGACATATAGAATATAATTACTGTAGTTATATAATTTCAATACTCTAACTCGAAATACCCCCAATCTTATTGACTTAATTGGTCACTATAAAGGCTAAAAAAACGTTACTCAACGGTTAATATATGCTCTACGCGGCTAAAGTTGACATATAACCTCCAAATAATGTAGACTAATTTCCATTCTGGTTCAGGAGTCTACCACCGTGGCGCTAATTTCTCACATCCGGCCAACCCGTGGACGTTGGCATGAGGGGGATTTCTGCAACTGCTTTCGACACTACACTAGTTACACTTTTCACCTAGGCTATAGGGAATAACTGAATACTGCATCAACCATGACAACTACTCAAACCTTCACCCTTAACCATCAACAGCTTGGCAGTCTCACTGGCCGCCTAATCGATCACCAACATGCTGACGGACAGCCTGTGACTGAGCATGTCGTGCATTTCCGTTCGGTTCCCTATGCCACCATCCCAGCTCGTTTCAGCCAGAGCGTGCTGCTGGATCACATCCCAGATCACTTTGATAATCGTCCTCATGGCGACTTTACAAAGTATGGTGCTGCCTGTCCACAGGTACCACAGCCTACAGGCAGAGGTAGTGCGACAGGAGGACTTGTGCCTGGCGAGGAACCAGTCACATATGATGAGCAGACCTGTCTCAACTTGACCATCTCTGCACCTGTTAAGAATCTCCTCGACGAGACTGACCCATCACTGCCCAAAAGGCCCCTTCCAGTCCTGGTATACGTGCATGGCGGTGGCTTCATCGAAGGCAAAGGCCATGTCAGTGCCCTCCATGACACGACGAAGATGACCGAGCTAGCAGCACACGAGTCCATGGATGTGGTGATCGTCTCGATAGGATACCGGTTAAGCTGGCAGGGTTTTACTGCTTGCTACGACCTACTCGAGGAGGCCAGGGAGAATGGCGAGCCTGCATTTAACTATGGGCTGCGAGATCAACGCACCAGCTTCCTCTGGATCAAAAAGCATATCGCAGGGTTTGGCGGTGACCTAGACAAAATCACTGCCTTTGGCGAATCGGCTGGAGCAGCCTCACTCTTCATGCACGCCTGTTCGGACGTGCCTTTATTCAACCGAGTCATCATCCAGAGTGGCTCACCCAGCGTCGTAGGTATCTGGACCCTTGATGAGTGTGATGCATACTATCACCGTTTATTATCTTATCTGGGCATCGCAGGAGAGACGCGTGCAGAGCGTCTCAAAGCCCTCCGAGAGGTTCCAGTGTCGCGCTTGGTTGACTTTATTCGGGACAATAATATCAGCACTATGAAGCCCTACCTCGGCCCAGAGAGTGAATTCTTCTCTCAGCAACCCTTCTGGATGAATCAAGGCGAGATCCTTGCTAACTGTCCATGGATCGATGAGATCATGATCGGAGACGACTCGTGTGAGGGATTTGGACTCCTACTGGGGCTGAGCGAGATCTCTGCTAGCCCGTATATTGCTCAAGTTCGCACGATCCTGGGTGACGAGTCTGCTGCTCGTGTGCTCGACGCATACGAAATATACGAGGGGATGGACGAAGGCCTCTTCTGGCAGAATGCGATAATTCTAATGGGAGACTTGATCCTATCTGAGCCGACACACTCAACTGCCGTCTCGGTGGCTCGGAGTGGTCGAAAGCGTTTGTATCGCTGGCAGTTTGGCCTACCAAACCCTTTCCATGGGTCACCTTTCTCCTATACGACAGGACATCATTTTGTCGAACTCATGTACCAGTTTATGACACTCGCGGGGCGTCTCCCCACGCACCGAAACCATTTCCTGCGGCGTCAAGGGGAGGAGATGGCGCGTAGTTGGATTCGGTTTGCTAATGGACTTCCGCCGATGCCCGGTGCGAAGCCATATGATCTGGAAGATGGGAGTATCATGATCTGTGATATACTTCACGGGTGGACAGTGCGCACAAGAGCGGAGGATGAAGCGATCAGCCAGAATGATCCGTGGGGTCCCCGGCGGTACCGCCAGTGGGAAGTTCTGAGTGAGGAATTCAAAAGAGCCGGTAGAACAGAGGATTGGGATAGATCAGAGAATGAAAAGATTGAGGCAGCAAGAAATGGGTTGCTAGTATTTGATATACAGCAGATGCGTGGAGACTAGCTTTAGTTTCATGTGACAACGAGAATGGTCGGCCCTCCTGCGGGCTCTGTCATCCAAATCTCAATGAGCGGATATGCACTCTGTAGTTCCGTATGATAAAATGCGGCTGAAAGCGGAGATCGGATATCTTGTAAGAACTGAAACAGGATCTGGTTTCCACATCAAGGCAAAAGAGAACGTCAGCGACACCATATCTGACGAACCAGGTTCATATTAACTCCGGGATCGCAACTCGCAGATATAAACAGTAAAAATAGACGACCACCAGAAGGGATATTGTCGAAGATTTCTGGTATTCGCGCTAAGGAATTAGAGCAAATTATATATGAAAGAAAGTGATATGAGATATAGGTAAAATGAAGGGTCTCTATGTCATGGCAGTCAACGGAAATCAAGTTTCATGGCGACCTACATATCCAGGCCAAGCTAAAGTACGCAGCTCTAATTGATATTCTGGGCTATTTGCAACTCTCGCGACGGCACAAGGCGTAATACAGGTCATCATACGGGACTAAATTATGTGCTTCGGTAACACAATTCCCCTGAAATATGGGTCTAACTTCCTTTGCAAGTCTATTCTAGACCAATTGTATGACCTATCTCTTCTACGGCTATGGGGCTGATCATAGAAGTTCCATATGGCTGAGGCTAGAAGAAAATGGCGCTCGCATTGGGAAATGAGTGCCAAGCGGTACTCAAGACCAAAGTAATTAAGCCAGCCTTTAATACAGACCGAGAAATCTCTTAGTATAGCACATTACCATATTGATACTTTGTTCAGGGTCATATTGGTGGTTGGTCATCGTGCTATCCATTCGGACTTTCCGCTTTGGGACACGGTCGCCGCTCCGGTGGCGTACTTCCTGTTCCCGCCCCCGAAAGGGCAGAGCCCCGCAACGACCTGCTAGCAATATGAACTGGACATTTGAGAATCATTCATAATGGAGCTGACTTTCCTAGTTAGTCGCGATGGAACAAATGCCAAGAGGGGACATGCACGGCGCGCGTGTAACTCTTGTCGCCACAAAAAGGTATTGCATTATGATAGCCCTACAAGGACCGGAGTCGTGTGCTGACTTTGCCAGAAACGCTGTTATCACAATATTTCCCAGGAGGAATTAGCTGATGGAGCTTCTTCGCTCAACGTGTCGGGTCTCACAAGTAGCCAGAGCCAGAGTCCTGCGTCTCAGATTTCAAGGCGGGATGCAGCAGTCCGAGATAGATCTGCATCTCCGAGAGGTGAGCGACCAAGTGCCTCCTCGCTCCAGAATCTGGTGGAACAAGGGGCCGAATTGTTTATCGCCCCCGATGTAGGTCCAGCTGCAGAGGACGATGAGGAGTCTCGTCGTTTTGCGTGTGATTCACACCCTGTCGCCACTCTCATGGAACAGAACGAGTCAAGGTTGAAAGAGGGCCGATCTCAGAAAGGAGATGTAGGTGCATGGTTGGACGCCGAGGAGGACTCCATTGATCAGGATGAAACCCCTGGCTCCTCTTCACAAACAGCACTAGTGACCCATATTCATCCCGACTGGCTGCCCCCAAAAGACTGCCAGGAGGCTTTGGTAGACATATATTTTCGTCGCATACACCCATTATTGCCTCTTTTTGATGAAGAAAAAGTTCGAGCTCAGCACAGAGCGGGTAGTCTTCCTCCACGGCTTGTGCAAGTGATATGTCTTGTTGCAGCGAAGGACCGTGGTGCTGTGCCTTTCCTATGTCTTGGCCCCAATTCAAACCCCATTCCACTGGAGAAATTCAGCAACATCCTCTACGCTGATGCCATGCAAAACATCTCGAGAAGGGCAGAGAAAAAAGTACTTGCAATACAGATCTTGGCACTTCTGTCACTGCACGAATGGGGCTCTACTGGATCCGAAGATTGTTCTTTGAATCTAGCTCAAGCTATTCACCATGCCCAGACCATGGGGTTGCATTTGCTGAGACCAGACCAAAACTCTAGTACATCGTCCAAGGGTCTTTTCTGGTGCCTGTGGAGTCTAGACCGATGGAACGCTGCTATGAATGGGAGGCCTCTAATGATACACGACGGAGACATGAGCCAGGGGGTGGACGAGGTTATTTCAACGTTCCAATCTTCGTTTATTGTCTGGCTTCGAATTGCGGATAAGCTCGGAGAAGTGATTCGCTTCTACCGACCGATCATGAAAGGCGTTGATCAGAGTGAGCTCGATCTTCCCTCGTTTGAAGATATTGTGGAGCGCTGTGAGGCATGGGACATGTCTCCAGACCTGCTTGGTACGAAATTTTCCGTCATATAGTTGCAACATTGTCTAACCCATAGACCGACAGAGTCCCTTGAGCTTGTTTATCATTCAGTGACTATTTTGTCAACACATTCAAGCGGGTTGCAAGGCCGATCACGGCCACGGGCGCTACAAATCCGACAAAGTCATTCGATACTTACCATCGCGTCGCTCAGTTGCAATCATGATATTCGGGATCTGCTGCCGTTACCCATGATAGGTTACACGATCTCGCTCGCCTTCTCGATCACATACAAACAACTCAGAGAAAGCAAATTACCAAGCGCCCGCCACACAGCCATTTCCCAACTTCGTCTATTTCACCAATGTCTTGAGAAAATGCGCAGCACGTGGTGGTCGGCCACTGTGATGGCTCGTCTAGGCGAGCGTGTGTTGAACAACATCCAACTCACCACCAACCAGGAACGTTCCACAGGTCCAGAAATAAATATCACCCGACTAAACTCTCAGCATGAATCGAGCCGTATATCTACACAGCCACTTGTTTCCACTCATGATATGCAGTCCCACTCGGGTATCGACATTCCGCATGTGGCGACACGGATTAATGCAGCATATCAGAGCACACACTCTCTGCCTGATGATCGACTGGGATCGGATAGACCTTCGAATTTCGAAGTAGACAGCATGCAATTTTTAACAGATACTCAAATTGGGGATTTTGATACCTTTTTTGGCAATTTCCTTGACGTTGGTTTTCCAAACTCCGCGAATGACCAATTGTTACTAGATCTCGACATGCCCGACTTCGAATTTGTTCAACCCGATTTAGGCTGATGGAAATTTCGCAAAAGTGAAAGGTTCTTAAATAAATGTAATGCTGGTCACATAAAGTATCATTGCTATTCATCAAAGGGTATCTAATGTAACAAGTTCAACAGTATAATGAGTATTTACCTCGTCCCACTACAGTAGTAGTAGACATTATGTACTCTGACCTCTCGCAAGTTGGAACTCTGAATTGAGGTCTCTACTTCTTCTTGGGCGGTGCAACATTGAACTGGAAGTGCACGATGTCGCCATCTTGGACGACGTAAGACTTGCCCTCCTGTCTGTACTTTCCAGCAGACTTGATCGGGCCCATGGACTTCTCGCCGTTGCAGAGGTCGTGGAAGTCCTGGTACGCTACAACTTCGGCCTTGATGAAACCACGCTCGAAGTCGCCGTGAATGACACCAGCTGCTTGTGGGGCCAGAGCTCCCCGCTTGATCGGCCAGCAGCGGATCTCTTTCTCACCGGCAGTGAAGTAATACTGCAGTCCGAGCTTGGTGAAGCCTGTCATGATTATTAGTGTGGGGTACGGTAATTTAAGCGATATCGGGGACATACCTTCGGTAGTAATCTTTCCCAGGCGGCTCTGGACCTTGATATCGGCCATGAACGCCTCGAGCGCTGGCTTGTCATCCCTCAGGGACCACAGCTTCTCCTCAAACTCGACGGAGAAGGGGATAATATCTGACCCTTGGCCGCCGTGGGCCTTAACCCACTCCGCGATCTTGGGCAGGTATTTGCACTTTTGGCGGAGGTAGTCCTTCATCGTAAGGTTGATGAGGTAGATTACCGGCTTGGTAGTGATGAGGCGCAACTTGATATTGTTAGCATTGTGTCTTGCGTATTATAGAATCCCGGACTAACCTTCTCGTTGATCAACTCAATTTCAGGAGTTGTCCACTCTCCATCCCTAACAGGCTTATCCTGTTCCAAGAGCTATCAGAGAGTTAGCAAACCACACATTTATTCGAAGAGAGAGCAATGCATACCTCCTTGATCTTGGCAGTCGTCTCATCGAACAGCGGCAGCATCTTGAACTTTCCACCAGCCTTCCGGACAATTTGCTCTTCAGCAATCTTAGCCTTGGCAAGAATATCCAAATCCTTCTTACACAGCTCGCTCTGAATGGTATCTGCACAGCACCATCAGCGTCTATTTCTCTTGCGTTAGAAGGGGAAATTCTTACCCAAGTCGCGAACAGGATCAACAGAGTCATCGACATGAAGAACCTCATCGTTATCAAACGCTCTGACAACGTGGTACATGCCATCCACAGCCTGAATATGACTCAAGAAGGCATTTCCCAAACCGGCTCCCTCGCTCGCTCCCTTGATTAATCCAGCGATGTCCGTAACCTGCAAGTACGCGGGGTATTTACTCGGCGGGTTCCAGACCTTGCACAGGAAGTCCTATCTCACATCATTAGCTGGGGGCTCATTGTATTTATGTTTTAGTGACCGAAAAGGGAAAGAGCCTCCCGGGAGGGCTAAGATCCATCACGTGGCAATACCCGCACAGAAATCGGAAACTGGGAAAAACATACATATCTTGGATCAGGAACAACGCAACGCGCTTCATTTGGCTCGATGGTGCAAAATGGGTAGTTTTCTGCCGCAGCGCTCTGTTCGGTCATGAGGTTGAACAGCGAACTCTTGCCCACGTTGGGTAGGCCAACACAACCCATCTTGAGGTTGGACTTGACGCGCCCGAAAGCGACGACATTGTTCGTCGGCGCTTCCACTGCTTTCTTGGGAGGCATATTGGATTACAGTTATCGCTGGATGGAGTTTTTGTTTTCCTAGGTTTTTCTACAGTTTGCAAAGGCTAGTGTGCGTGCCACTTCGAATTTTTTTATGAATTAGCCGTCCTACCGCCCAATACCTTTTCCAGGTATGGGTCCGTCTCAGAATACAGAGATTTCTCGCAAAACAGACATTTTAAGAAATTAGGTACCTTTTATATGGCATGTCTATACAAACGGTACTTCGATATGACTTATTCGCGACAGGTTTCTTCAACTCCTAGAAATAATTAGGGGTAATATAGTAGTACCTATATAGGGTAGAGGAAGTAGCTTTTTATTTCATATTAGCCTAGAGAAGGAATATCAAGTATTCTTTTCCTGTTAGAACACTTACGTCTGTATGTATATCTCTTACATATGATGCTTTTTGAATATGATCTTTAGAGCTCTAAATGAGATATCTAACATTGATTTCGGTACTATCAATTAAACTAGACTCCTAGTATTCATTAATGCTCTTATCTAACATTTAGCTATTGGGAGAATTAAGAAAGAAGGTGTTAAGTGCATGTACTTTTTGCGTGAACATCCCATACAAAAGATACCTAATCCTTACAACTTCTGTTTTCCGCGAAATTTCTGTTTAGTGAGACAGATCCACATTTACTAAGTGTGGGCTGGTAAGAGGGATATGGGCCCATCGCTGCATGGATACTTTGGTAGAGCAGATATGATCTCTGAATATCTTAGATAAGACTTTTCTGATTGAAAACTTTACTTAGGTTCCTGGAAAAGAATATAATTACATAGTAAAAAGAAATAACATAGAATATATCTTAGCTACGGAGTAGATAAATTTTGATTAAAACTGTTAAACCCCGGCAACTGCACTACTTAATTATCTTTCTATGCTCTAGTCTATATATGTAAATAGTAAATTAACCATCGGATGTACAGTGTGAAAGGTACATGTAACTAGCCATTTTCGGCAGCCGATTTACCGATTCGCGCTGTGGCACAGAAATGTTCACACATATAATTTAAGTGTATAAGAGCCAATCATATGTATGCTTCTTCACTCTAATATACTAAGGCTCAAGTACTTGAATAGATTGTATACTCTGAGAAGTAGGTGTCATATGATCGTGGGAAGATGTTTCATCATAGATCAAGGAATGCCCCTAGCAAGTCGCCAGAAACAATCACCGAGTACTGACCTTGAAAGCTATTCGCGACTTATTCTAACTTACGTATTTCGACAGCACCACAAGAATGTCGGTATTTCCTTCCGTGGCGAAGAGCTGCGCTTGTAAGGTTTGAGACCTTGAAATCACCTCCCCGACCCCGTTTAGGAATGTCCGCTCCGTCGCGCGGGCACAAGTATAAAGACACACAATGCGCCATAATTCCCCGGCTATGAATCCGCCAGCTCACATTCAATTGAATTCTTAATATAAATTCTAATTTATCAAGCTAAACATTGCTTGGGTCTTTGACGATGTTCCGCCAACACATTACCCGCTCTGAGTTGATGTATGGTCGTTCCTCCTAACCTTTCCATAACAACCTAACACATATTCTATTAGTCTTGATCAAGCATGCATTTTTATTTCAGAAGATCGCCATCCGGTGTCTGTCACTGGAAGACTCAATCTCACTCTTGCACAAGTGGTCTCGGTCAAGAGTATCAAAGTGAGATTGAGGGGAACATTTGCGATGTGAGGACTCCCACCATGTAGTTTATTATTGACTATCTTCTTACTTCTGCTTATAGCCCCATTGAGGGAATCCTGGGATCAGAGAGCCGCGAACAGATCACATTCGAGCGAGAACAGCCAATAGCTTCTTCGAAAACACTCAACGCATTCCAAATGCCGGCAGGGAACCACGCATTCTTATTCGATATTCCACTTCCAAGTAAGATTTTCAACACAGCGACTGGCGCCAACCATCAATATCATACATATCGCGTAGAAGCCATTATCGAGCGACGCCTCAAAAGCGATTTCATGGTCTCCCAACCGGTTAGGATTTATCAAGTCTCCGATTTAGAGACAAGTTATTTGAGGCCCCATTGCCCACTAGTTAGTATTTTGCATTGAATACGTCCTCTCACATACATCAGCTCATGATACTAGACTCTCGAGGGTCACTCCAAGGAAAATATCCAGTATCGGCTCTCCATCACTGACCGAAACGTTCCCTTTGGTTGCACATTTCCTGTGGAATGCTGGTTTGCACCGCTGTTGAAATACGCCAAGCTCGACACTGTCACAATCAAGGTTATTGAGAAACAAACTGCACGATTGGAAGCTACTGCTGCAGAATCAGTGCGACACAACATGCAGTTCATAACCGCTGCACAAACTCATACTGTTTTCTCCAAGACCATTGATTTCTCTCAAGGAGATGAGTCTCCGGTAGATGATCTCTCGGAAATTGAATGGCGCTTCACCACACCCGTTTCTCTGCCTCAGAGTCTCGACGCTTGTTCGCAGAGTATCTCGACTAGACACCTCAAGATCACCCATGAGCTTTCTATCACTGCTGAGTTCCGTGATGAATCGGGGAATGTAACAGCTGAGGTATGCAAATGATACAGTCGAAGATTTATAGTATATAGCTGACAAAAATTAGATTACGGAAATTATGCCATTTAAAATTCATATGACACCTAATGTGATTGGGGAAAATGCGTCCATTCATGGGCAAGATATCCAGCTCTTACAAGGAAGCCAAAGTCCTCCTCCGGCTTACAGGGATTGTTTTGCGGATTTGATAGTGTCGGCAGCTACTCAGCTGGATTGTTGTGAACATCCGATGCTAGCAGAGTTCAATTCTGCGCGTTCTTCCAGTGAGCAAACTGCGAGTATTCACATCATGGAGCCTGCTCCCCGATACGAAGAGGTCGTATAGTCTGTTTGAGTTTGGTCTCTTCTTCTGTCCACTATTTTTCTACTCCGGTGTTGATGTTGCATCATTTCCATCAGATTTTGGAACAATTTCCAGAGCCTTAAGGGCCTGTTCACGAATAATTTCTCATTTTACCTGTCAAGTGCTACATTCAAACTAATTCATGTCGAATTGCATGTCTCATTGCATCTTGTAAACCAATCCCTCTTCGGCTCCCACTTGTCCACGACACAGTCTATCCCACCCTCCCTCGACACCAGAGACACCACTGCCAAAAACAATCTGCAGTCCCGGTTCGCTCAAGTGTCGCTCATCCAGCCATTTTTCCCACTCTGCGTCTCTTGTTGCGAAGTAGGCTTCCGGGCCGACAGACTCGAGTATCGTGTCTTGAACACCGGAAGTGTTGTATTGAACCTTTCCAAGCTCCTCCATCGCCGCTCTCCCAACAACAAGCTCCTCGGTCGAGTATACTTTCTGCTCATTTCCAACCTGGACGATGACAACCTTGCAAGATTGCAACTCAGCATGATTCTTGATCAGAGAAAGTGTGTCTTTGAGAGCATTCGCACGACCACCGAAGTCAATGATAACAATCTTTGAAGGCTTGCGGCTAGCCAGCCACTCCGCAGACCCCTTAGAATCAACATCCCCATATGCCACCACCTTAGAAGGAACAGAAGTAGGCAAACTCCGATCCGCTTCCTCGATGCGTGACACGGCTGATGTAACATGCAACAAACCAAGGGGTGCCGAACTATCCGGCTTTCGCGACAGATAGTACGAGAAAACACGCGCCGTCTTTGTTGACGCAGCCAGGTTCACGACAACCGCAGACGACAAATCCCCGTCGGATAGGGTCCATTGCAACCCAGCTTGGCTTCCCAGTGGATGGATGGGAGGTTGGGTTGAGTTGGACGAGAACACATACTCGCTGAGAACGAACCCGGCTACCCCGCCAATGAATAGTGCGGTCCAGGCCATGCGATCTAGCTCATCCTGTGCAGAATCCGAAAGAGGATTGTGCGCGGTGGTTAGGTCCAAGATTGGAGTCGATGTCGGAGTTACCCTGTAGCGGTTGTACAGCGGCATTAGTTGTTGACGATGGTCGCTGATCTCGACCCAGTGGCCATCTGGTGAGCCGCGCTTGAGTTTAAGGTCGGTTGGTGTGTTGATCGTGGGCCAGAATCCGTAAAGGAGTGTACCTTTGGATAGTTCGGGAATAGTTGTCTCTTCCACCGTTGCATAGCCCCAGGCTGGAACGATTCCCCATGCCGATGAGTCGTTGTATGGTGCGGGATAGTCTTCAGATACGGGGTACGCGTCCCACCTGCCGGCAATTGATGAGAATCTTATTTCAGGTCGTCTTGTGATAGTTTGTATAGTGTGGGTAGATATTGGGAACATACCAACGCAAGAATCCACCCATTCTGGCATAGGTCAAATTGTTTGAACTGAGGCTGATCAGTTGCGTACGAATTCTTACTGATGAGTCCGATAGTTCCCGCTGAGCAGGGACTTCGAGGTTGAAGCTGGCATGCTGGCGGTTGTCCAGCTTTGAAATCACATGAACACCCATGGTTGATCAGTTTAGTCGTGGGAAAATTGTCGATTAGAATGAGTTGGTTCTCTTAAACTGCTGGATTAGATCAAAGAGGCGAAAACTCTCCTGTAGGGGGCCCTTACCAGCTTGTTGAGGTCATTTATTCTTTAAACCTGATTGATTACTGATCACAGGCATGAAGATCATCCGGCGGGGAAACCCCGCCAGCTGAGAAAGACTGCGAGGGTCGGCACGATTATGCCACTAATGCAACCCCGAAACTCTAGAGTTTGAGAATGTACAATTGAGGCTAAGGAGGACCTAGGAGGTGTTCAAATTAGACCCACAGCCTTCCAGGGCTACTGAAATAGCATCCCTAATGCATTATATTATCGGTAGCTGCTCATTGCAAACCCACCTACCAATTCGGGTGTCTCCTTTCTCTGCAGCGGCGAGCAGTGCCTTCGGGGTCCGTTGTGCAGTGAGAAATAAAGAAGAACCATGGCAGCTAAGTATCCCGAGAACATCAAGCCTTAAACTCTTTGCGACACTCACAGCCTCAGGTTGCATTACAGCAACAAGGTTCTCTACTGGCTCCTTGTTGAACAAGTAATCTCACGATCTCAACCCAATCTGGCGCATTCGACGACATCGAGTGTTTTTGATATATATTTACATTGAATGCTGGATCTTTGCTTTTATTTGGAATATTTGCGAGGCCTCTGTTATTATATAGACTTCAGGCTCACCAGTTCATACAGAAGAAGGAGACAAGAAGGATATAGCTATAGCTTACTTTTAGGGGCTTAAGTGAACTTAAAATTGATTGTTCAACTGCACCACTAACTAAATTATCTAGGGTTATACCTATACCTATGCCACCGGCTCTTCGACCAAGGATTGAGCACTAAATTATATCGGACTCGGGCTCCATATTCCAATAGCCTCCACTCTCAAGCAAGGCTTTGACGAAAGTGCTCCTTTGATCAAGAATAGCTGGAGAAGACTATCCGGCCAGCTGGCGATCTGAAAGTGCTTCAAGACTTCCCGCACAGATTCAACATGTCCCTGTATACAAGCGTGACCGAAGTTATCCTCAAAATGTTCTGGCTTGAGGCCGTTGCGAGCTCCTTCCCGAACCAGCATCAATGAGATACTGACTCTGTATGTTCTAAGGTAGGCCGTTAGCCTCTCAGCCCCGGAGTGGGGTTAGCTGCATTACCTTCACTGCCACCTGCCTACTTTCACCCAACTCTCTCAGATCAGTACTGTGCCACCTTAACATACATCTAATATAGTGAAATATTCCCTACATACCTATAAATATTCGGACAAAAAGCCCGAGATACCTACCTAGGTACAGTTCAAAACAAAACATGGTTCAGACAGTTATATCAGCGGAAGCTAGGGCCCCGGAGCATGGACGTCAGTTCTAGGAATCTAGGAGATACTCCTGGAATACGATAAAAATAGCATACAGATATCATCAATAGAATGGTGGATTGGTAGAATAAGAATAGGATTTTACAACGCCGCTAAAACAACAAATCCAGGAAACCAGCTCAGAGTAGATTTAGATTCATTCGAAGATGAGAGCGCAAAGGAATGAATGCAGATGGAAACCACCACGCAGATAGATGATCACATGGATGAGGAATGAGATGGAAGATGTAGAATAGGTACGAAAGGAGAGTGGTATAAACAGAGTCGAGAGATCAGATATGAGCTCGATACTCGAGAAAGGCAAAGATTTCAATAATGGGCATGTGAATTGAAGATTCAAGTTCAGATTCGGATCGCTTGTAAAATGACAGGTTTCATGCTCGCGCTTTGGTTGCGCGGGTGGTATGCAGAAGTTGGGATGGGGATTATGTATGTATTGTCGGTCGTAGACTGTTCTCGTGACGGAGGTTCAAGCTTGCAGTTATGTTACAATGCTTGCTGGGAGTTTCAAGGTAACCGGGCTTGGAGTGGGGATGCTTGGAAATGTGTGATTTAGATCATTGGAACAGATCATGGTCATAAAAGGGTTTGGTTCAGGTGAGATTAGAAAATGACGAATCGTTTCTGTTTGGCAGGCTTTTCGACTTCAGGTTCTGGATAATTCATACATAGTTAGTAAAATGTGCATGCACACATATCAGGCTTGGTTCACTCACCCTGGCCAGTACTCGGACTCTTATCCTTGCGCTCAGCTTTCTTGAGCCGGCCTCCATTCCGCGTTGCTCCATTGCGCCCAGCCACGCCTGGATGTGAACCCTCTGCCGCAGCTCGGATTGTAGCGATTCGATGTTTGGCTCGCTCATCGCCCTGGTCCGCCGCCTTGACATACCACACATTTGACTCGAGAGGATCACGACGGCAGCCAATACCCATTTCAGTAAAGTAGCCGACAGCATACTCAGCCTTCGCGAGACCGAGATTTGCAGCCCGGAGAGCCCACTCATATGCCTCGTTCTCGTCCTTCTCGAGCACAGGCTCCGCGCCAACGAGATACCACGCACAAAGCGCCATCATCGCCACCGGATGTCCGTTCTGCGCAGCACTGGTATAGAAATGAATACTAAGAGCCGGGTCGCGCGGACAGTTCAATTTCCCATGCTCATACGCATCGCCAAGACGATAGCAAGCCTCCACATGACCCAGCTCCGCGGATTTAGTGAATAGCTGCGCGGCATAGGTAGCATCGGGGAAGACATCCTCTCCGAAGCCCCTTTCGTGCATCACACCGAGCTCGTACGGGCCGGAGTTATACTGCGTGTCTGCGGACTCAGTCGCGCGCTTCAACCACTTGACACCCTCGCGGTACCGCTTGCCCAGCCCCATATCGCCAGCAATACAGGCGTTGGCCATGCGCATCATAGCGCCCGGGTGATTTTTCGATGCTGCCTGGCGGTAGAATTGCACCGCGCGGCTGCCGTCGACGCGACAGCCCCAGCCGAACTCGTAGCACAGCGCTGTGCGGTAGCAGGCTTCGACGTGGCCGTGTTTGCTGGCAGCGAGGAAGAGGGGGAAAGCCCGGTCGTGGTCCTCGGCGCCTTTGCTGAAGAGACCTGACGCGTACCCGTCGCCAAGGTAGTACTGTGCAAAGGGGTAGCTGCGGTCTGCGAGGCGCTGCAGGATGGATTTTGATTCGCGGAGTAGACGGGCGCGGGTTATCGGGCTGGTGTCTTCGAGGTCCACGACTGGCATCTCGCGCATCGAGTTTACCATGAACACGGCGAATTCGTAGAGCACTGTTGGCTCGTCGGTTTTCTTTACGTTCGCGAGGTACATCTCGAATGTCTCTTTGTGGCTAAGGAGAGAGGCGTTGTTTCCGACTGAGGCTTGGAGACGGGAGTTGTCGAATTGCGCTGTTGGGCCGGGCTGTGGGTATGATGTGTTGAGTAAATCGAAAAATGACGATGACCTGTTCTCTGGGGTTCCACTTGAGTTCCGTGGCGAGGATTGGGCATGTAAATACGGCGATGCGGAGAGGTTCCGGCGGTGACCACCATCTGAGGCTGAGGAGTATGTTGAAAGAGGTCGCGAAAGCCTTGATCGCCTAACAGCCAGCTTATCCGTGGAGGCGGACGGGTCATCTCCAGCATTGGGCGCGGATTTCTTTGTAGGTACCCCAGCCGGTTGTTGCTGGTGATGGTAGGTCAGAGGCTCGTAGCTATCCGACGCCTGCGCCACGCTATCCAAGCTTCCCCGCGAAGAGTCGTAACTCTGACCCTCGCGCTCCAACGAGGAGCCACTCTTTTTCGGGTTTCCGTGTTGCTCATCTTTATGTGGCTCTACCACCGACCACGAGCCGCTGCTCGCTGGGGTGTGACCGTACGGATGCGAGTGTGTGTAGTGCGGAGCCTGTGTTAAGTCTCGCCGCGGAGGGTCGGCAGGATTCCAGCTCTGCTGGGGCGGCTGTACGGGGCTGTCAAGTGACATGCCTGCGAACTCCGGGAGGTCCAATTGCGGTGTGGTAGGCCCACTGTATGCGCCTTCGATGCGCGCGCTCGAGGCATCGGGGATGTCTGCGCCATATGCGATTTTGACTGGTGAGCGTGGAGAGTTTTGAATAACGAGAGAGGTTTCGGACTGCGACGCAGGAGCAACTGGTTTGCGGTTGAGGATCAAGCTATGAGGTCGGTTCGGGATGGTCCGTGGTGATTGCGATGGGGTGAATGGCGGCGATGATCGGAGGTAAGCTGGTGGGGGAGAAGGCAGGGCCTGGCGGTGTCCCGGGGCAGGACTGGCCATGGTGTGGAAGATATTAACGAAGGTCGAAAGCGAGTGGAAGTTGAGGTAGGGGATCCATGAAGAAGAGCGACTGAGTACTTTATGGGGAATCCGTGGAGAAAAGCGAAGATCGCTAAAAGAGTGGACACGACACTATTAGAGATATTTTCATCCAAGCACGTCAAGGGAAATTACCAAGACCAAGACCAAGAAATGAAGCGAGGGGAAAGAAAAGAAACAAGACTAACAATACTAGTTCCCTTCTTTCAAATAATACTCTCTCTCTCTTTTCTTTTATATGTCTTTTTATCCTTTTTATGTTTCATACGCGCCCTACCTAATATGGTCGAGTGGGGATGAACTATTATTGTCTGCACATTCTCTCGTATAACCTATGAACACCAGAATCAAAAGATGATGCCTATCGGGTCGGATCTCCGAGACACGCCATAGTCTAACAGGTGGTCTAACAGCGCATAAGACACACCTCTAGGGTGGTTAGGTAGTACTTTGAACAGTCAAATCCCCTCTTACACTGTGGAGACGGGCACACCTTTAAGTAGCATTTAGTGCCGCATTGTTTTTAGTCTGTTTTTAGTCTGTGGTTAGTAGTTCAGTAGTGTCTTTAGTTTCTTTAGTGTCTTTAGTGTCCGACCTTTCCGGGGCTCTGTGCGTGGCAGATGTAGTGGGAAAGTGGAAGTACCCGTGGACATTATACGACTATACGGGGCACTTTTACTGGAAGCTCGTATGGAGTACCTGGAACTCAATTAGAAGAAACGGTCAGCTTTTAGTGTTTTCTGCTATTTGAAACAGAGAGGCTTGAGCGTAACCAAAAATGACGAATATGTTAACCTCTTTCCCAAAAGAGTATATCCAAATCCACTCGCACATCATATATATGTCAATGTATACTCCTTGCAGCAGTCAACCACACCGTCCAAGCACAGATTAAAAAACAAAGTACTCTCATCTCGTATGACGACCGCCTACTAGATAGTACCAGGTACCCCTCACAGTAAATACTGGGTACTGGGTACTCGGAGTTAGAGCTTACTGTACTACGTCTGGTGATGCGGAGATACCGTCAGCGTTCCAGTGAGAGCCGAGGAACGTGGCGGGACAAGGATACCGGACTCCACCGTAAAGACCTCCTAGCAAATCCGACGCCAAGTGGGTTTCTCAATTGGGTTATATTGGAATGGAAAATGAGAGTCTAGACATGATACGTTCTTTTCCTCGTGGTTCAAGAATGTACAAAGTATGTGGAAAAAGATATGCACTATGGGGCTATGAATTCTGGGGACTGCCGTGGTGATCGGCCCGCCAGTGTCGATCACATTGGTCGGATTGGGTATTGGGGTACGGAGTTGATATGTAGTACAGGGGTATCCTAGGGTTTGATATCCAGACAATACCCATTTTGGAATTGTTTCAAGTACTATGGACAAATCTAGACTGGTAGTACAAATCCCTGTTTGGTCAAGGGTTCGCACATATAAGGTGTGCATTGACTATTATATCCTGGGGGTTTGGATTCTAGATCACACCGACTCGAAACACAAGATTGTTCGTCTTATATAGATGTATCACAAAGCAGTTTATACGGGGTTTCATAGGGGTTAGGGGGATGAATTAGGGGGAAATCTACGGAGTACGGAGTACTCCATAACGTTTTCTTTTTTAATTCTTTGTCTATTGGAGTACTCTGTACTCCGTACTCCGTAACAAAGTGGCAATTGGGTATGTTAGCGTGGCAGTTAACTAAGACCCAGGGGACTAAGGGTCTTAGCTCAAAATAGAACTAAAAAAGGGGACCCCGTGATCAGAAGAGAAATGTTCCCTCGGCTGATGTTCCCCTTCTGATGGAATTTTTATTAAATTTAATATCGAACCCTGGAAGAAACACAGTGTTAACCGTGGACGAGTTATTGGTTAAGAGAGTACTCCGTAGTGTGTTAAAGTGTGATTGGATTATTGCCCCTAGCGACAAAGAACTGCCCAGAGCTATTTATTTTGGTTTTGTAATCTCTTAATATGGCTCTATGGCTAAAACAAGCCTAATCTCTCCCAGGTTAAGCGTTAAGTCCCCGTCTACAGGGTCTTTGTCTCAGAACTTCTCTTTTCCCTTTAAACACATTCGTTGCTACTTATCTATTACTTCTACATTCGCTCTTCTCTGTGTTTTAGATCAGTTTCTTGCATAGGTGGGGGCTTTGTTGATTCTCCACCTCGTTGCACAGGCCGACCGTACCACTTGACCACTTTCGCTCAGAACTCCCTTTGCAAGTTTGCAACTCTAGTTGCGGGTCAATAGAGACAGATTGGAAAAAGATTTGAACGGAATCACGGGTCCTAGAGCTCACATTATCGAGGACCGGGTCAGCGCATTTGACATGTTTTAGTCGGCAAACCAAAGATCCATATTGTGAACAGTCTTCCCCACACAACCTGCTGTTGATGAGCGGCAAATAATCAAAGTGAGTGCGCCAGCTGCAAATTCAACTCTAACCAAGTAAACAAACTCCCCAGTCTGGATTGACTAACATTGGGGACCTTCGTAGGAGCGAGATGTCTTTGCCGCAGAGGCCAGGCAAGCCCTCCCCTCGGCGCGAAGAAGGCCGCGCTTTTCGCGAACCCTCTCAGCGCCGTCGACGAGATATCGATTCGGGCGCTTATAGCGACGACCCCACCTCTCCCTCCCACCGACACCGTCGCCGACATTCCAGCCATCGAAGAGCAATGGACACGGACGAAGAGCGCATGGACCGGAGCGGCGACGTGAGACACAAAAAGCGCATGGTCAAACCAGAGCGTAGGAAAGATGATCGTGAACAACCGAACTATCACTATCGTCAAAAATCAAACCACATGCCCACTTTCCCCTCGACGACAGGAAACGATCCGTTGTTGGACAACAGAGATGGCGAGGCGGAGACAAACAGCTCGCGCAGCATGGATATGAAGAGCAAGGATGGTCTGTACGGTGCGCGGGGCAATGTTAACAAGCCCATGGAGCGGGTTCCTAGCAGACATCGCTCGAAGAAGAAGAAGAGAGGCTCGCGTAGGTCGTCTAAGGGAGCTGCGGATGAACAGAAACGCCAGAAGGCGATTGAGCAGAGTGGCCCGCCCGAGCTATGGCCTACATATTGTGTCGTGCTCACATTCTTCATCCCGGACTTTGTGCTGAAATGCTTCGGCATGCCAGAGAAAGAGCAGCGCACTGCTTGGCGGGAGAAGATCGGCCTGATCAGCATCATTGTGATGATCGGTGCTTTTGTTGGTTTCCTGACTTTCGGTTTCACGGCTACGGTTTGTAGCTCACCCCCGGTTCGGTTGAAGGTCAATGAAGTCAGTTCGAACTACATGATCTTCCACGGAAGAGCATACGACTTGGCCGGTTCCAAACACCCCGCTGTCACTGGTATCCCCAGTGGTTCGAATGTTATCTACGACTTGCCACACAAGTATGGAGGACAGGACGGCAGCTTCTTCTTCCAGCAGGTCAACGGTGCGTGCAAGGGATTGATTACGGCTCAGCCTGATAGTGATATTCCGACAAACTCCAATGGAGATCTCGGATGGTACTTCCCCTGTGCGCCCTTCAACCAGGATGGTTCGTCCTCGCCCAATTTGACCACTGCATATTACACCGGTTGGGCTTGCCATACCAGCAAGGCGGCTCGTGAGCCTTTCTACTCACTGAGAAGTGATGGAGATGTGTACTACACATGGGAGGATACGAAGAACAAGAGTCGAAACCTGGCGGTATACTCTGGAAACGTGCTGGACCTCGATCTTCTCGCCTGGTTCGACCGTACCCAGGTTTCTTATCCCAAACAATTCGACGAGCTCCGTAAGAACCCTGATGTCCGCGGTGTTGATCTTACCTACTACCTGCAAAGCGGAGAGGAGAAGAAGATTGGCAAGTGCTTGGCACAGATTATCAAAGTCGGCAGCATTGACACCGATACTGTTGGCTGTATCGCGTCGAAAGTCGTGCTCTACGTGTCCTTGATCTTTATTCTCTCCATTGTGGGTGTCAAATTCGCTTTCGCCCTGCTCTTCCAGTGGTTCCTGGCAGCCAGGTTTGCCGCGCAGACCACGAGTATGTCCTCCGATGCCAGGACTCGCAATCAGCAGATTGAAGATTGGTCCAACGACATCTATCAGCCCGCCCCACGAGTCGCCGAAACCATAATTCCAGATCGCCTCAGCAAACGTGCCAGTTTCCTCCCGACCACGTCCCGTTTCTCGAGCCCGTACAATGTCAACAGCAGCACTGGTAGCAAGCAAAAGCCGATGTATGTCACCATGGCTAGCCAAAACTCGACTACTCGTCTCATGCCCAGCTCCAATCCTGGCACTATGTACAAGTTAAGCCACAGCGGTAGTGGGGGCACCCTGAGCGCTGATAACTCTCGGCATAATCCTGCTGCTAGTCGGACTAGTTTGGTTCCTCCCGCTCAGGGTCAGCAAGATCCGGGTTACGCTACACTATCGACGGATCAAGATGGGCTAGGTCCTGCCGGTTTCATTCACGAGGCTGTTGTTCCTCAGCCTCCACCTGAATGGCAGCCATTCGGCTACCCTCTCGCTCACAGTCTTTGTCTTATTACTTGCTACTCTGAAGGTGAAGAGGGTATTAGGTCGACTATAGATTCTATTGCCATGACCGACTACCCGAACAGCCACAAGACGATCTTGGTCATCTGTGATGGTGTTATCAAGGGTAAGGGAGAGGAATTCTCCACCCCTGATATTGTGTTGGGTATGCTCAAGGACCCTGTTGTTCCCAAGGACGAAGTTCAGCCCTATTCCTATGTGGCTGTGGCCACTGGCTCCAAGCGACACAACATGGCCAAGGTTTACACTGGGTTCTACGACTACGGCGATACTTCCATCATCCCGGCGGAGAAGCAGCAGCGTGTTCCCATGATGTTGATTGTCAAGTGCGGAACTCCCCAGGAGGCCACCCAGGCAAAGCCTGGTAACCGAGGCAAGCGTGACAGTCAGATCAT